GTATGTCCCGAGCAAACCTCCAAAGGAAGTGTTTTACCTTCGGTGGTGTGTTCAACGTCCATAACTTCTTCCAGACTTCAGAATTTACCAACACAAGGGAGGGCACCCTGCGCCATTTTATGTCGTATCCAACTAGCATATCCTTCCTTTACTATGAATTCGCCATCTTTGCTGCCATCCCAAATCAACCGGTCGCACTCTCCCGTCCCTCGCAATGGAATTGGTCTAATAATGGCTGCCGTTTCACTTGAGAAGAAGCTCTCTAATAGATTGTCATCCCAAATCTCCTCCTCAGGCATGATCAGTTCGCGCACAGTGGATTCAACGAGTAATCCCATCAGAGGTGACTCGACGAAACCCGTTGGGATATCCGGCAGCCACTTATCCCCATAGATCCGAACACTCGATCCATTACCGATCCTCCATCGAAGCCCACCGTTTAAGAATTCTTGCGCACTGAGAAGACTACGCCAAATGAAACTTGGCCGGTGACCAATTCTGGCATCCAGGATCGATGAGTTTTTATGGTACTTGGCCCTCAGGATTCGTGCAATCAATGAATCTTGACGTTGAGACAGCCGCCAAAGTTGTTTCGCCAGTAGTGCTGTGTTGTAACCTTCCAAGTCCCGGAACCCAAGACCTCCCTCTTCCTTCGCCACCATCATCTCTTCTCGGCTCACCCAGTTAATTCTTCGTTCCGATCCTCTCTGTCCTCAATAGAAATTCATGATCATACTATGGACTTCATTGAGGATGCAGTCTGGTACTCGGAACACTGACATGGCATAAGTGAACTGAGCCTAAGCCACCGACTTAATCAAAACCTCCCTTCCCGCTACTAATAAGACTCTTTCCTTCTAGCCCTTCAGTTTCTTGCAGACTCTCTCCACCAGGCCCTGGAAAATATCTTTTTTTGATCGTCCTACTACCGTGGGCTGCCCAAGATATTTGTCATGTTTTTCCACCTCCTTCATCTGCAAAATACCTCCAACCAGAAGCTTATGGTGGCGTTTGACATTCCCACTGAACGAAACTTCCGATTTATTAAAATTGACTAGTTGACCCGATTCATCTTCATAGGACTTGAGGATCTGCTTCAAAGTCGAGCTATCCTGGTCCGTTGCCCTGCCAAAGAAAACTGCGTCGTCAGTGAAAAAGAGATGTGTCACTGTCGGCCCTCCTTTCGCAGGCTGAAGTCCGTTTAGCTGTTTATTTCTGGCCGCCTCTTGTGTGTAAGCTGAGAGGCCCTCTGCACATAATAAAAACAAGTATGGTGATAGAGGGTCTCCCTAACGTAAGCCACGACTTGGCTGAAAACTGGGTGATTGGTGCCCGTTAACCAGAACGAATAGGTTACTGTTCTCACACACATCATCACAAGTCTCTTCCACTTTGCCGTGAACCCCATTTTGCTCATAACCTTTTCCAGGAAATGCCACTCCACTCTGTCATATGCTTTAGCCATGTCGATCTTAGCTGCGAAATATCCCTGCCCCCTCTGCTTCTTTCGCTTCATAGAGTGGAAGCATTCGAATGCCGCCATGATGTTATCAGTGATAAATCTGCCCGGGACGAAAGCACTTTGCTCCGGGGATATTATTTGGTCTAAGACATTCTTCATCCTGTTTGCAAGAACTTTGGAGACCAGCTTATAGATCACATTACATAGACTTATAGGCCGAAATTCCTTGGGTGAAATAGGGTCTTTCACTTTCGGAATCAAGGCTATAAGCGTATGGTTAAGCTGGTCCGGTATTACCTCCTTTTCCAAGATCTCCAACACCTTTGCTGTAACATCCTCGCCTACAATATGCCAGTAGCGGCGGAAAAAAAGGACCGACATCTCGTCCACACCTGGGGTCTTCCTTTTTCCCATCTGCTTCAACGCATCAAAGACTTCGGCTTTATCAAACGGTCGCTCAAGCATCTCATTCTGCTCCGGAGATATCACCCGTTTTATTGAATCAATAACTGGAGTAGTCGATGGCCGAGGACCTGTAGTAAACAACAGTGTAAAATAATCTGTTAGACACTGGAAGAGCTGATTCCGCCCTATCCGCCAGTTGCCCGCTTCATCCTTTAGCTTCTTAATTGTGTTTCTTCTCCTTCGATCCGTCGCCTTCTGGTGGAAAAAATTGGTGTTGAGGTCGCCTCCCTTCAACCAGTCTGCTCGGGATCGCTGTTGCTAGTGCATTTCTTCATTCCTTTCCACTTCGTCCATCTCTGCCTCAAGCTGGGTCAGTTGGGCCACGATATCCGGCGTCCTCGGGGCACGTTCCAGTTCTCCATAGCTCTTCTAATTCGAACCTTCTGTTTGTCAAAATTTGGGAAAGCTCGTCTACTCCATTGATCTAACATTGACCTGCAAGACATAAGTTTAGTTAGAGGATCCACTTGATTTTCTTTCTTCCATGCCTCCTCGATTACTTTTGGACAGTCTTCGTGGGTGGCCCAGTACGGCTCAAATTTAAACGACCACCCCCAGCTCGGTTCTTCATCCTCCACCCCCGCCGTATCATAGAAAATAGGTCTGTGGTCTGACCGCTCCTTATCTAGGTGTCGCACTCGGTCCTGGGGGAAACGCTCCTTCCATTCTGTCGACGCTACAAACCTGTCAATTCTTTCCTCAATGAAACGGTCTCCCTCTCTTTTATTCGCCCAAGTATAGCGATAGCCCTGAAAGCCCAGGTCAATTAGTCCTGAATCTGTTAAGCAATTATGGAAATCCATCATCTCTTGCTCCACTGCATTTCGACCTCCCCTCTTTTCATAAGCTGATAAAACCTGGTTGAAATCCCCATAGCAGAGCCACAGCCACGGTCCAGTCCATTGATTTGCCAGCCTTTCAATAAGTTCCCAAGTCCGCCATTTATCATGGCTTTCTGGCCATCCATACACACCCGAGAACCTCCAAACTTCTCCATCTTCCTCTCTCACCTTAGCATCAATATGGTTCATTGAGAGCGATATAACTGTAATCTCCATCCCCTCCTTCCACCAAATACTTACCCCTCCAGCTCGTCCTCCTCGTGATCTATCAGTAGCCCAACTATCTCCTTCTTTACAACCCAGCTCCAGCCTTGTTAATTCATTTTCATCTTTTGTTTGCTTAGTTTCCATTAAGAAAACTAAGTCTGGGGAGATTTGTCTTAACAACGAACCCAGTGCTTTAACTGCTCGCTTCTTCCCCAACCCGCGGCAGTTATAGCTGAGTATCTTCATTTATTACCCGAAGGGGATCGGTTCCCCGCACCATTCTTATTCAGGCCCTGCATGACTGGTGTGGCTTTCGTATTCACATTCTTATCATTCTGAGAAACGATAGAGGTAGGTTTATGCGATGCTGCCTTGGTTAATGTACCACCACTCGCTTGTCTGTGTCTTTCTTCTCCCGGTTCCCAACCACCTCCTCCTCCGTTGTGTTATCCAGGATTCTGTCCTTGGGGTTGGGTCGGTCAAACCCGCCAGTTTTCAGGTTACTCTTCTTTCCACTATTGTCATTCATTCCATGGCTCTTCTTGTTCCCTTCATTTTGTTTATTTGTATCACCAACAATTTGCTTTGTGATTTTAGTTCCTGCTTCCCCTGCTCTTTCACTCGTGGCTTCCTTCCTTTCTGTTGAGTGTTCGACGTGTGCATGACCATGCACCACGTGGGCCTCTTCTCCAAGAGTGGCAAATCTGTTGCCTTTTTGTAAATAGTTCTTAGGTGCTTCTCCATGGTTCCCTCTCTGGCCTCCCCTACCTTGTGGCCTTCGATCCTTCCTTCTCACCGTCATCCAATCCCCATAAGCTTTGCCTTTCGATGGGTCATTTTCTTGTTGCGTTTCTTCCACCATGTCTACCTCAGCCGTAGGGCTCACGGGGGCCGGGTTTCAGCATGGGCATTGGGCGGACGACTTTTCATAAGACCCACATTGGTCACAGATGTTTTCCAAACCTTCATAGCGAATCAAATATTTCTTTCCTTCGATGCTGTATTTTGCTAACAATGGTTGAGTCAGGTCTACCTCCACATAGACATGGGCAAACTTTGTTCTTGCCCCTAACTCCGTTGCCCTGTCCACACGGATTGTATTCCCGATACTCTGAGCTATAATGAGAACAACTTCCCTATTGTAGAATTCCACCGGGAGGCCTGGAAGCTGAACCCATACCATTTTTCTTTTAACTTCTGCAGTACAGGGGTTAAACCCCTTGAACCAGTGGTGTACCGTTAGATAGGTGTCTCCTAGCAACCATGGTCCCCCCATCGTTGCAAACTCATAGTCCTTTTGGCTTCTAAAATGAACCATAAAGCATCCATTCTCCATATATGAAATCTGCAGGTCGCCATGGTGAGCCCACAACGAGTTTAGTCGCCGCGCAAGCGGCACATATGATATCTTTCGCCCCAGGCCTTGTACCACCAATGCAGACCTCCACTCTCTTCTCCATTTTATCTTTTGTGCTGCCGTATATAAGATCTGGGGACAGGTCGGGTCATAGTTTTCTTCATCCAACACATCATCTTCCTCCTTCTCCCTTTGCGCCACATCTTCCGTATCAGAGTCTTCTACATACCATCCTTCCTCCCTAACAACATCACTGAAGAGATTGCCCGTCCTTCCATTCCATGCTCCTTCCCCTCCTTGCTTTCCCTGGCCATCGCCTGGGTTCCTTTCCGTTTCCTCCGCTTCCATATCCGTTGTAACGTCGTCCTCTAGACCCACCAATTCCTGATCGAGGTTGAGTGCCCTAGCTCTTTTTTTGAGTTGGACAGCTTCCTTCGCACTCTTGCCATCTGGTGATGAGGAAGCTATCGCTAGACGCCTTGCCCCCGCTATCATCTCAGGAGGTTTGGCCGGTGGCGTCAGCTTGTTGGACGGCACCGGCGCCGGCGTGAGAGCCAGGAAACCCTAATCGCCGATAGGGCGTTCTACTTTTCGCTACTCCGAGAAAGTCGTTTACTCAAACCCTCGTTTAAGTGAAATTCCGCTACTCCGCAAAAAATTTAATTACCTCAAATTGGTTGGAATTTAGGAGAATAATTAATGGACAAATCTTTGTAGTTACAGAAGGTGTTAATTTTATAAAGAGTGTGTTTAAACTTGGGAATTCATTAAGAAAAAATAATTAAGATTCATCTGGTGGCGTGGGATAAAATGGCCGAGCCCAGAGCGCAGGGAGGAGGGGGTCTGAGGTCCGTCCGGCATGCAAACCTGGCTATGCTTGCTAAAGGCGGGTGGAGGATTATTAAAGAAAAAGACTGCTTGTGGACTCAAGTCATGCGATCGAAGTACGGGAAGCAACGGGAAGGTCTTGAAGTGCTTCGTCCTGTTAAGGGAGGTTCCTTTACCTGGAACAGTTTGAATAAAGCCTCAAACCTTCTTCGGAAGGGCTGTGCGTGGAATATTCATAATGGGAAAGGAGCTAAGTTGTGGCGTGATGTTTGGCTTTTGCAGGTTCCTTTGACCGAGGTGGCGCTTCAACCGGTAACGGAGGAGATGCTGAATGAGCATGTGGCGGATTATGTTGATGAAGAAGGTAGCTGGGACATCGATCGCTTGGAGGTTTGGCTTCCTCCCGAGGTGCTCCAAAAGATCACGGCGAACCTGGTGGATCCCCTTTCTCTGGAAGAAGACACTATCCTCTGGACCGCTTCCTCGAATGGCCACTTCTCAACCTCCTCGGCCTACAGTCTAGCCTTACCTCCAAGGCACGACCCGAATGAGAAGATGTGGCGAACCATTTGGAAGCTCCCGGTTGCAGAAAGAGTCAGGTGTTTCGTTTGGCTGATGTCCCTAGGGCGCATCGCGACGAATGTTCTCTGCTATTCCCGTAAATGTGCGGAGTCCCCCATGTGCCTTAGATGCGGGAACGACGAAGAGACCATCCTTCACTTGCTTCGGGATTGCTACCCTGCTCATTTCTTCTGGCTGAGATGGATCCCCCAGGCGGAGCATCAGAGCTTTTTCAGCAGCAGTCGGGAAGATTGGGTCCGAGACAACATCCTTAAGGAGGATGTGATGGAGTCTGGTATGAATTGGAACAGCTTCTTTAGTACTGCAGTGTGGTGTATCTGGAAGAACAGGTGTACAGGGTGTTTCCAGGGGTTGCAGAAGGCGCTTTCTGCACCCTCCCTTGCTTTCTCCATCCAGCAAAAGACTATTTTGTGGCATAAAGCTTGGCAGGCCCCTACGGTGAACTTTGGCCGCCAGGGATCCAGGCCGGAGAGGATTGAGACGCAGATTCATTGGAGAGCCCCTCGAAATGGGTGGGTCAAGCTTAACGTGGATGGGGCGTCGGCGGGCAACCCGGGGATTGCTGGAGTCGGGGGTAGTATCCGCGATGAGCATGGTAAGTGGATCCGGGGCTTTGTTGCTAAAGTGGGTGAAGCCTCGGCGACCCTTGCTGAGCTCTGGGCTATTTACTATGGCCTTCATCTCGCCAGGAAAGCCGGGCATTCTTGTGTCCTTGTTGAGTCGGATTCTCAGTTGGCTATCGCTTTGATTAAGAGTCGTCATGACCCAGTTCATCCCTACGCCGCTTTGTTGGCTTAGATTCGGAGGTGTCTAGCGCAGGATTGGTTGGTCAGCATCGGGCATGTGTATCGAGAGGGGAATAGAGTCGCGGACTGGCTCTCGAAGCACAGTCTCGTCTATCCCCTGGGTATGCATGAACTTGTTGATCCACCGCCGGCGTTGACTCCTATTCTTATGGAAGATTGTATGGGCATTTCTTTTCAGCGTCGTGTTGTGACGCATCCCTCTTACTCTCTGTAATCCTCTTTGCGGCTTTGGCCTCCCTTCAATGCAAAAAAAAAAAAATTAAGAAAAAAAAATTATTGATTAGTCTCCCTCCCATCAGAGTGTGTGATATCTTTTAATCTTACAGGTTACAACCAAGCCGAGCCAAGCTGATGAAGGATGAGACGAATAAAGACAGCAAGAAGCCACCTGGCCGGTCACCAATTGTTCTATTATAGCTGGCACTGAAACTAATTAAATAATCTTAATTAACAAGCTCTGTCACTTACTGGTGGAATGAAAGCGATTAGCGCTCTTACACCAGACCCGGCTTAGCACTAATTAACATTGCCATTTCTTAAACATAGTTTTATTTTTATCTCCTTTTTTTTCCCCTAATAGTTTGCTTCCTTCCAAAATGTCATTTTCCCTTAATTAATTTCCTTAACCACCCGCTCAGAATTTCAGTCTCAACCTCCCAAATCTCTCTTGGCAACAATTGAAATAAGTGCAAACCTAATAATTGTGGGAGGTTGGACTAGGTGAAATCAATTTCCTATTTCCATTCCGTAGAATTTCATTTCTTTGTACCTAAAATAACATCAATAACAAGGAACAAGCACATAAAATCAGTTTTGGTCGAAGTCCGGTTCCTAAAGTCAAGCTTTCAGTTCATCCATTTTGTCTTTGCTCCTCGTAGAACTAACAGGACTGCCCATTTAGTGGCGAAAACGGCCCTTGCATCGATAGCTCGACAATCGGTCGACTACAGCTATTTTTTTTTTACCCATTTTTAATCAACTGTCAAATTTCCACCCTCAGCACCTTGGCCTCCAACTGATTCTTCATTTCCGAAATGAAACTCTCATTCAATTAAAAAAAAAGTGTTTTAAGTTTAATAGTGATAAAACAATAAAAGAAAGAATAATTCAGAGCTTGAGCATGTTCTTTTTCATGTGCAATCTTTGGGCAAAGGCAACTGAGTGTGTCTGGCCGGCGTTTCACATCTTTGCTGTTCCCCTCTGTTCCTATAATTTATTTCGGTGGACTTCTTGTCTAATACTTATTTCCTTTGAATGAATGTATTCACTACCTTAACATTAAGAAGGAAGATGATAGACCATGATAAAACCATACCGACTCTCAGATGGACAACTTGAACGATACGATATGATTTTACAAACACCATTTTCACCACCTCCATTAGCAAACAAAACAACTCTAGTCAGATCATAACATGTGCTACATGGTAGGATCATTACAGGCCATTCCCGTACTAAAACAGGCTCATACGACTCTAATTCAGAGGCCAAATTTCCCCACCTCGAAAAACATCAACACAGAATCTTTATTGCCGGGTATCCTATCCTCTAGGGGGCATGTAATTGTTGGTATTACTCTACATAATTTTGTGAGTTGCCAAGCGCCTTTTGGCTTAACATCTAAGTGTGTTCGCAAAAACAAGATCACATCTTCGGACAGACCTTACGATCGAGTGAGACTGATGCAGGTGGCGTAGGATTGAAGCACGGTCAAAGCTTGTTCGGTGATGGCTCTGTTCTTAGCACGCCTCACCCAATCACCTGCCATCTGCTCGGCTTGGCTGCCTCTCACGCCGTCTTGAAGAACATCCGCTGCTTCAGCAAGCTTCCCTTCGGATAAGAGAGTTTGAACCCTACTGATTACGGATTCGATCCCATCTCCAGATGGATCCACTTCCTTCAACTGTAGCAGAAAATGAAGATAGTCATTATGGATGCAGCAAAATCGGGTTAAGCAAAATGAGGGTTGGGAAAGTATTTGAGTTTATAGCATGCGAGAGTACCCTCAACCAAGATGCTATCTGGGCCATAGCGTGTGCTAAGATGCCACCGCCACCTGGAGGGATGAGAATGTGATGCCGGAGCGTACCTTTCAGGGCGTTGAACTGTAGAATGAAATGGAGATCGGTTGGTGAGAGACCCCATATGTAATGATCGTTTTTAATATCTGCTCTATTGGTAATATCATTTGTAAATTATGCAATGGAAGCACATGGTACACTATCATGAAATCAGGGCAATAACTGATGATTGGTAAGACAAGCACAATCTATCTTTCGTTCTTGAAAAAGCATGGACAATGCACTCACCTTCCCTATGGAAACAATCAGACCTAAAGAACATTTGCTCCTCTACATCAAGGAGGTAACATCAGAGGTCAATAATATTAACTTCTAATCTAAGTTCAGACCACTAATTGACTATCAAATGGCGAAAGGGGATAAAAACTCCTATATGCGCCAAAATAAAACGATCAAAAGAAATGAACATGCCTTTTGATTTAACTGCAACACAGTGTCTGTGCCAGATTGGCGTGTTTCTTCAGGAAGAGTTGACAGGACCAGTTGAACCAGCGAATCCTTATCAGTGCCTTCCAGATACGCACTTAAATCTTCTAGTTCTTTCTGGATCGGAAGACCTTGAGAAAGTGCGTCTTCTAAAGCAAGTGCACCCTGCAAGCCATATATTTTGGAAGCAAAATGGTTGGTAGGTGGAAATAAATGTGAAGCCTCTATAAAGCACTGGGGGAGAGAAGTTACCAGCGCTAGCTTGTGAACAGAGTGGATCTGGCGAGCCTCTTCTGATCGAGCAAAGAACGCCATGCATAAGGCATCTATCTAGAAAACAAGAAAGCCTCAAACTAGTCAGTTAAGGGATCATCATAGTCACAAGTTATATGACAGGCAAGTTCAACTGTTTGTCAACTATTGCTTGACGTAGACTTCTGAAGCTTGCATAAAAGGAGATCTTACATTAAGATTAGCCTCCACTACTTTTTCAATTTGTGTAGCCTTCTCACTTGCAATTGCTGCAGCCAATTCTGCTTTTGCCAATTCCTGGATCCTTTTTACCTCGGCTTCTGCTTCAGCTTCCTAAATTTCCCAAGAATAGCAAGTTGAAATAACCAAATTGTGCAAATCTTTTATTGGAAGAGACCCCATTACACTGGACAAAGGATAGACACACTGCAAACCTTTTGCTGAAGTTCCATCTTGAGTTTCTCTTCCATTTTCTCTTCAACTGACCTGACTGCAGCTGCTGCTTTTGCCCTCTCTCTTTTGATTTCCTGAATTTGTGCATGTAGTATAAGTATTGCACGAGCAGGTAATGTATGCTCGTATATTCAGGTTCTACAGAGTGCAGGTCAAGAATGGTTATTAATTAGATAAAGAAACTTATACAACCTTATCCAATATTGCAGCCTCTTCTGCGCGCATAAGTTCTCTTGCCCTTGAATCTCTCAATTGCTTTTCATACTTCTCCTGATATTAGGCAATACAAAAAAAAAAAAAAAAAAAAAAAAACTATAAGAGATAAAACAGTATCCATAATTCTATATTATTTGCAAGGGAAAGCATTCCGTGGCCATACCTTCAATACTCTTTTTTCTTGAGTAAAAACTTGGGCATCTAGCTCAGCTTGCCTCTTTTCAGCAGCATGAATGGCTTGAAGAAAATCCATAACCAGCTTTCCATCTTTTGTTACATAACCTTCACTCAGCTCCCCTGCGGTACCCTGCAATTTAAAGGGACCAAGGTTTGTGGTTTCTCATGGTTCTACCAAGGACTCTTTCAAATATAATCACACAAGCATGTTAAATAATAGCCCAACGGGCGGTGAATATTCACCTCTTCCACTGGAGCCTCACTTGACAGCATTTCTACAGTCTTTTCCTTGAGATGGTAAGTGTCAAGTAGATTTGACGCATCAGCACCTTTGTTTAGTTCAGCCTGAATATAAAGATCATGAAGATAACTTAGCTACCATGTGTAAAGCCCCAAACCACCATATTAGCAAGAAGCAGGTTCAGCATTCATTAACAAGGTATAGGAAAAAATCTACAAGTTGAACCATCAAGGTTGGCACATTTAGAAATGGCAGATACCTTCCTCAAAAGGTGGTTTTAGATTTTCAACTTGTACCATAATATTCTTTTACTCTTCATTTCCTTCTCCCTGTCTTTGTATTGCATTGTTTTACTACAAGATGATACCTTATCATAGGCATCAGGAACATAACAAAGGAGAAACCTATAATACAATATCTTGAGGCGACAAAGCAACAGTATGGTAAGGAAAGCTGGCTTAGTTCAGAAATCTTAGCATGTGTTCTTTTTCATAGAACAAATGCAAGCATATTACAGGCAAATACATCACTGCAAAGTACTGGGTGAGTACCTCAGAATTTTGTACGACAGATGGATGATCAGAGATCACCGTCTTTACATCATCCTCTTTCGGTATTACTGAAACTTTAACTTCATCATTCCTCTCTCCACTAATTGTTGGCTCTGGATTTATGCTAGGAACAGTTTCATGATTAATTGATGCAGAGAATTGTGGTTCATGTTTTTCTTTAGGAGCAACTGCAGTATCATCTTCTGCAATCGGTATCGCTGCTTCTGCAGCTTGAGATGGGATTTCACTTATTGTACTGCTTACATCTTCATGATGAGGAATCCCAGTTTGAGTTTCATCCTTCTGCTCAGATTTATCATGGGCAAGATCCACAGGATCTTCAATCTTCTTTCCAGATTCGGGTTGAGGAAGATCTGTAAGATTTTCAACCTTCTTATCATCTTCAATCCCAGAAGTCAGAGTTTCAATCTTCTCACCATCTTCAACACGAGCAACATCATCCTCCGGTTTAACCTTTTGAGCAAATGCCGCCACATCGCCAGCTGTTTTTACCGGCTCTTCAGCAACAATGGGTACCACTTCCTTCCTAATATGTGTTCCTTTCACTTCTACGTGTCCCGCCTGCTCCTTTTCACCAATATATTGATCTAAATAACCTGATTGGTACGCCAAAAAAGCAGCACCAGCAACAGCAGTGGTTCCCAAGATAACTCTGGGCAAAGTACTCTTCGGTTTAGGCGGTTGACCAGCAGCCCCAGTATTTGGAGGCGCATTTTGATGGGGTTTCGTCGAGAAGCCCTTCCTCAGAGAAGGCACTCGCTGTAAAATAGTTCCGAAATCCATAAACAACATGCTATTGGGAAATACAAGCGACATGGATATAAGGTACATCCAACTCTATCGTTTTCGCCCCAAAAGTTTTAAACTTTCAGCTGTTGAGTAAGTAACCCATTACACAAAAACGCCTACCAATCCCCACAAACAAGTCGCTCAAACCCCCATTGTCAAAATACTAATAAGGAGCAATAATTCTCAACTCCAACAAACAATAGAATGATGGGGAAAAGAGAAACGAAATTCGAAGAGTACTGTTGAATACTACGTACAGGAGGAGTAATCTGCCTCGGGTGAATTGATCGACGAGACGACAATGCCAAAATCGACCTGCATAGCAAGAATTCACCATTGCGAACACTTGAGGGATCAAGCTCGAAGACGGATAAAAAAATTGACAAAAGAGACTGGTGAAAGTTTGGGCAACGTAGGAGATTGGAAGAAGGATCAGCAGTACCTTCGGAACATCGTTTCTGAAGGTTGGAAATTCCCCCTTCGGCGGGACGGCGGAGCTCCGGTAGAAGTTTCCGACTCACTTTTCTGAATCGATATCCCTCGGTAAGTAAGCGCGAGCGAGAGTTTGTCGAGAGAGAGTTCGGAAAATCTGCAGTGTTCGGCCACACCTGACACGTCGTCGTTTTACCTTTAACTGAAATCGGTTTCAGTTTAGTTTTGATTCGAACCGGTATCTAGCCAGGTAGGAAATTTCCAAACCAAGTTTGATTCGGTTTAAATTCACATGGGAAGAGAGCTCACTAGGCAAGCCCAAGTGAGGCCCAATTTCTCATCGTCAATCTGGCCCAGCCCAAGTGAGGCCCAACTTTCAACTTCTTCTTCCCAATTTTCCATCATCTCTTTTTCTTTTTCTCTTCAATTTCTCCGACAGATAATTCAACCACAACACGAACTCTCACAAACGAACAGCCCTTGCCCCCTGTGAGCTGACGAACCATAAACCCTAATTTTCACCCCTTCGCAATCCCATTTTCTTCTTTTAACCTTCCATATTCTCTCGTCATCGCAACTGAAAATCAGCATTTTCATTCGGTGTAATTTCTTTTTGTCGTAACGCCTTCGGCTTTAGCTTGCTTTGGTTTCTCTCGTCTGTGTTGTTTTTTTCAGGGAGTTGAAGACGTGATTCCGGTCGCGTTTCGTGTAGGGTTCGTCGGAAACATTGCGGGTAATCGCCGATTTCGGCTTGGGCGTCTTGATCGGGTCGCTTTTGGTGGGGTTTCTGCTGTGAATATTTTAGGGTTTCCGCGTTACTTCCAGAAAAATTCCAGACCTTCCTCTTCCTCTTCTGTCCGTTGCGTTGCATTGGGTTTTTGTTCTTGGAGCTGCTCGAAGCGATTTCCTGTAAGTATGCCCGTCTAAGAGCTTGGTGCTCGTCTTTCTGTTTTTTTTCCCCCTTCTTTTCTTGGTAAGTTGCTTGTTTTATTCTTCCTTTTGTCTTGTGGAATGTGGGTTTTACTGATACTTGGCACTGGAGTTTGGTTTTGTGATTCTTATTCTGGCTAAAGGTGGTTACTTGTTATGTTATTGGTCATGTTTGGCGCTTTTACCTAGTCATTGACGTGTTTTTACGATAGGATATGTAGGTTGTACCTTTCAAAGATGATTCAACTTCTAAGGATTGGTTATGATGGGATTTTGTACTTTTAACAAATTGTCTCTGTTTCTTTAGATTGGCCATCTGTTCTTCATCGGATGTGGTTCTTACTTGAGTTATTGTTGGAAGCAGGGCGTTTCTTTATCTGATTGGCAAAGATGTCATCCGAATACCCGATCCTTGATAATAGACCTATAGATCAGTGGAAGGTCGTAGAGCTGAAGGAGGAGCTCAGGAAGCGGAAGTTGGCAATCAGGGGTTTGAAGGATGATTTGATTAAGCGTTTGGCAGAAGCAATACGTAGCGAGGGTGAAAATGTACAGGATGAGGTGGATAACCGTCCGAGTCATCCAGCTGGTGACAAGAAAGGTGCAGAAGAAGTAGGGGTTTCAGAGAGAGAGAAGCATGCCCCATTGGTTGATGGTTCCAACATTAAGAGTTCTGATGCTGGCAAAGTTGGTGCCAATGGTGGTCTGGAGGCTGTCGGCCAAGAAAAAATGCATGATGAGGTAGCGACAGGAAATGCTCTTCCTTCAAATGGAGGAACACCTCTTGATGGTCATATAGAGCCTCTGGAGGGTGAAAGTGAAGTCACTGAAAGTGCTGCAGTTATTGAGACTGTGGTTCCTGATTTGACTGACAGTGGAAAAGCTGAGGAAAATTCTGGTACACAGGAGATTAAGGATAATTCAAATGATCATCTGGATAATGGGGATCCAAAACCACTGCACGAACATGATAGTCATGTACCTCAGTTGGATAATGAGGATACAAAGCCCCAGCTGGAGCAGGAGGATAAGAAATCACTGTTGCAGAATGAGGACTTAAAGCCTCAGTTTGAGAGTGAGAATTCGAATTCTGAGTTGGGAAATGAGGATTCAAAGCCTCAGCCAGAGAGTGAGAATCCAAAGTCTGAGCTGGACTGTGAGGATTTGAAGCCTCCACACGAGGTTGTCAAGCATGACCCATCTGCTCCAAATGACCAGGTATCTGAGGTTAGCCCTAGTTTAGGGTTTCAAGCAAAATCTGATTCACTTTCTACTGATTCTGTATCTATTAATGAAAAGAATGAACTAAAGGATAATATAATTGCTGATAATGTCAAATTAGAACTAGATGTTGTTAAACCAGTGATGGTGGAACTATCATCATCAAGTAATGTTGTCCCGTTTGGTGGTGAATCACATCCTATGGATGTTGAAGATCCACAAGAAAAGAAGGCATTGGTTGAGGATAAAGATGGAGGCTTTGATGCGTATATTGGAGACGTGGAGAAGAAAATTGATAGCATTGATGTGGGTGATTCTGAGAAGTTGAATCTGGATAGAAGTTCTGGTGATGATTCTATGGATGAAGATATTTTGGAGAGTAAGCAGATTGATTCGAAGTATAATTCCGATGAAGTGGTAAATAAAAATGAGACAGATGAAGTGCCTGTTGACATGGAGGTTAATATGGTGAAGCTTGATGGAAATAAGCCATCTGCGGACCAAACAGAAACTCTAGTTGAGAATAAGAGTGGTCAAGATGTAGGTGTTGAGAAGAGGAAGCTTAATGGTGAGCTTTTGTTTTCCCCCCTTGCAATAGTTATTGAATCTGATTCAATGCTCTGGTGATGCTTTGGCATTTACGTCTCTGATGATATATATTCTTATTGTATTCATTATTATCCCCTCGAGCCATTTGGCCCACTCGACGGTTAAGTAGAAGGTGTCCTTTCTGTTCGCAAATCTTTTGAGCAGCATTATGGAAACATTCTGATGTCCTGTTCTGCATCATAAATTTATGTTTTATATATTCACTTTGTCCGCCTTGAATTTGTTTCCAGACCAGGAAGCTGTGAGCACTGAACCGTTGAAGAGGCAACGGAGGTGGAATTCCGATAGCAGCAAGTCTCTTGACGTGCAAAATCCTAGTCAGACTTCTACTCTTACTCATGTATCCACACTTAAGGATACTGCTTTTCAGCCTCTTAAGCGAAACTTCTCTCGATCAGACTCCATGGCCAGTGAGGAAGCACCAAAGGAGCGTGTTGGTGAGTTGTAGATCTTTCATCAATTGAAGATGCTTACAGCTGAAACGTCTGGTGAAACATCTAACAAGCTCTTATTGACCGACTTGTTTGTAGTTCCACCATCGCAGAAGCCTCCAACCACTTCCCTGAAAATCGATCGATTTCTGCGTCCTTTCACTCTGAAAGCTGCCCAAGAACTTCTGGGGCAGACTGGGACTGTGACAAGTTTCTGGATGGACAACATTAAAACCCATTGTTTTGTCACTGTGAGTGAGCTCCCTCTCTCGGGTCTGTTAGTTTCAGCTTTTGCTAAACGATAAATCATTTCTGAATTTCATTTGAAGTAAAGAAAAGGTTTGCATTTGGTGATGTTTCTGAAAAAGTAGATGAGATATGAGGAATGTGTTTATTTCAGTTTTAAGAACTTATTTTCAGCAGAAAACCCCAAGATCCTCTTTTCTTGGTTGTTTGAAAGCTGAGAAACATGCTTTTATCGTTTCTTTTTTTCTTCTTTTTCTTGGCAGTACTCTTCAGTGGAAGAAGCCGTGGAGACTCGAAATGCTGTGTATAATCTCCAATGGCCTCCAAATGGCGGACGCCTCCTGGTTGCAGAATTTGTAGATCCTCAGGAAGTGAAGTCCAAGGTGGATGCACCTCCTCCATCTCCTGCTGCTGCTAAGCCTGCGTCTGCTCCTGTTCCTGCACCATCAAGCCAGCCACAGCCTTCACCCCGCCTGCAGGCTACTAGACAGCAACTGCCACCACCGCCTCCCCTTCCTCCACCGCCGCCACTATCGAACCCGCCTCTGGTTAAGGAACGGCTCGTGCCTCCGCCACCTCCACCACTAGCTGAGAAACCCGAGGCCCCTATTGTGACCCTAGACGACCTGTTCAGGAAAACCAAAGCAGTCCCTCGAATTTACTACCTTCCGCTGTCGGACGAACAAGTGGCCGAGAAGAAGAGACGTGGGCAGCAGGGTAGAAATGGCAGGCCCTAGGGAAGTTTACATTTGTGGCTCTGCTTCTTATGGGGTTAGAGTTAGAGTATCATAAAGTTTCGGTCTTTGCAGGTTCTGCAGGTTTGGGGCGTAGCAGAGAGGGAGATGTATGGATTTGTGTACTCTGAGGATTTGCATTTTCATCTTTTTCCACCCTTCTCTTTTCTGTAGCACTAGAGACCATGGAATTAGCATATTAGGGGCACTCTGTTTTATGAGTGAGGTCAAGTGTATCTGTCTCTACATATTTCATTCCCCTTTGGGTATATACTATTTCCAAGTTGTCGAGCGTTTTAAGGATGCTGAAATACCCCAACTTCCCTATGAATCTATGATGGTGCTTTGCCTTAGTTACAATGAGGTTCCCAACTTTGGTTTTGGTGCTCTCTTGCATTAGGAATCACTAATTTCCATGGTCCATTAAACCGTATCGTATCGGCGGTTCAACCACAAAATATCAGTATCGTAGGCTAACTCGATAGGCGGTATTTAACGGTGTTAACGGTTGAACTACGGTTCAACCACGATTTTACCGGAAAATACCCTACTACTAACTTTTCCGGTACGGTGTCCGGTACTGTTTCATGGACCATGCTAATTTCGAAGAAATGTCACATTGACAATAGCACGTTAAAAAACTCAGTGTTCTCGGTGTTCTTTAGTTTTAGTTTCTTGCGTATTTTGACATTTTTTATCTCACACTCTTCCTTTTATATCTCGATGCTTGCTTGTGGAGCTTTTGCAAGTTCCATTCATGCCGACGAAAAATCAGATTAATGGAGATCTTTGTTGCTCCACTAGTGTTGACCATGAGTGTACAACAAGAGAACTACATCCAAGCTACCATCTTCATCCGAACAAAAAAAAAAAATAAAAGTTGGTAGTTCTATTGACAATTTCTTTCTGATCTGTCCTATCCAATTTGTTTGACATGTTTTGAGTGGTAATACCTGTCTTGTAGGTGGGTTGGGCGGACATGAGTACTCCCCTTGATCTTACTCGTCCTGATTTGCTCAGTTCTCGATCCGTTTTGTCTAAATTATATGTAATTTTACTCAAATTATTTAGGATTTTACTTACATTACATTATATTTTAGCTATTAAACATTACATTATATTTTAGCTATTAATAAAGTTATAAATAGGCGAGAAGTTCTACTTTTTGAATAATTTAACTACATATACAGTGACAAGAATCAATGTTCCAAATATATATATATATATTTTTAAATTACAAACCGATATAGGTCTATCAACCTTCACCCTACCGACCACGGGGCGAATACGAGTGACAAGATTGAACAGTGATACAATTCTAACGATCAAAGTTTACTTGATCTATCTACATGTTTATTATGGGCAGCCATCCATTGCTTCCCCAAGGCAATGAGCTCTCCATTGCTCCTCCTCCGAACCTCTATCACCACTGAAGCCAACCTTTCCTTCTCCCCCACAACCTTTGCTTCTAACTCCATTTTTTCCTGATCACACATTTCACACTACTCACTGAATTGTATGGGTAAAGGACTAAATTGTTGATTAACTAAAACCACGAGGACCTGGGAAGTAATTGACCCTCTTTCACTGTTTCGCAGTTTTTCCGTTTACCTCAGATTTAGCAGTAGAGAGGAAAGAGATGGTGAAATCGAGGGAAGCTTTGACATGGCCGACCAATGAGAAAATCGCAGCCGCACCCACATCGTCGATCATCGTCGCCATCGCTCCGACGTGCCAGTTCCCATCTCCGTCCTACCAATGAATTGAACCCCCAATTTCAATTGAAAGAGAAAAGCTCCATTCACGAGGGAAAAAGAAAGAAAGAAGGAAGAAAGTTCACTGACGGTGATGCGATCGGGGACGGTGAAGTGACAACGGATGAATCCTTTGCTGGACTCCACAATCTTGAGTCCGTCCATGGTCAGCCCTTCCAGTTGACCATGCGGAGCTCTGGTCAGCCCCTCCAGCCATTCGTTGGATACGGCTACTGTGTCCATCGTTTTCTCCGTCTTCTTCTCGTCCCCAATTCCCATTGATGTTCTTCTGTTTCTAGGTTCTCACTCTCGGTTGGCTGTTCACATAAGCTGAAGTCTTCGATTTTTTTGGGGTTCCGACTCTTGTTGTTCTTCTACTTGTTTGTTTTATACTAACAGAAGAGAAGAGGGCTGTCCAAATGTAATGGAATCTATTTCTTTATGAAGTAATTTGGTGTTTTCAAGATCCGACTCTAGTAATCACCGGCCAATTGGGGGAATTTTCCAAATATATCACCCAAAAATTAAAAAAATTCAAAAATTCAATCATTTTAAAAAATTTCCCTCTTTATCACCAATTCACAAGGACTACATCCCGGACTAAATTTGTAAAAAAAAAAAAAAAAAATATTATGAGAGGCGCTCTCTCCCCTCTCCTCTTGTTGTACTCGCTGCTTGAGCGATGGATCTCTCGGGCCGCCGTCGCTGTCTTCGAGTCCAGTTGGCGGAATCAAAACAAGGAAGATTGGTACAAGGAATCGTCTCCGGCTTGTACCCAGGCTATGGGAATGGACGAAATCCTAATCAAGAATGAGATAGGTGGCCGCCTCCTTGCTGTCGCGAGCCTGATGCCGGAAAAAGCTTCTCGGGGGGTGGAATGGCGCAGAGCACGACAGTGCTGCCTAAGGAAACGAACGCGTCTGTTTGCTTCGGCGGAGTTGGGGTTCCCTGAGGAACGCCCCCTAAAGCGATTACGACATAAGCAGAAGAATCAATGGAGGTTTTGGCTCCCCTCCTCGTCAGAGTTGGATGGGGAGGAACCTGTTCTAGCCCCGCTCGCGGGGAGTAATACCCAGAAAACAGAAGTAAGGATTGAGCACCCTGCTCCTTGTGAAAACCCAGCTCCATCGACTCCCTTCGGGGAAGGGATCTGTCCTGCGAAATCTAAAAGGGGGAGAACAGAAGATTGGAATACCCCCTTGGGGGATTTAGCTCCCTGTGTGTCACCGAGCAATTGGAAGTCGACGATTCAAGCAAGTCCGTCCATTCCCAGCGCCGTCGATGTGAAGAGAGACGACAAGTCTGGGGTCGCCGATCTTCGGCGCCGGCTGGTGTGGCCACGGAAGATCAAGACAGTTAAGATTGGGTCTGCTCCAGAGATCCCGGTTTTGTTGAACGGGATTCTCGGACAAATTCTCCGCGTAAAAAATCAAAAAAATTCCCCGTGCCAGAGGTCTCCAATTCCGAGTGCAAATCTAATTGCTGACAGTCACTGTGGATCACGACTCCTCCTGGGCCTCACGGGTCCTTTACCCTATAAAATTGCTCAGCTGAACGCTAATCGGCCATTGTGTAGTGATCGATGCTGGGTGCTTTCTCCAGAGGCAAAATTAGTAGCTACCCCCAGCCAGCAGTGGCCTGTCCCCGAGTTTGCGTCAGGTAAAGGGACTCGTTCCCTCCCTTCTTCCGCCCGTGTTGTTGCGAGAGGCGTCCCTTCCCTTGGGAATTTTCTTTCCCCTTCGCAAGTCCCTGGGATGCTGCCGCCGATGTCAGTGGCTGGGTCGGCGATCCCAGCTGCCTCCTCTTCCCTCGTCTCTGTGGCGAGAGGCACCTTTTCCCTCGGGCATTTTAATTTCAATTCGAATAACACTAGGTTGCTGCCGCCTGTATCTATTACTGAGTCGGCAATCCCTCTTGTCTCTACTACCCTCGTTAATAATGGAAGTTCATTTATTCCCCTTGGCCTGCTGAGACCAATCCCAGTGATAGAAAAGACGCTACCTATGGCATCTAACGCTTTATCTCTCCATGCTTGTTAGGTGAATACGATGTCGCGTATTGCTGAGGATCAAGTGGTCGAGTTCTCACTTGAGGAGGTCCAATCTGTGAGGTTTCGCACCTCCAGGACCCTAATGGGAAGGCTCTATTCGGAGGCCACACTCACTACCACAGAACTGAAAGAAGGACCAGTCGAAGCTTGGCGGGTGAAAGGAAACCTTAGGGTTTCACTCACTAAATTTGGCCTATTTGAGGTGGTTCTTCCAAGTGATGAGACACGGGTGTGGGTCCTAAAAAGAATGCCCTGGATAGTCAAATACAGGATTTTCCATCTACGATCCTGGACGCCATCTATTTCGAGGCTCACCTTTGATGAATTAGCCATTGCTCCCTTTCGAGTCCAACTTTGGAATGTGAAAGATGACTGTTGCACTAAGCAGTTTGGCCGTAAAGTGGCAGCTGTGACTATTGGGCAGGTATTGGAGGCAGACGTCTTTTCGTCCAAGGAGACGGATGAGTGCTTTGTGAAAGTGCATGCTCTCATCGATTTTACTAAGCCTTGGTGGTCTCAACTCATGGTGGTAAGCGAAGAGCTTGGCAGTTTCTGGGTGAATCTCAAGTATGAGTTTTTACCAACCGTCTGCTTCCACTTTGGCTGCGTGGGACACTCCAAGCGCAACTATGTTTTTGATCCCCCTCCGGGTAAAGAACGCTTCGGACCACATATGTCAACAAGGAATCTAGGAAGGAAGATTTACATGGACGAGGATGATTATCCTAAGTTTCGAGATACAAGCAAGTATGTGTGGGTTAACAGGAATGTCCAAATGAAAAAGGGATGGGAATACGTGGAATGCCAGGGGTCGAGAGGAGGAGGTACCAAGGGTGCCCATTGAACACGCCCAGGCTCCAGGGTTGTACCCCACTCGGCCCACGAAACCAGAAGGCCAAGCTAGAAAGAAGACACAACCTAGGATGCGAGAACCAACCAATCAGTTGGCCGGAAATCGTACTAGCCCAATGAGGTTTATCTTCAAGAAGTCACCTCGGGTTAAGATTGGTGGTGGTGTTAGGAAATAACAGAAGGAGTGCTGCTCTTCCTCGACAAGACACTAAGAGCCGCCAGCAGCCAAGTAGGCGCGTGAAGCAGAATCCCCATCACCAGCAGGTAGCAGAACCGGTGGCGGTGGCTCTCGAGCAATCCCGGAGGCCTAGAATGATTTTTGCAGGAGGAATCCGAGGAGGATGAGATTGCGGGGGAGGTATCCAAGCATCCCAGGCATACACATGCCCCTGCTGGCCCCACAAAGGTCTCTGCTCCTAAACCGCGGAAGGATGCTCGGATGCCCTCCAAAACCGTGTCCCAGCCAGGGGTCTTGGCACCTCGGGTTCACCCACCCCTGAGAAAAAGGGAAGCTAGCTGCCCTCTGACTATGTCCAACCAGGATGAGAGCGCTACTTCAGTAGGTGCTATGCAGGATCTGGAAGACAAAGAGATTGGTGCTACTCTTGATGATCCCATTTTGGAGGATCACCAGCAGGCCTCGGACTCTGATGAAGATTCATCGCTGGAGGATCCTCATTCCTTTGAAATCAAGCGCCGGTCACCTACTGATACCTCCATGGAGATCCCCCAAGTCATGAGAGGTCGTGTTCACCAAGTGGTGGAGGCTTTTGAAGCTGGGCTTGTCATTGGGCTGGTGGAGGATGCTCCCCGTAAGGGGTTGAGCTTGAACCTAAACGAATACGGGGCTAACCTGGTGGACCCAATCATGGAGAATCGTAAACGTGTGCTCAAGGAGGTGGATGAGGGTGTGGGAGACCCTCCTAGCCCGAAGAAGCAATTTGTGGAGTCAGCTGATGTTGTGGAGAAGGTGGAGGAAGCCAGCCTCGAGTGGCCCCCAGCCTATAAATGAGGCTTCTGGCCTGGAAAGTGAGAGGAATTGGGCCATCCATCACCTTCCAAACTGTTGTAGGGCTTGTTCATTCTAATAAACCGGATCTCGTGTTTTTTCTGAAACGCGATCGAGTCGGCGTGTAGTGTCCCGTCGTATGCAGGGTTTAGGTTTTTCTCTTTGTCATTGTTTTTTTGTAGATGCAGTGGATGCATCGGGTGGTTTAGTAGTCGTTTGGTCCCCCGTGGTTGACACTTTGGTCTTTTGTCATTCCAATTTCTATATTTGTTCGCAAATTAATGAAAGAGATTTTTCTTATGTGGTGATCTTTTTCTACTTTAATTGTAATATTGCTGTTCGGGCCAATCAATTGGCACATTTGAGAGAAGTTTGCACGACTATTCATCACCCCTATGTGATCATAGGTGATTTTAACACCACCCTCCACGAGGGAGAAAAAGATGGGGGCCGAGCATGGAATGCTGCACAAGCCATTACTCTTCGCGACTTTGTTCATGATTTGGGGCTCTATGACCCAGGCTACCAAGGGGATCAGTTCACTTGGACCAACAAGTGTATGGGTGCAGCTTGTATTTGTGAACGTCTGGATAGGGCACTTTGCTCCAAATCATGGATTGATGCTTATCCGGAGACTCTGGTCAAACACTTTACGGACCAGGGATCGGAACATCGTGCTCTTCTTCTCGTTGATAAACTGTATATTCGGAGTAGTCGGCCTCTATTCCGATTTGATGCTCGTTGGGCAGATAACCTAGAGGTTGGCCCACTATGTTTGGCAGGAGGAGATCCAAGGTACCCCAATGTTTCGACTATGGGAGCGCCTCAAGAAACTTCGCCACCTGCTGTATGATTGGAGCAGGGCAGGCACTACGAATTCCCTGCGGAATATCAAGACGCTTCAGGAAGAGATTGATCGGATCAAGTCAATCCATCCGGTGGATTGGGATGTGATCAGGACCATGGAAACGGAGCTGACTCGTCAGTGGGAAGCAGAAGAGATATACTGGCAACAAAAGTCCAGAGTCCGGTGGTTAAAAAAAGGGGATCAGAATTCTGCTTATTTCCATACGGTCACTCGCGCGCGACGTAAAATAAATTTTGTTTCTGGGCTCCGGAATGATGAGGGCGAATGGGTCACTGTGGAAAGTGGGAAAGCTACTATTGCTACCAATTTTTATCAAACGCTGTTTACCTCGGAGTCCCAGGTTCCTAACATGGCCGATAGGGTGGCGAATCTCCCCATTTCCCATAGTGTTACTCCTCAAATGAATGCGTTGTTGACGGCAGAGGTATTGCCTGATGAGGTTCAGAGTACGGTCTTTTTAATGGGGTCGAAGCAGGCTCCGGGGTCTGATGGATTTACCGGAAAGTTCTTCAAAGCTTTCTGGGATATTGTGGGCACCTCGGTGATTAATGCAGTATGTTCATTCTTTACAACTAGCCGAATGCTGCGGAGTTTTAACCATACCTGGCTCACTTTGATTCCTAAAGTGGATTCTGTAGAAACTATCCGCCAGTTGCGGCCGATTAGCCTATTTCAGTTTGTTTATAAAGTGATAACCAAGATCATGTTTGAACGGCTTGCAGGTCTGCTCCCTAAGATCGTTTCAGAGGGCCAGAATGCGTTTATACGAAACCAGCAAATTATCGATAACATCCTTCTCGGACATGAGTTAATGCATTATCTAAAAATAAAGAAGTAGGGGAAGAATGGGTACATGGCTCTAAAGGTTGACATGGAAAAGGCCTATTATAGAGTCGAATGGTCCTTCCTTCTGGCAGTTTTGGATAAAATGGGTTTTAACTCTGTCTGGAAAGGATGGATACATGAATGTCTTCGTTTCGCTTCTTTTTCGGTCCTGATGAATGGTGCACCCTCGGGGTATTTCAATTCCTCTCGGGGGCTCCACCAAGGGGATCCATTGTCGCCTCTCTTGTTTGTGCTATGCACGGAGGGGTTTGCGACCCTTTTCGGAAAGCGATCTCGGAAAATAAGTTGGAGAGGGTGAACCCCCCTTGCTATAATCCCGGGTCCTGCCAGATGGGGGGGAACCCCTTGGTGGCGGAGGTTATTTGTCACGGGGAAGGGCGTTGGGCTGATGAAAAGCTTAATCAATGGTTTGATCCGCCTACCTGTTGTGCCATTAAGGCTATCCCACTTCCGCGGCAGAGTGTGGGTGATAAACTTATCTGGCATAACACAGCTGACGGGGTGTTCTCGGTTAAGTCGGCTTATCATTTGGCTGTTGAGCTAGACAGGAGGAGGGGTGGGTGGAGGTCATCGGTTAGTTGGATGGATAAGCCCAGTTGGATCCGACTGTGGGAAGCTAAGATCCCTCCAAAGCTGAAGGTCTTTGTCTGGAAAATTCTTCATCGGGCTCTGCCGACCACCGAGGCTCTCATTGAAAAAATGGATCTTGTGTTGCCTCGGTGTCTGGTGTGCTGGGATGGTCCCGAGACGATGGAACATATGTTTCTTTACTGCCCGGTTGCGCGGGCTCTCTGGGACTACTCGAGATTGGAATATTTGGGTGAGGGTTTGCCTCGGCACACGTTTCCTTTATTTCTCAAGCAGATACTCGCCCTTGTCCATCAACTAGCGTTGTTCATGGGTGTGGTTGTCGTCCTTTGGCGGATCTGGCAGTCCTGGAAGAGATATGTCAGTATTTTCGTGCCCATCCTGGGTTTAGTGTGTGGTATGTAGGTCGGGAGAACAATAGGGTAGCTCACTCGGTAGCTAGAAAAACCCTCTCTTTGTTTCCGACTGTAAGTCGCTTTTTTGATTTCCGGACCTGGCTGATTTCCAGGATTTAACTATCTATTTGATTGGATTAATATATATTATATTTTGACAAAAAAAAAAAAACACAAGGACTGCATCCCTCCATGGGCCATGGAAAATAAAACGAGTAGCGCAGGAGGTGTTGTGGCTTCCTTTTTAGCCGCTAACAGACCGCGTGTGTCGCTGGATGACCGTCCACCACCTCAGCGATCCGCGCGACATCTCCCTCCATCCGCTTCTCTTCCGCCAAAATCGTCATCCCCCATGCGGTTTGAAATGCAAAACGAGTTCACTTGTATCGGCTTAAATCATTGAAAACAACCAACACGATTTACAAAATGGTATAATGGACTTATGTGTATATCTTAAATCTATGATATTCATTTTGTTAATTCCAATTGTTTGGTATAATGGATTTATGTGTATATCTTTCAAATGATATTCATTTTAGTGAATTGAATTTGTTTGTTATAGTTGATTAATGTGTACATCATGCAAATGGTATTCATTTTAGTTAATTTCAATTGTTTGTTATAAAGTTGGAGACGATGAGGCACTTTGTTGGCATCAAGATCGATGCTCAACTCATCACATCATTGGTGGAGAGACGGAGCAAGGAGACACACAACTTCAACTTTCGTGAAGGAGAGTGCATCATCTCGTTGAAGGACATCGCCATCCTAACACATTTGCCCATCGATGGCGATTCGGGGATTGTGAACGATCATACACCGCCTTCCACAGTGGAGGATCTCAACGGTTGGCAATCTTTGCTCTATAGTGCTTTGGGGTTGATCGTGCCAAACACTGTAGAGGGTGGCGTTGCTAATGATGGGAAGCTACCTTTGAGAAAGAACCAAGTATCAATCATTTTTGTTAATGATGCAGATCAAGAGTAAGCACAACCCTGAGCTGGGAGGCAACCCCCCGCTGAGAAAAGTGATGGGAGGGATATGGGAAGCCTTCAACTATTGTTGTCGCTGATTTCTTGACTTCCTAGACCTTTTGCTCATCCTTATAGGCTTGTTGTAATGGCCTCCTATCTTCAGGAAGCTCTTCCCGACAATGTACTCAAGCAATTTTCTTTCTGGGATGCCTTACGACGATGTTGTTGGTGTTGCTGCTTCTTCGTGCTTGGCGATCATTGTGCTATGGTTTATCCAGCACGACATGACTAAGCTTCATAGGCACAACATCTCAAAGAATCTGATCTACATATGCCCCGATTTGAACTCCCAAGACACTTGTTCAGCCACAAAAACAAAGGCACTTTCCATCGACAATTGCATAAAGAAAGGCTAGGATGTCGTTTATAGATAGCCCTAACTCAGCTACTGCCCTTGAACTGATCAAATTATATTTGATCTCTCCATCAACAACCACATAACACAATTTCTCTTGTAACAAGCAAACGGGTGTAGAACGAGTTACCTTGTGGCTCCAACTCTTCTGCCATTGCATGATCTTAAAGAAAACTTGTGATCTTCTCCTCCTTGCCACTGATTTGAACTGGATCTCTGATACCACTTTATACGAGCACAAAACTGGCACCCATAGTTATCAAACTCATGTAGCTACAATCTTTAGGGTTTTCTGAACTTTTCTCAACAACCCGAAAACTATAAGGATAAGGCAGAATTGAACGTGTAACTTCAACACGAAATCGGGAAGAGTATCTAACAATATAATGGTAGAACCTGGACCACAATCAAGAGGAATACTTGATTGATACAGAGACAACACTCAAGCAATTGAAATCCACCAACAACAAGAGTAAATTCGATGAACCATGTTCAACTCAATAATTAATAATCAATGTCCATCCTAAAACTCGTGTTACAACCCTTAAAATAGGTTTGGAAAAATAAAACTAATCAAAAACCCGAAAATGAAAAAGAATTCGAAACACAACTAGTCGGGGGCCTCACTGTTTTGATTCCCCAGTTATTATTTTTTGATTAAATTATCTTATGGTTTGGTTTATAGAATTAAGTACTGGGGTTCATCCATCAGAGGTAAGAGTATAATAGCATGCCTCAAAGTACGGTTAATTCATGGTCTAAATGGAAAAACACGATGGGCATACGGTAAGGTCAGTGTACATTAGACGTATCCTAGCCTACCATATATATATTATATAAAAAATTGACTAATACATTATCTAAGGAACCTCTAGGGTTCACTAACCTACACAACTGATGAACTAGCCACCCAAGGGGGTAGAATCTAAGGAGTAATTCAGTCGGGAAGATGTGAAACCTAGCTTCTGTGAAATGGTATCATAAGGGCAAAGATGATGTCTAAGATGTTGTTTTGCATACTGAGACTGCGGATCATTTCTGGTTCTGGTTAGTTTCTTTATCGACAGAGTAACCTCAATAAGGATGTGTCTTCAATTGGTGGTTGAGGGAGAATATTTATAGCCCTTTCTATAAGGTTTTCTAAGAGATATTGTAGAAGAGTTACTATTTCATAGAGTCACATCACAAGGGGTGATCTTTTTGTAATTAACCAAAACTTGATGGCATTTTTGTGCCATTAAGGTTCTAATTAATGAACTTATGACAATTCAACCAAAATCAATGGGTGTTCGACCTAATTCGACCCGGTCAAAGCGAGTTGGACCCCAAACTATGCGTGTTCAACCTAATTCGACCCGGTCAATGCAAGTTGGACCCAATATTAACAAATTTTCATTAAATTATTAATTAACTTATGAAAATTAAACCCAAATAAATGGGTATTCGATCTAATTAGGGAAAAAATCCCACTATACACATGTTTTTAAAAAAATTTCCCAAAATACATAAGTTATAAAAAAATTTCCCAAAGTACACATGTTTGACAAACGCAGTGAAGCCTATCATCGCATTTGACAAAGACGGTGAATATTTCACCATAAAAAAAAAACGGTGACGTATTCACCGTTCTTCTCTAAAACGGTGAACAACGAGTGAGTCAATCACCGTTTTAGAGACAAATGGTGAATAGATCACCGTTTTAATTAAACGCAGTGTATATTAAACCGCTTTTGTTTGCCACGATGAAGCGACGCGGATCGCTGACGTGGACACCGCGTTAGACAAACACGGTGAATACCGCGTGTTTGTTTGCGTCAGCGATCCGCGTCGTTGACCCACTCACCGTGGCCGTTGGATGCGGTGAGGCGCGGATCGTGGTTTTCTTCCCAGATCCGACGCCTCACAGCACGCCACGTCTGCTCGATCCGCGTCAGGCACCGGTTTTGGGAATGCGATGCATTCACCGCCTTTGAGGGACGCGGTGAATGCTCCCCATCAATCTGCGCAACCCCTCCCATCCTTCTCTATAAATAGAACCCTCCCCCCCCCCCCCTCTCCAAATCACACCACCACATTTACAATTCTTTCTCCCTCAATCTATCCGCTCTAGTCTCGTTCTAAGTATGCTCTATGGTTACGGCTAAGTCCGATCTTCCACATCAGAAAGAATTACTAGAGTTTGACCCTAAAGCCCCCGTCCCGCTAAGCTCCCGTCCCTTACGAACCCAAACCCGTCGAACCTCTGTCCGGCTTCTGCCAAAATATGGACGAAGAGGCTCTTCGTGTAGGTTTTTGTTTTTTTTTTGTGTTTTTATTTTTAATCGAAACAATTTGATTTTGTGATTTTTTTTTTATCAAAACAATCTCTGATTTCATTACTTTTTTTATAGATGGGTGCCGAGATATACGATCCTCAATTGTATATCCATTATAGGCCAAGAAATATGAGACTCTTAACCGATCAAGAAGCTCATCGCTCCCGTGCTATTTGGGATAACAATCCGGTAATTTGATGATTTATTTGCTTTATTTTATTATTTTCTAAGGTTTGATTTTGCTTTATTTAAACTAACAAATTGATGTTTTTCCTATTATTTTGAAGGAATCACTTATTCCCGTCGTTCATAAAGGGACCACAAACTTGCCCGCTTGGCATCCACGGTTGGCGCCCTATATAGAGAGGACCGGGTTGGGTATGTCGCGCCATTTCATGCGGATCGAAATCGACAACGATCTGCTTACGACAATGGCGGAGCGATGGCGTCCTGAAACCCATACGTTCCACCTTCCGGAGGGGGATATAACGATCACCCTCAAAGACGTGGCGATCCTCACCGGGCTGCCGATTTCTGGAGATGCCATCATTGGTTCCACTACCAAACCCGAAGGAGGTTGGGGGCCGCTCATTCGTGATCGTCTGGGCTTTGACATGCCGACCACCACACCAATTCAAGAACGGGGGCATCCACCGTTGAATGTGGGACAAGTGTCGGTCCCGTGGATGGTAACTCACATCCAGAATGAGGTGGAAATCAATGACGAGACTCCGGAAGATCAAGTGGACAATATAAAAATGATGGCAACCGCTTCTCCGGAAGATCAATGCGGGACAAGTGTCTTCTGCTCGTACTTTTTTGGCTGATGTGCAACGGCTGCAAGGTGAACAATATAAAAATGGTCAATACATGATAAACAACAAATTATCAAACACATAGTTAAGTCGCATTAAAGGACATTAGTACCTGCATGCCACGATTGATTTTTGATGTCTTTCTTCTTTCCAAATTTGTGTTGGAAATTGGCGAGCCAGTGTCGAATACACCAACGCCATGTCCATCCCCACTCGTTAGGAAAACCACCCACGACATTCCTAATCCCCCGTGTCGATCGGATATAATCGTAATACCCTCCCGCTGTGTCACATGTTCGTGTAGTTGGTCAAAGAACCATGCCCAACTTAAGCTGTTCTCCCTTTCCACTATTGCAAATGCAAGCGGGAAAATCCTCCTGTTTCCATCAACGCTAGTGGCAATGAGAATAGTTCCTCTGTACTTCCCAGTAAGGAAGGTTCCATCAATCTAATTAAATATTAGGAAGTAATTAGTATGAAATTTACTTGGTCTGCAAGAATAGAAACATTTCAAATAGTAAACATGTATTAAAATACCTGAATAAATGGTATGCAGAACGCAAACCCGTCAATGCATTGTTTGAAAGCCCAAAAAAGACGGTGAAACATCAACTTCTCATGTACTCGAACTTGATCCTTAGTGTATACATTGTTGTATACTGGGACGAAAACAGTCCCAGGGTTGGACTCATCCATTGCGGCCATAAGTCTAGGGAGTAAAGCATACGAATCCTCCCAATCACCATATACCTCAGCCATGGCTTTCTGCTTTCCATGCCATGCTTTTTTGTACCTTATCGTGTAAGAATGTCGATCCTTCACCTCGGCCATGATAGCTTTGACCTTGATATCTGGTTTTGCTTCGATAAGGTGTTTAATAGTTCTCCCAATTTCTTTGCTTTAAGTTGCCTGTGATCCTGGGAACGTATGGACGAGGAGCAGGTGTGGTTGGTCTCAGCTTTTCGAATCACCCAGGCACCCTTTCTCTTCATATATGCAGCCCGCAGTTGCCATGTACAACCCTCTGCATCATTCTTGCATATGACATGTAATGGTTTACTGTCAGAATATTTTACCTTCCACTCGAAATTGCGCCTCAAGGCCTCTTCGGTAAAGCCATCCTGCACAGCGTCCTTCGATGAGAACGCCATACCCACCTTCTTGAATAATAAGCTGAAACTTCTTGAATTTACCCATATCTACAATTTACAATAAGTAACTATTAGCATAATTCCAGTAATTCATAACTTCGGCCATATTTGCTACGATAAGTAATTCATAACAATATAACTACTAAAAACAACCATTAGGAATTAATACGAAAATTAAACCATACCGTAAATTCCTGTTCTGTGTATGTTGCTCGATTTTGGTTGCTGAAATTTGAAGAGGGGGGGGGAGTGGTTATGTTTTTACAACTGCTGGTGGTGTGGTATTTATAGAAAAATCGGCTAATGTTCACCGCCTTCGTCAAACGCGGTGAACATCATCACCGCGTTTGTCTCAAACGGTGAACATTACGTAGTTGTGACCTAATTTTCACCTACCAGGGTTGGAAAACGTGAGAAATAATCACCGCCTTAGTCTAAGGCGGTGAAGATGTTCCCCGCTTTGCCCTAAAACGGTGACGTTTTCACGCTTTTAACTTAAACGGTGACGTCTTCACCGTTTTCGTTAAACGCGGTGAACACTTCACCGCTTTATACAAAGACGGTGAACACGTCATCGTTTTATTTTAAAATGGTGAAATGTTCACCGTTTTTGGCAAACACGGTGATTATATTCACTGCGTTTGTAAAAAACGGTGAATGCCAAACATGTGTAGTTTTGGAAATTTTTTTATAACTTATGTATTTTGAGAAATTTTTTTTAAGAACTAGTGTACTTTTAGATTTTTCCCCCTAATTAGACCCGGTCAAAGAGAGTTAGGCCTTAAACTATGTGTGTTCAACCTAATTCGACCCGGTCAAAGCGAGTTGGACTCGATGTTGACGGAGTTTTGGAGGGGAACGAATTTTACCCACTTTTGTAATTGACGGGTTGGGTCGGGTGTGGAATTTTGTTAATAACTTGCCCCGCTTTATCAAGCCGATCAAAGCGAGTTGAATATAGTGTTCTCAAATTTTGGATCGGGAAAGAATTTTACCGCTTTTATAATTGATGGATTAGGTCGAATGTGAATTTTGTAAATAACTCGCCCGCTTTATCCAGCCAGGCAAAGCGAGTAGAATTCAGTATTGACAAATTCTGCGTCGGAAACGAGTTTTACCCACTATTGTAATTTACGGGGTGGGTAGTTATTTCCTTTTAAAACAACTATGCATGTTCAACCTAATTCGACCTGGTCAAAGAGAGTTGGACCCGATATTGACGAATTTTCATTAAGATTCTAATTAATTATCTTATGACAATTAAACCCAAATCAATGGGTATTCGACCTAATTCGACCCGGCCAAAGCGAGTTGGACCCGATGTTGATGAACTTTTGGACGAGAATGATTTTTATCCTCTTTTGTAATTAATGGGTTGGGTCTGTACATGGGCGTTGGGCCGTGCTTGGGCCGGCACGGCATGGGCACGCTTCAGGCCCATTTATTTCGTGTCGTGCTTGGCACGGCCCGTCAGTTTTCGTGCCGTGCCATGCAAGCCCATTTGTTAATTTTGCTAGGCCCGACCCAGGCCCGGGCACGTTTCGAATCGTGTCGTGCCTATTCGTGCTCGTGCCATGCTCGTATTTGTGTTTAATGAAAATGACGAAAACAAAAGAGAGAATGAAAAAGAAGGTGAAAATTGGACGGGGGAAGATAGTATTAACCGATAATGTTTGAGAAAAGTAACAAATAAGCGGGAAAAGAATATTGGAAGTATAGCGAGTGTGAGTTGGCTTTGTTTAATTCTTTGTCCATTTTTACTTATGTTAGTAATTACGTATATATCTTTATGACACTTCTAACAACAACAAATAATTATTTTTCTACTTGTGTTTTGTAATATTTCAACCTATAATTCTATTCTTTTCATATTTATTTTCTATCAAATAAATATTATTTTGGTACCATGTCCGTTCTTTTACTCAATAAAGTCTCGAAAATATTAGGCCCGACACGGCCCACTTATATACTGTGCTCGTGCCCATGCCCATGAAGTTTAGGCCCGGACGGCCCATATATTATTCGTGCTCGTGCCGGGCTGGCCCATTTATTTCGTGCCCGTGCTCGTGGCGTGCTCTAACCGTGTTGTGCCGTGCTAGCCCGTGGGCGGCACGGCCCGGTGCCCACGTACAGTTGTGTCGGGTGTGAATTTTGTTAAAAACTTGCCCTACTTTATCAAGCCGGTCAAAGCAAGTTGAATATAGTGTTCTCAAATTTTGGATCGGGAACGAATATTACCCGCTTTTGTAATTAACGGATGTGAATTTTGTTAATAGCCACCCCACTTTAACAAGTCGGGTAAAGCGAGTTGAATTCAGTATTGATGAATTTTGGGTCGGAAACGAGTTTTACCCACTTTTGTAATTAACGAGTTGAGTAGTTATTTCCTTTTAAAACAATTGAAACCGAATTCATATGTATTCAACCTAATTCGACCCGGTCAACACGAGTTGAACCCCAAGTCATTATTTAACTTTTATTTAATAATAAGTTTTTTAGTTATTTCCTAATTGACGAGTATTGCTCGAGGAACAAGTTTTACATGCTTTTCTAATTTATGGAATTGATCGGGCGTGCATTTTGTTAAGCTAATTGAACCTAAAATGACCATAAGTTTAATTTATGTTCTATTTTCTAATTCTTTTATTCTATTTTCCCAGAGGTAATTTTCCCAGAGGTTGTAAACCGTCGAATTGAACTCAACATGACCATGTAGTGTTGACGAGTTTTGCGTTGGCAACGAGTTTTACATTTTTTTTCTTCTAATTGACAGGATTGAGTCGATTATTCTATATGCCCAAAGATTTTCAAAATGCGGTGTTGATGGGTTTTGCTTCAGCAACGAGGTTTACACATTTGTCTAATTTACGAGATTGAGTTGAGTATGGATTTTGTTAAACGAGTTAAACGAGTTGAACCCAGTGTTGTCGAGTTTTTCTTGAGGACTGAGTTTTACACGCTTTTCTAATAGATGGAATTGAGTCGGGTGTGAATTTTCTTAAGCAAGTTGAACCAACAAGTGACTTCTACGTAATGGGAGGGAACTTTATGGGTATTTTGGGCTTTGCCATTTTCTCTGCTTTTCGTCATTACCTACACATTTCCTTCCTCCGCCAACCACGAGGAAAAAATCCAAAACTACCACTGTTTAAAAAAAAATTACAAAATACCACCCACTCCAAATAATTTCCAAAAATACCATCGTTTATATAAAACCGCGCATTTAATGAGCGGTTTTTAATGAAACCGCGCCTCCAGGCAGCGGTTATAGAACAAAACGCGCCTCCAAGGCGCGGTTTGACCTTGCATGGGTGTCAAAACGCGTGGCCACGTGGCGGTGCATCAAACCGCCCGTTGGAGGAGCGATCTGACGGCCAAAACGCGTGCCAACTCAGCGATCCGCGTCGCCGACGGAAACCGCTCCCCCGAGGCGCGGTTTGACTGTTGGGAAACGCAAACCGCGTGCTGGAGGGGCGGTTTTCGGTGGGGGTAAAATGACTGAACTGGACCTCCCCCACGCGGTTTCTCACCTATATAAACCCCCCTCCCCTTCATTTTTCTGCACACCAACCACATTCCCCCCCCCCCCCCCTCTCCCTCTAACTTCTCTCTACCCACCCCCCTCCCCACCCAAAAACCTTAGAATTAGTTTTTTTGTTGGTTGCGGCTAAGTCCGATCTACCTCCAAAAAACTTTTTCTTTGGTTTTCACTAAAAAACCGTCGAACCTCTGTCCGGATTCCGAGAGAATGGCCGATTTCGCTCAAGAAGAGGGCCTTTTTATGATGATTATCAAACGGTACATACTCATTTTTCCCAATTGTTGTTGTTGTTATAATGATTTATTTAATTTATATACTAATGATTTATGTTATTGTTCTGCTATCGTAGGTTGGGCCGGATGTTGATATTTTCAATCAACGATATTATGTTGATCAAGGACCGATTGATCCGACAGTTTTATACGATCAAGCAAATCATCGTTCAAGAGACGTTTGGAACCACCACAAGGTACATATTATTTATCATCACTTTTAATTCGTATTTTGTTAAAGTAATTTATTTGTTTGTACAATAATTTACTTAATTGTTAATCGTATTGATTATTTTCAATAATTTAAATCAATACAATACAACACTTATTTAGACTCTTTATAAAGAAATGCATGTCTAAGGAAATGGGGACTTAAGCGATCATCATGATCCCCCCATGACCTGGGAAAATCGGGTTCTAAGTGATCCTCGGATCCCCCCTTTTTCTGTCAAAAAGACTGTGTTTCTAAGGAGATGTATACCTCTCCTAAGAGTCTTACGAGTGTACTTGTATTGCTTTAAATTATTGAAAATAATCAATACGATTAACAAAATAATATATTTGATTTTATGTGTATGTGTACAAAAAATAATTATACTTAAATTTTGAATATTATTTTAGTTATGTTAATATTAATGTTTATTAGATAATGTATATTTATCTAAAACAACCTTGATTTAATTAATATTGCATCTTTTAATATTATTTAGTTATGTTAATATTAATGTTTATTATATAATGTATATTTATCTAAAACAACCTTGATCTAATTAATATTGCATCTTATAATATTATTTAGTTATGTTAAAATTAATATTTAATTAGATAAAGTATATTTCTATAAAACCGCTTGATTTAATTAATATTGCATCTTAGAAAATTATTTTATTTATGTTAAAATAAATGTTTATTAGATAATGTATATTTCTCTAAAACAACCTTGATTTATATATAAATTGTATCTTATAATATATTTATATATGTATAAATCATCAACTTATAGTGAAATTTAAATTCTTCTCTAGGATGCATACCATATACTCCGCTATAGGGGCACAACGAATGTGCTTGAATGGAACGACGTCATCTTGCCCTTTCTAAAAAGGGCAAGATTGGATTCGATTAGGCATTTCAATGGAATCAAGATCGACCGCCAACTCATCACGGCGATGGTAGAGAGATGGCGAAAGGAGACACACTGCTTCAATTTTCGTGAAGGCGAGTGCACCATCACACTTAAGGACATCGCCATCCTAACCGATCTCCCCATCGATGGTGATATTTTTTGTGTGGACTCTACGCCACCACCTAAAGTTGTTGCCAATATGAGTGGTTGGCAACATTTTATATGGACGGTCACCGGGTTGTGTCCGCCAGAAAAGGGAGATCACGATGCGGATGGTCATCCACCATTGTCCAAGGGCCAAGTATCCATCACGTGGTTGACAACGGAGATCAGGCGTAAGCACAACCCTGAGTTCGGAGGCATTCCCCTCACGGAGGAAAGTTCGGAGCGTGATAAAGACATTTATGCACGTATCTACATCCTCGGCATGATCGGAGGAGTTTTCTTCCCCAAGAAATCCAACAACCTAATCAGCAATTCATGGTTGAAGATCATACTTGGTAGTTGGGATGATATGGGAAACCTGAGCTGGGCATCTGCTTGCCTGGCTCATCTCTACCGATCCCTATGTAATGCTAGTGCGAGAGCGGTGAAGGAGATTGATTGGGCCATGTCCATCGTCCAATTTTGGGCTTGGGAGCATTTGCCATGTATTGCGCCGAAGGTTGAACCCGACAAGGAATGGGGTCCCGACCATCCCCTACGACATGAAGCTTATGGTTGTAGGTAAATGTTTCCTATCCCACTCATAGTTCTCACAATTTTTTACTAATTGGGTATTTTATAACGAACCGGGTATTATGTATTAACACTCCATACTTTTTGGATTGAATAGGTGGCTTGGTGAAAAAACATGCGACAACCTAGGAGCGCATAAGTTGGAAGAGTATCGTAGGAGGCTTGATCGCCTTTGGGAAGCAGAGGTGAGCATCATAATACGCTATTAAAACCTACTTTTTTTAACTTATATTATTATGTTGATTAATGGTTTTTTTATAAACCTTCGTAGCTTAAGTTCGATCCGTATCCAGAACGGATTGTTGCGCATCACGTTCACAAATTCCCGTTACATCCCGGTCAATGGTGCACCCGAGTTCCACTAATCTGCCACCATATAGTGGAGTGGCACTTGCCGGATCGATGTCTACGACAATTTGAACGTGAGCAATGCATACCATTGGATGTCCCGGAGAGTCAGAAGGGGTACCACGGGAAAGATGGTCGACAAGGACCTACTAATTGGCCGGAGGAGTATGAAAACTTGATCCGCCTGTGAAATGTTAGGCAAGATCGGGATATTGTGACGGCATCTCATGTGGGGAGGATGGGCTACCATGACCCATACCTGGAAACCTACCGAAGACAATCTGTTCGTTACATGACCCCCGAAGGAGTGGCGGACGGAGCTTTGGTAAGTAATTATTATTTTTATTTATTTAGTCATGCGGTGCATTATTTTTTAAATGGCTAACTTTGTTATTTTCTTCGATTTAGGTTGATGGCATCGAGCGAATCCACGACCTCGCGCGGACGGCAGATCATTCGGCGGCGGGTCGAGAGGTGAGGCTTATTCGAAGGATAGCTAACAATCTCCTAGGCTGTATGCGAGCGCGCGGACATGACCATCATAGATACCCTCCAGTTCCCCCAGTGAGACCGCGTCGGTGACGCAAGATGTTGAGCCGGTGCCTCCGCCGATCCATAGAAGGCCAAACAAAGCTACAAGGCATCTACCTCACGTGCCGAAGATCAAGCCGATTGCGGCGTGGAAGGCGCCTACTCCTTTGGAGGTATGCAGCGGTGAAGGGGGGAGTACTCACTACGATCCCACGCCCGGAAGCCAGTTTGATCCGCGGTCGAGTTTCCAATACAATCTCCGCCCCAGCTTCCAGTATGAACAACGGCCAAGTACATTTCATGATGGCACATCCTCAGCTACTTGGGCCGAGGGTTCATACTCAAATCCCCACCAAGACTTCTCACCTCTGCAGCGACCACAACAACAATGGCAACAACAATGGCAATCTAGTCCCCACCAAGACTTCTCACCTTGGAATCGACCACAACAACAATGGCAACAACAATGGCATTCCACTCCCCACCGTATGAGCATGGATAGCCCTCGACCGCAGACGGAGGGGCCACCTATCACAGAACCGATGCGCCATAGCACGGAGGATCGCCCTTCTACGGCGAATATGAATCTGCCACCCGTTCCACCATCAACTACACCCGGTGGACCAGTCGCCCATCGCACAAGGAAACAGAGGGCAAAACGTCGAAATAATGCATGAGTGTGACAAGTTGTGTTTATTTCAAGTTATGTTTTGTTTAAATTAAGTTGAACAATGGTGTTTTTAGTTGAAGTTATTTTTTAGTTTTTTCATGTAGTGTGTTTGTGTTCGTGATGTGTTTTATTAAAAAAGATGGAAAATTGCACCAAAGTTTGTGTTTTGTGCAAATCTCCAATTTCATTTAAGCACACAACATACAAGTAGAGTAACCATTGAAATTAATACACAAAGATGGAACAAACGCATGAAATCAATCTAAGCGCCATTATCCGGGTTCACCACATCGGGCCCTGCATTTTGAGGACCAATTGGTCCGGGACATTTTCGTTTATCATGACCGGGTACTTTGCATATGGAACACCGCCTTGGCCCTCGCGGTGGTCTTCCACTTTGATCCATTTCATTTGGAATCCATTTTACCCGCGGGCACCCTATTTCCCGCCTAAGACCGATTGGTGGAATGATGACCATACCCTCATAAACTAGCCAGTAAGCTTCATCCGGCAATGCACGGAAACTAGTACGATAACTGCTCTTTTGTGAGTCAATGTTGAAGAACGGACTGACGAAATGACGGGGGTCTTTGCTCCTGTGCTTTATTACTGCCATTGCATGGGAACATGGTATCCCTCTACCCTGATACTTCTGACAAGAGCACTCCCCCTTTTTAGTCCTAAAGTTGACGGTGACTTCATGGCGATGACCCCCACGTCTCCCATCCTCTCGAACGAATACTCGCCAGCATTTCGGTTCATCACAGTGACTGTGTGACGAGAGCTCTTCCGATTATCTTTTTCCATTATTTTTGTGACATAATCGGAGTGTACCTTACCCTGTGCCTCTCTCTTCTCACACCAGTGGAGACAGTTGACGAACCATCTGTTTGTTTTCCAGAATGACATCTCAACAATTGCAGAGATGGGGAGTGCACGGCATTCCCTGTAGACGTTGTTGATACTCTCGCTTGAGTTTGTTGTGGCAATACCCCATCTGTGACCTCCGTCCTTATGAAAAGTCCACATTTCAAGGTTATGTTGATCAAGCCACTGCGCACCTTCAGGGCATATTTGACGGATATTCTGCATCTTCTCTTTAAATTTCTTCTCTTGGTACGCGACAGCTGATGAATATAAAAAAAGGTCAGATAAGCAAGATCGACCTTATTGCCAATACAAGTACACTCGTAAGACTCTTAGGAGAGGTATACATCTCCTTAGAAACACAGTCTTTTTGACAGAAAAGGGGGGGATCCGAGGATCGCTTAGAACCCGATTTTCCCAGGTCATGGGGGGATCATGATGATCGCTTAAGTCCCCATTTCTTTAGACATCCATTTCTTTATAAAGAGTCTAAATAAGTGTTGTATTGTATTGAAACACTCCATACTTTTATACAGTTGAAAAAGTTTACAGATACACAATTAATTAGAACGCTTACCGATCCACCATAGACTGTCAGCAAGCTTCTTTCGCTTGAAATGATGGTTCCAGTTGCTCTTGAAGTGCCGTATGCACCATCTCTGTGACCAGTTCCAGGCTGGATCCAAGCCTAAGATAGCAGCCCGTATACCGGCGTGGCGATTTGAGATGATAGTCAGGTTCGTCCGCCTGGTGACATGGAGCTGCATTTGTCTGAAGAACCATCCATAGCTATCGGTATTCTCTCCCTCCACAATGGCAAAGGCTAATGGATATACTAATCTATTTGCATCTGCTCCGCTGGCAATCAGTAGAGTACCCTTGTACTTGCCGGTAAGGAATGTTCCATCAACTTGAATCACAGGAACACAGTATGAAAAACCATCAATACATGGCTTGAAGGCCCAGAAAAGACGCTTGAATTGGCGATTGTTACCAGGCACCGGCGGTTGAATTTCTTCATCTTGGTAGTGAGGCGAGAAAATGGTGCCAGGGTTAGACACCTCCAAAGCCAAAATCAACTTGGGAAGGAATGCATATGATTCTTCCCAGTCACCAAACACGGCACCCATTGATTTCTGTTTCCCATGCCACGCTTTCTTGTAGTTAATGATATAACCATAACGACTAGAAATGTGGGCGATGATGGTTTTCACCTTCAGGTCGGGCTGCTCCTCAATTAGATGTTTGATAGCCGCGACAACCACCCTTGATTTCAACTGTCGATGGCCTTGGGATGTTATTGATGACACACATGTGTGTGTGTGGTCACCGCACGGGATATGACCCAATGGCCGACTCTCTTACTCTTGATGGCCCGGACCCTAGCTTTGCATCCATCATTTTCATTTTTGCATCGAACCATCAGCCTCTTTGTTTCGGAATGGGTTGTTTGCCATTCAAAACTCCGAGTCATTGCTTCAGTGGAAATAGTGTGTCGGACCTCATTCTTCGTTGCAAATTGTTGGCCCTTCGTAAAGCCAGTCAGTGGACCACATACTGGCACATCTGGCAGGTCCATGTCGGCATCAACATACCAATCTTCATTTTGAATGTGATTGTAGTATGGAATAGGTACGCGTTCGTGAGGTACCTCATCATCATCTGCGTTTGAATCTGGACTGGAATCATCAACACCTTCCAGCGGATCGAAGCTGTCTGCACTAACTTTGCCTTCCTCTTCTTCAACCTCAGGGTCACTAACTGGACTTGGATTGACCTCTTCTTCCATCTGATTATTAGCATGAAAGGCACCTTCACCTTCACTAGCTCCGTAATGGTAGTTGTGGTAACTAACACCGCTTTGATAGAAGTTGTACTCGGGTGGGTACTGGTAGCCTGCTTGTTGGTTGTAATCCGCCTGTTGAGCTTCTTCTTCATATGAAGGGAAGGATTGATGACTTCCTCCAGTTCCATGATGATACTCCTGCCTCCAGCTCGACTCTTGGAAATCCTGGTGGGGATGATCTTCGTATAATACACTCCCACCGTGGATACCAAATGTTTGGCCATCTCCAGAATGACCTACACTGCCTTCGACGACCTCGGTGTAAACGAACATCTCCGCTTGCTTAATTTTATTGGTGGTCAAAAATTGGACCATGGCATCAACGTCCTCCTGAGTGGTAAGGAGGAATTCCTCATTCCACAGCGACCCGTCATGTCTGTTTGGATATCGATACACCATTCGATAAACTCTTCTAGTGCCATCCATGCAGGTAATCTGAGTGCACATTTGATGGAGCTCTTCAAGCATCGGTCTTGTACGGACCTTCATTTTATAAAAATTGCCACCGACGTAACTTGCACCCTTTTCGGTCTCTTCCGTGTAACCATTCCACCGCAACCCAAGCGTGAACCTTTGGAATGCCATCTGCAATGAAAAGTAATACAAGTTACTAACATAACATCACAAAGGACAATGAAAAGTAATTAAGTTACTAACATAAAATCACAAATGACAATGAAAAGTAATTAAGTTACTAACATAAAATCACAAAGGACAATGAAAAGTAATTAAGTTACTAACATAAAATCACAAAGGACAATGAAAAGTAATTACGAAACAAACTTACGAATTAACGTTAATCGCGAAAACTAAATAATTTAAAGGTGCAAAGCTGAAATTTTAAGAAGGAAGAGGAGGAGGTGTGAAGAATTGAGTTCTCTGAAACAACCTTTTATAGGCAAATTTTGCAGCAAAACCGCTGGGGGGGGGGGGGGGGGGAGCGGTTTTAGGTCTGCCATGCAACCCTACCCCCTGCATGCCGACATGTCTGACATGTTTGTTGTCGGGTGACCAGGCACAAACCCCGCCATGGGGCAGCGGTTTATGTCCTGACAATATAAACCGCCGCTTGGTAAGGCGGTTTGTAATGCTGACGTTTAAACGCTCCCTCTTAAAGCGTTTTGTGGTAGGGTTAGCCTATAACCGCGCCTTCTAGAAGCGGTTTTTCTGGAAATTAAAAACGGCTCTTGGAGGCGCGGTTATAATGTAAAACGCTGCCTGGAGGCGCGGGTTCATTCAAAACCGCTCATTAGAGGCGCGGTTTTATATAAACGATGGTATTTTTGGAAATTATTTGGAGTGGGTGGTATTTTTGTAATTTTTTTTAAACATTGGTAGTTTTGGATTTTTTCCCAACCACGACCACATAATTCTACTTTTCATTTCTGCTTAGATTCTCTCTCCCCTTTCTCTCTTAACGACGACAACGGTGGTTGTGTCCGATGGAGATGACGATGATGATTGGGATGAGGGCTTCGTGATGATCACACCGAGTAGCAAGCTCACAACGCCGTCGTCTCAGCTTACGTTTTCGTCTCAGATCAGCATGGCGAAGGCGAGCTTGATCCTGCCGTAGGAGTTGTGCCTGATAAGAACTCAGAATAAAGAACATAAACACAGGATTTACGTGGTTTCCCTGAGAATCAGGACTAGTCCACGGGAGAGATAGCACTCTCCAGAGTCAATCTTATTCGACTTAGTTTTACAGAGTACATAAGGAGGATATACATACTGCTAGGTTACCCATACATGTAACCCTAATCCGACCTAGTTCAGGAACTTACGTAATTAGGGAAAATGACAATAAGCCACCTAAACTAAGCACAAATAATAATTTCAACACCCTCCCTCAAATTGATGGTGCTTACGCAACATCAATTTGTTAGACAGATACCAATGGCGACTGGTGCCAACCGCCTTTGTCAACAAGTCTGCTGTCTGATCTTCTGTTGACAAATAACTAAGCTGAATGACTCCCTCGGTCACAAGTTCTCTGATGTAATGAACATGTGTTTCGATGTGCTTTGTCCGATCATGTAAAACTGGATTGGTAGCAATCCGGATAGCACTGGTATTGTCCCCAAATAACTTCATAGGCTCACTGCATGCTACACCCAATTCCCCTAAGAGACGTTTCAGCCAAACCAGTTCTGAGCTTACCTCTGACATGGATCTGTACTCTGCTTCTGTAGAAGATTTCGAAACCCGATCCTGCTTCTTGCATCTCCATGAAACAAATGAACTCCCAAACCGGACGCACCATCCTGATGTTGATCTGCGAATGTCTACACACCCAGCAAAATCAGCATCTGCAAATGCCTCCAATACAGGCTCCCCTTTTGCTGGGAAGAAAAGACCTACATCCTGAGTACTCCGAAGGTATCTCAGGATCCGATGCACTGCATCTAAATGCATAGTACGTGCCATGCCCATATACTGACTAACCACCTGTACAACGTATGCAATGTCTGGTCTCGTAGAGCTGATGTATCTGAGAGAACCAACAATCGTGCGATAATGAGTATGATCATCTAGTAAATCCCCTCTGGCCCTGCTAAGCTTCAGATTCTGTTCCATAGGAGTTGTACACGGTTTACAGTTTTCAAATTGATTTTCTGCAAGCAAGTCTCGAATATACTTTTGCTGACTCACAAGGATGCCATGCCTAGTCCGCTCGATTTCTAATCCCAGGAAGTAGGAAACATTACCGAGCTCCTTCAGCTTAAATGCTTTATGTAGTGACTCGGTGAGATCCTTAATTCCTGCATGGTCATCTCCTGAAATAATCATGTCATCCACATAGAGAAGTAAGACTGTAAGACCATGTACCGTAGTTCGCAGAAACAAGGAGGGATCATTCTGACTTTGAGTAAATCCAGCCTGCCCTATCATTCCATGAAACTTCTCAAACCATGCTCTAGGAGCTTGTTTGAGACCATACAGTGATCGTTTCAGGCGACAAACAGTATTCGCATCACCTTTCGTATACCCAGGTGGTCGAGCCATGTAGATCGTTTCCTTCAAATCACCATGCAAGAATGCATTCTTCACGTCTAGCTGTACCAGGGGCCAGTCTTTCATTGCCGCCACGGCCAAGACACATCTAACAGTCTGGATTTTCGCTACCGGTGCAAACGTCTCCTCATAATCGATTCCATACTCCTGGCTAAATCCTTGTGCAACAACTCGAGCCTTGTTTCTTTCAAGAGTACCATCAGGCTTCATTTTGATAGCATATACCCACTTACTCCCAACAACTGATATCTCTGGTGTTCTAGGAACAAGATCCCATGTCTGATTAGCTTCCAAGGCATCAATTTCATCGACCATCGCTGCATCCCATTCTGGAATACCACAAGCTTGGCGATAATTAGCAGGAACAAAAATAGGATCTACCAAAAACCCGACGTAGTCCTAAAGCCACAAGGGAGGATTGCCTTTCGTTGCCCTATTTGAGCGACGAAGCGCCTGGTGGTCCAAATTATTGTTATTATCAACTTCTTCCAGCTCTTCTAGAAACCCATCATGAGCTGACGAAGAGGCCGTAGAGGAGCTAGAGGCCGATGACGTTTGCTTGGCCGAGGAGATCGTTTGCGAGGGCGATGATGGACTAGATGAAGTTGAAGCCAACGATGAGGACGAGCTAGAACTTGACCCCGAAGAGGACGAACTGGAGGAAGAAGAACCGGATGCATCACTGTCACTCTCCCCCCTCCAGGTGGCAAGGAACTCGGCGACTGAAAAGAGGACAAAAATGCCAAGCTGGTTTCAAAGGTAGCACGATCACTAGCTGTCTTTAGAGAATAATATAGAATATGCTCCATAAACAGAACATGGCAAGCAATCCGAAGACGACGACCAACCGGATCGTAGCAAAGGTAGCCTTTGTAGCGATCACTATACCCAACGAAAACACAACGGACAGTTTTAGGAGTAAGTTTAGTACGTTCTCGGCGAGGGAGCAAGACAATGCAGAGGCACCCAAAGACACGTAGACGATCGTATTTCGGATGGCGAGAGAAAAGCTTATAATAGGGGGAGCAACCATCCAGGACCGGAGTGACCTGTTGATTAATAAGATGCACCACAGTGTTAGCAACTTCGACTCAAAAGTGAGCAGGAACACAGGATTGAAACAAGAGAGCACGCGTCAGTTCCATAACATGACGATTCTTACGTTCCACTAGACCATTCTGCTGTGAAACACCAGGGCATGACTCTTGAGAGAGAATGTCGGCCGACTTATAAAACTGCAGAAGTTCATTCGAACTGAACTCCCCTCCAGGATCAGAACAAATGATCTTAACTGTTCTCTGAAACTGATTCTGTATCATCCGAACAAAGTCTTGCTCATGGGTCTTGAGTTCCGATTTGTTCTTAAGAAAGTAAATCCACGTGTAGCGACTGTAGTGGTCAATGAACAACGCAAAATACAAGAACCCATTACGTGACGGTGAAGGAGCTGGGCCCCAAAGATCTGTGTGAATAAGATCAAAAGGAGCAGTATACATGGAGGTGCTGGGAGAGAATGAAATCTGAGAGGCCTTTGCCTCAATACAACTCACGCACGAGGGAGGAGAATAAGAGCTAGATCGAAATTTCACCGGAAGTAACTTATTATGAAACATCTGTAGCAAACGAGCAGAATTCGGATGCCCCAAACGGCAGTGCCATAAATCCCAAACAGAATCCCTTACATCCGAATGACTACGAACTGAAAAACTAGAAATCAAAGACTGAGGAGCTGCAACAACCTCCCCATGAGCAGCACCCTCGGCAGAGACACCACTTGATCAGCAAGGAGACCCTTCACTCACTGGCTGACGTCGAGTATGAAGAGATTCCAACACATAGACCCGACCCTGTTTACGTCCCTGGCCTAGCTCCCTCCCCGTCATCCGATCCTGCACCAGACAACCTTTATCAATAAATCGAACCTCACACCCTTCATCCGCAAGTTGTCCCACAGAGATAAGATTCGGGACCAAACGCGGAACATGAAGAGTGCGTGATAGACTCAATGAAGGCTCGGAAATGGACCCAATCCCTGTAACAGGGAGGACAGCCCCATTCGCTACTTGTAACTGCCGAGAGACAGGTTCAAGAGAACTAAAAGATCGAAAATGACTGGTCATATGATTGAAAGCACCCGAGTCAAAAAGCCAAGTCCGAGAATTACATGACGAGGCCCCAGCAGCAAAGGCAGAGCTCATCACCACCTGAAGAGCTTCATGAAGTAACTTTGTGAGGTCAGCCTTGGAGACACCAGCTGTGGAGGACGATCCCGCCACCCCACCAGCAGGAGGAGCAACTCGCTCCGCAGTAGCAAAAGCAGGAGCTGGAGGCGGCGGACCTGATGGCCTAGAAGAACCAGACTGCCGGCGAGCACGCTGTCGGCAGTCACTAAGGATGTGTCCAACCTTCTTGCAATAATTACACCAATTACATTTTTTGCAAAACGGCTGAATATGACCTGGTTCTCGACAGTAATGACAAATACGAGCAGCCGGGGGACCCTGTCCATCAGAACCAGATTGAAACTGTGGCCGATACGAAGAGGTAGCAAAGGCAGCGGAGCCTTCAACCGAACCCAATGACTGAGAATCAACCTGTGCCTGACTCTTAAGCCGAGTTTCTTCCCTATAAAGTTCAGCCAGGATGGTGTCCAAATTAGTAATGTTGCGGTGAAGAATGGATGCCCAGATCGGTTCAAAGTCACGACGCAGCTTCATGATAAAGGTCATAGTCCTTGTGCGAGTCCGTTCTGCGATAGTCTCAGCCGAGGCAGGAGTGGCAGAGAGTGATGCAGAGAGAAGATCCGACTCAGTCCAGAGATGCATAGCCTCCTGGTAATAGGACCTAACATCCCGATCATCCTGAGCCAAGCCTGACAGGGCTAACTCGAGCTCAAATTGACAGGATGCATTAGCCTGACAGTTCGTAGTAACAAGATGCTTCCACATATCACTAGCACTTTCAAATCGACGTAAACTCAGACCGGTGGGAACATCCACCGCACCAAGAAGCCAATTAATTACTTGAGCATTCTCAGCTTCCCAATCAAGAAATGCCTTCTCATCAGATTCGGGAGGCTTGGGCTTGCGGCCAAGAAGAACCGGAAGAAGGCGTTTCCCTTGAACAAAAGTCCTGAATTGAAACTCCCACAGGGGGAAGTTTTTCCCATCAAATCTGATCAACGCAGCATCATGCTTCATTGTATCCATGGTAAGCACCAACAACACAGATACGCACAGCCAGTGAACAAAGGCAAACCCAAATAATAGAACCCCCAAAGAAAGCAGCCAAACAACCAATATATATATAACCTGGAAGCAAGCAACAGCCAAATAGAGGAAGCAGCCGAACAAACCAATATATATATATAGAACCTGGAAGCAAGCAGCAGCCGAGCAAAAGAAGCTCTCCGAGAAAGCAAGAGAATCAAGCGGAACCGCAACCCTGCGAGCAGCCGAACGAAAACCCTAGACCCGAACGAGATGACAGAAGCAGCCGAGAAATAAAAGACCACGAGCAACCGATGACCCGAGAGCAGCCGACAATCAAAGAGCTGCCGAAAGCCTTAGACAAGAGGCTCTGATACCATGATAAGAACTCAGAATAAAGAACATAAACACCGGATTTACGTGGTTTCCCTGAGAATCAGGACTAGTCCACGGGAGAGATAGCACTCTCCAGAGTCAATCTTATTCGACTTAGTTTTACAGAGTACATAAGGACGATATATATACTGCTAGGTTACCCATACATGTAACCCTAATCCGACCTAGTTCAGGAACTTACGTAATTAGGTAAAATTACAATAAGCCACCTAAACTAAGCACAAATAATAATTTCAACAGTGCCGAGGATATCGATGATCGAGTTGACGATGGCACGACAGTTATAAGAGAAATGAAGCTCAAGATTTTATTACGAATTGTAATGACTGCTTTACATGTTATTTTATGAAGCATCCAACAGCTGAATGAGAAGAGGGTTGCAGTATCTAGATTTACGGTGCAACGGTGGGACTGAGATAGAGGTAATTCGACCAAGGGTTGTAGGTATAATATGCCCTTCTACTATGACGTTTTATTAAACATGCCCCTCTGCTATGTTTTACATCAAATATGCCCCTGTACTTTGAAAAATTATCAAACATGCCCTTCTGTTAAAATTTTCAGTGAAAAAATCGTCAATCGTGGTTGAACCGAGATTTAGATGACCCGACATCGGCAAATGGGAGGAAAAATGTCAGTTTTGTCCCCTGTTTTATTTTCCTGGGTCTTTTCAAAGTGAAATTATTTGAATGATTTGATTATACAAAAGGACCAAAAAAATTCTAAAGTGAATTTATTATGGATATTTTAGTCATTTGTGTCACCCAAACTAAAGTTCGGCATTGGTTAACAGTTTTTGGATGAAAATTTTAACAAAAAGACATGTTTGATCATTTTTACAAAGTACAGGAACATGTTTGATGTAAAAAATAGTAGAGGGGCATGTTTGATAAAGCGTCATATTAGAGGGGCATATTATACCTATAACCCTTCGACCAAATAGAAAGGTCTTTCTTTTTTTTTAGACACATATCTTGATTATTCAAATTATTTGTTGTAGTTTGTGATTGGTTTCTTTCCCTGTCTTTGGAATATCAAAGCTCAGAGCATCCCATTTCAGTGTCATACTGCTTATTCAGTTTGTATTTTGGATACATGTTTCTCAATTCACAAAGATCACTTTTGTTATGTAACTCTGGTTTGTCTATTATTTAGGCCTTATTCATGTTATGTTTATGTATAAGATTAGCATACAGTTTCCATATGATTCTTCCAATCGTCATTTAATTAAAAGCACATGTTACCTTTTATTAATTTTACTGTTGCATATGAAAAAACCCGCTTAACCCCAAAATCCCTTGCGAAACACTGTTCATTAGGCATTTATTATGGTTTATTAATTTGAGTTATTATAAGCTTGGGGGGATGAGGAATTCATGTACTCTCTTCCCAGATTCTATCCCGATTGAATTTTTGCTTCATCAAATACCTTTATTATTAACTTAATATAAAGTAAGTTCATAACTTTGATTGCATTATTAGCTATACCATCAATTTGCATTAAGCAAGAGTTCCGTAAGAGGAGGTAGTCAATCCGATTTAGCCTATTACCTCATTCTAGCAAGTGGGTTGAAGATTAATAGTCCGCTTGCTTTTACCCGGTTACCCTCTTCCCAAATTCTATCTCAATACGTAGCTACTATGATTGAATTTTTTGCATCATCAAATACCTTTATCATTAACTTAATATAAAGTAAGTTCATAACTTAATTGCATTATTAACTACCATCAATTTGCATTAAGCAAATGTTCCGTAAGAGAAGGTAGTCAATCCGGTTTAGCCTGTTGGCTCATTCTAGCAAGTTGGTTGAGGGTTAGTGGCCCGATTGCTTTTACCCGGTTTGGCAGGATATATGAAAAAAATCATTATATTGTTCATAAATTTATAAATTATATCAGATCTCATATAACATATGGATACTGACATATAATATTAAATTGGATCCAACATATAATGAAAATTCAAACACACTCATATAACATCAATATTCAAATGTTCAACTTAGAAATCAAAATATAGGGTTAGGCGAACGTGAAAATCGGAAAATATAAGCAATTCACAAATCAAAACAAAAAACAACATTGTGTGACTTCCAACCCGAAAACCTTGTTGTGAGTCGATCGGGTGTGTGTGACCCGTCTTACTCACTGAGTCAGGGTCAATTCGAGTGAACCCAGGCTCAACCCACGAGTTGTCAACCTTACAGTAGGGTAAATTAATTTTTATATAATAGTTAAATCAAATGTAATACTTTCTCTAACTTGATTTTATTATTAGATCACACTTTAAAAATTATTTATGTAACACCGATCTATAAAAGTTACGTAAATCACAAATACATTACGACAAATTTAAGGATCATAGTTGTTTCTTATGTAACAATTAAATTTTTTTTATCACATTAACTACAATATTCACCATATCATGAATTTGCATTACACAAAAGTTTCATAAGGTAAGTTAATTTTCACACAATAGTTTAATCAAATATGATACTTCAGTAACTTGATTTATTATTAGGCCAAAAATTATGAAATATTTATGTAACACGCTCTATAAAAATTATGTAAATTAAAAATACATTGCATCAAACTTATGGAAGGATAGTTATTTTTTATGTATTAATTAAACAAAACGTGATACGTTAAGTATTTCGTAATGATTAAAACATTACGTAAAATTTATGGAGGGATAGTAATTTCTTATGTATAAATTAAAAAAACATATTACATAGTCTTCCATAATATGAGTTCTAATGAAAAGTTAGTTATTATTAACTAAACGATTGATCATATCATCGATTTACATTACACAAAGATTCTATAAGGTTTATTTATCATTAAAATTTATGTATTATTAACTAAATGGTTGACCATCTCATCAATTTGCATTACACAAAAATTTTATAAGGTTTACAAAATAGTTTATTTATCATTAAAATTCTTTTATTGTTAACTACAATATTCACCATCCATTAATTTGCATTACGCAAATGTTCCATAAGGTAAGTTAAATTTTAGATAATAATTTAATCAAATGTGTTACTTTTTCTTAACTTTATGTCATTGTCAGAACACACATAATAGAAAATTTATGTAATACTAATCTATAATACTAATGTAAATTATAAATACGTTACATAAATATTTTGAAAGAACCATGTATCAATTAAATAAACATTTTATGTAAGTCTTACCACTGCAAAGCGCGTGCCAAAAAACTAGTCTTTATTAGTATCGGTAAAGATTATAAGTGCACTACCGGTCTCACTTTTCAGTTTTCCTGTTTGGCTTCCCATTCTTTTTTTTATAGATGTCACGCTTTCTAAGAAGCTAACATCGGTAAGTTATTTTATAGCAGAGCACTTCTTTACAAAATCCGTCACACGCGAAGCATATAATTTAATTCTTTTCAACAATGGATTTTCCATTTTGAACAAATGGACTTTGGGTTTTTTTGCTTTCCTTTATTCATTTAAGTTCTAATATGATATTTTCATTCATTTGCTTTGTTTATTGCTACTAGCATAAGCCCGCTCGTTATCGCTTCACGTATGAGCGAGAACATGACATTTTAAAGATTAATAGTTTGAATTTTGATCCAAAAGTAAAGGACTTATCATCTACAATTTCATGTAGTCGACACAAAAATGAACTTTAATAAGGGATAAGGGTCGTCGAACAAATTATTTCTATGTTAAATCTTCTCTAGTAAATTGCTTTGTTTTTCTTTTATCAAGTTCATTCTCAACCAAAAAGAAAAGGAGACATTGAAGCGGATAAAACTCGCTCAAGACCCAAAACTCGCAACATCATTTTCAACTCTCTTTGATCGGGTTGACTCGAGTTTGTAACAAATTCACAACCGTGACCAGACAATTAAAAAAGCGTATAAAAATCACACCCACCCGAGAAATTAACAAACCCTAAAGTGGATACATCTCGCTCACAACCCAAAACTCGGCAACATCATGTTCAACTCTCTATGATCTTGTTGGATCGAGTATGTAACAAATTCACAATCGACTCGACCCGCCAATTACAAAAGCAAATAAACTCACTCCTTCCTGAAAGATTGTAAACATAGGGTTCAAGTCATTTTTATCAAGTTAAATTAGGTTGGATACCCATAGGTTTGGCTTCTCAACCAAAAGGAAAAAGATAAATAAAAAACACTAAAGGGGATAAATTTCGCTCCCCACCAAAAACTCTAAAAGCAGATAAAATTTGCTCGCAATACAAAACTCGTAAGCACCGAGTCTTGCTTCAATTGTCATTCTCAACGAAAAGGAAAAATAAAATAACATTAAACAGACAAATCTCGCTCTCGATCCAAAACTCGTCAACACCGTGTTCAACTCGCTTTGACCAGGTCGAATCGAATTTTTAACAAATTCACACTCGACCCAAGATGCCAATTACAAAAGCGGATAAAACTCGCTCTCGATACAAAACTCGTCAATACCAGGTTTGGGTTCAATTGTCATTCTCAACGAAAAGAAAAATAGAAATTTAAAATTACTAAAGACGGGTTCAAGTCGCTTTGACCTGATCAAATTAGGTTGGATACCCATGAGTTTGAGTTCAATTGTCATGTTTAACCAAAAGAAAAATAGAAATAAGAAAACACCAAAGAATATAAAACTCGGCAACATAGAGCATGTTGGTATGGATTTTCGGTAGCGGTCTTGTGACACGGTGGATGGGTACAACGTAACCTAGGATTCCAACGAAAGTATTTCGAGATATGGTCTGGATCTTCGATAGCGGTCGTGGAAAACGTTGGAAGAGGACCACTTCTGATTTGTCGATAGTGTTTCGAGATGAGTTGCGAATCGGCGGAGCAAGGCGATGATTTGAGCGAAAGATCATAGCCGAAAATGTAATAGATAATAGATAATTGTTTCAATAGGGAACACAAATGAAAAATAGATGAAACCACAATGAAAAATAGACGATACCTTATGTACAATAGATGTACACAAAGGTTGTAGAATGGGAGAGGGGGGGTAAAAGATGGAACTTGAACTTGCCCGCAATTGGAGTAGTGTGAGAGCCACTAATGAATAGTAACTCACAACCTAGCCTTTTGTATATTAATTAATAGTAGGAAACGTGCTAAGACATGGAGGAAACAACAATTTTCGAGTTTGCATAATCTGGCTTATTTTACATAGATTCATAGCATCCATTCGACACGAAAGCAACGCGAGCGGGCTTACCTAGTATGATTTTATATTACAAAACTTGGGTGATACTATCTGATGGAAAATTGCCTTCGGAGGTTTGGGTTATGATTTTGCTGCTCGTTCATCACATTGAGAGAAGTTGAGGCAATGATGGGACAATCGATCTATGAATGCATGGAATGAATTTCTGAAAAACTATCATCAAGGAAGATGAAGCGATTCAAAGAAATAAGAGAAAAATGTATTTTTGAAAAACTATCGTTACACTAGTTAATTAGAATGTTTTCCGAGTTAGATTATTACATTGTAATTCTTTTTGGCATGGGTTATTGCCGCAACATGGGTGGACGGTTGATCCGCACATCATTTGAAATGACGTTGGCGTTACTGTTGGAAAACGCTAGCGAAACCCTACCATTGTCATTGTCGTTGTTCTTGTTGTTGCTGATGCCGTTGCCCTCGCGGCGAATCCACATACGCATCCCGGGAACATAATGTTGCTTGAGAACAAGAAGGGAGGATCGTTGTGCGAATTCGGAAGCCATCAACGTGTCTCCCAACACGCCCAACTCATCGTACTCCGTCCATTCCGACAACCCCGACATGATCGACGACCTCACGTTTTTGCTCTGTCCCAGTATGTAGAGATCACAAGATGTCACCGCTCGTCCAATCATCGTGATCACCTCATCCCCGGACTTCACTTGCTTCTCAATGTACTTTATGCTCTCGTCCTGCATGGTCCTGAACCTGAACTCGTTCACGTACTCGTCGTCCAACTCGCTCTCGTCTCTCTTGCTCCTCATCGTGGCTCCTCCCTGTTCGACCGTTACATCTTCGATATTGTCACCGTGTACATCACCATCACCATCACCATCATCATCGTCGGCGGCGGCAGGAAGGAGCCGAAGCACGATGAGATTGACATTAGGCGATTTAGCCATCCTCCAACCATAAGCAAGTGCTTCCCGATCATCCGGCCCTCCAATGAAGATAACAACGAACGAGGATTGAGACCGTGACGTTGTTGTCACGTCTTTCGAGCTGCTGCCAAGCCCACGGTCCACGAGTATACCTATGGAGCAAGTAGTCGTGGCCATGAGGTTCTTGTTCATCGTCCTCCAGTTCGTGTTCTCGTCCTGAAACCTCCCGTAGACATCAGCTTGCTTGTGAAAAGGGACGAGGATCAGCGTCACCCGCTTGTCCTCCCCGAGGCAGGTGATGTCCTCGTGCATCGTGGTGTACGGGGACACCACGGTAAGCGACTGAGCAGACACCGACGCGCCTCGATTCTCGAGGCTCTCGAACGTCATGATGATGTGTTGCGACTCCTCCTCTCGACGGCTCAGGTTCTGCCCCGATCCTTCGAAACTGTGGTGGGAGATGTTGTTGTTGTGCTTGTTGTGGTTGCTGCTGTTATCGTGGACGATTAGCATTGCCGTGGCACGTCGATCGGTGAGCTGGACCAAGTGGAGAGCGAACACCGATATCGGGTACTGCTTGCTGCCATTGGAGGACTCGAGGAGGTAGACCATCCCCGAAAGATTACGCGTCGTATGGATGCACGCCAGCACCCTGAGCTCCGACTCCAGCTTGTTGCTCTCCATTGTTCTGCGCTTGAAGTGGCTAGATTTTCTGGTGGACTTGTTTGCTACTCGGACCAAGGGCATTATCGTAACGGACATGAACAGAATTGAGAGTACCAGCGTGAGGAACATTACTTGGTTTAAGCCCTGGTTGTTGCGGCCCGTGTTGATGACGACTAGAGCGAGAACCCCTTTCGTGTTCATGAGGACTCCGAGAGTGAAGGCATCACGACTACTCATTCCTGACAGTTTGGAGAAAACAAAAGTACTGACGATCTTGGCCGACCAGGCGAGTACCACGAGGATGAAGATGGCGTGGGGAGGCGTCACGAACATGGAGTTGGCGGTGAGGGCAGCCAGGCTGCTCCTCACCCCGTTATCCATGAAAAACACGGGCATCAGGATCCCCTTGACGTACTCCTCGAATATCTCCATGAGCTTCACGGTGTACACATCCCCACTGGGGATGACGAGCCCGAACACGAAGGCGCCAATCATCGAGTTGGCACCACAAGCCTCGGTGATGACCGAGGAGGTCAGGATCCCGCCGAAGATGGTGAAGTTGAGGAGCAGCTTGTTGTCCGTCTCATCCGCGTGCCTGAGGATCCACGTGACCGCGGGGCGCACCAGGAACCATGACGCGGCGAAGAAAGCGAACGTCGGGAGGAGGTACAAAGGGTTCAATGTGCCATTGTTCAGCGTGAGCGCGATGACCAGAAGGATCCACGTCGTGAGCTCGCTGATGATGGAGGAAGACAGGGCCAGCCTCCCCATGTCAGTGTGGAGGAGCTTGGTGTCTGAGAGTATCCTGGCGAGATCGGGAAAGCTGGTGACGGTGAGGGCAACTCCCCAAAACACGGGTCCGGTCAGCTTGACCGGAGCCAGATTCTCCCAGAACTCCTGGGAGAAGAAATTTGTGTATCTTGGATCAGCTGCCATTACGAAGAACTCGACGAAGCCTACGAAGAGAGGAAGTATCGTCCCGGTTAAACCCGTGTAGACCGCCTCCTTTCCTATGTGTCTGACCGTGCGCAGGTCGATCTCGAGCCCAACCAAAAACACGTAGTAAATGAGGCTCGCATGTCCCAGGGTGTCGAGCACCTTGAGGCTACTGGTAGGAATGGCATAAACCCTAGCCCATGTTCGCAATCCCTGGCCAATCAAAATTCCAGCCTGCAATATGTACAAACAATTTCAATCACCACATACATGTACAATCTTTGATGAAGAATGATTTGGGTATATTAATGAATGGATAATCGTACCAGCAATTCGACCGAAAAACGAGGGAAGCGTAATGGCTTGAGGATGGCCGAAATGACGTTGATGCCGAAGAGGATGGCAGCGAATTGCACGAAGTAGTAAGGAACGTAATGGATGAACGTGGGATTGTTTTCGTTGTCGGGCCTGGCCAGTTTCCAGAATACCGACGTGTCGAGGGACGTCGGGATGGATTCGTTGAGGCATACGTTGATGACCCCGCTGGTCCAACCTTCCACGGTTGTGCTCTCAGACGCCATCTTGATCGAATGATGATGATGACGATGATGATTGCTTGGATAGAACTTTGGCCTTGATATGCTGAGGGGGGAATTGCTTTCGAACTTATGAAACGCCAATTAATTGAGAGGGAATTTGATTTTGTAAATTCTTGACGTTGAGTTTGGTTGTTGGTAAGTATTAAATAGGGATCCTTCAAAGGTAATTGGGTAATGAGGTTGGCAGATAGAGATTGCCAACCCAGACAACGAAATCTTCGGTTTTTTCCTCGTTACGCAGTTATAGTTTGGCAGTAACGTCTCATTTGAAGGCTTTTTCCACCCTAGGTTTGAGGATGTCAAAAAAGAAAACTACAATTTAGGGACATACTTTGATATATATTATGTTATGTGATTTTTGAGATGGGTATGTTGGAGTACTAGAAGAGTATTTACATAAACTAGTTTGGAACCGGCCAGTTGGCCGGAATATTTTTATATTTATTATGTAATGAATTATGAAAATTTTAGATTTTGTTCGGAGTTTTCAATTGACTTTTTAAAATAGTAATCATCTACATAATGAAGTTTGTTTGAGTTTTCATGGTGAGTTTTTTTATGTCATGATATACAATCCACTGTTAAAAATACTTTATATTTGGTTTTTGTACTCGGTCAAGATTTCTCATTACTCTGCTTTTATGGATTCTCAACTCTTACCTAATATCACATCATTCCAACTAAGTAGGATATAAAAAATGAAACCACAAATGTATCGTTGCTAAAATGGTTAACCATTTTTGCAATCAAAAGAAGTCTCAGTTGCACGAGTAATAAATAAAAAAAATATCAAGCTTCTCTTAAATTGTATAGAAAACACCCCAACCTCTAAAACGCTGGAAAAATAAAACAAAAGGATGTATCTAACACAAATAAAAACTCTCTAAGTTCCATAGTGGACCTTCAACTCTTTTATCTTTATTCAAAGGAATATAGTGCCCTGACGAGCCTTTAAATAAGGTGTTTCAGTAGTATGTTCTGGTTGAAAGTGAAATACAGAAGCATGTTGGATTCATCTCTTCCAAGGGTATATATTAGGAAAGCCCATCATTTCAAATTGTATTTTTTAATTGTTGTTTCTTAACTTAGTTTTGTTTGTTTTTTATTTTTTGTTTGTTTTTTTAGTATTCTTGTTCTTTCCATTCTTCGAGATAAGTAATTATTGTTTTTTTTCAAAGGTTTAGTATTTTATTATTATTTTGGGTTTTGTTTTTTTTCCAGTTCATGTTTTTTTAATCATTTTAGCTCTATAATTTACTTTAATTATATATAATAATGTTCGCGTTAGTAGAGTTTATCCTTTTATAGTTAGAACTCGTTTTTTAGTGTTCATATTTTGCAATACACCAAAAACTTTACAAATGGTTTCACCTTGTTGGTTATATAAAACATATTTTCTTTTTTCTTTTCGGTTATTTTATTTTTTCTTAAAAGCTCGCTTCTATCTCTTGCGGTAGAGTTTTGTATCTCCATGTATGAGCTATTTTGTTTATTTTAGTTTGCATGAAACCTTTCCTTTGCCTTAGCATTTGCCGCAATCACGATGGTTTCTCAGACGGAGTATTTGTGGGGAACTATTCTCCTCTTTCTCTCTATTCGAGTCAGTATTGTATCTTTTTGCCCACCTAATGGCAAAAAAAGGCTATTTCATACGGACTATCATTCTTTATTATAGTATGTCTTTTATATTTATTCAGCCATGCCTTGGAGGCGTATCTTGGTTAAAAGAACTCTTACTTAATATGACATCATTCCAACTAAGTAGGATATAAAAAAAATGAAACCACAAATGTATCGTTGCTAAATTGGTTAACCATTTTTGTAATCAAAAGGAAGTCTTAGTTGCATAAGGAATAAATAATAAAAAATATCAAGGTTCTCCAAAATTGTGTTATTCGATTTCCATAGATTCATGGGTTATGAGTAAGCTACATATGCACATCCTCGCATCAATATAAGGAGGTTCTCCTTGACCACCTACTTCATTCCGTTTTTGCTGTGTTTTTGCACAAAGATCAAGTAAGGAGGGGATTAATAAAAGCAAAAATACCCATGGCACATATATTAAACCTCTGCTACAGATCTGCAAATGAAGCGACCGAGATAAGTGCTTTGCCTGGCAGCTCTTCTCTACTATGTCTTAATACGCAACCCTTCAAACCTCCTATCAGAATATTGTAAAATCGAACTGGAAGTAATACTGGTAAAGTTTAATCATCATTTAATTGTGGTTCAATTATTTTATAACAATATAATTCATATACTAATTTGTCCTTTGATATAAAGATTTTTCAATCAAATCATCGATACAATACAATTTCACAAACACAGATCCGTCACAACCCTTTGATTTCTTAAGGCCCATAATTCAATTAATATGCATCATTTCTCCGTTGTCCCATATCATTGTAATACCTTTTTCTTATTTTGATAATTATTGCAGGTGGAGAATCATCCAAAAGTAAAACATATGTTGCAATTCTATTTTTAAAAATCGAACTTAAGTAAATATATTTTTATTTATATATGTTGTTGTCTACATTCTACAAGAATCAAGTATATATAGCATATGAATGAGCTTTATTTTTATGGGTCCAAAAGGAAAGAACGTTTGACTATTCAGTAATTATGCATATGCAAAGTATTATGTATGCAATGTATAATATATTTGATATATGACTAATTGTCTAATTGGTTAATAATTTGGATTGGTTAGCGGTGCATGAAACCAAATCATAGAAACCAAACATGCTCAAAAATTATATTAGTGGTACTAAGAAAGTAGTGTTGTGCACTGCTTCTTTCAATATTGGAGGTTTGCTATTGGTTGGAGGTCAAACAACTCATTCTCGATTTTATATTCCAATATTGTGATTCAAATCGACATGCTAATTGAACAAGAAAGAGAGTTAGCATAGTGATTCGGAAGGCCTCTCTTATTATTTGGGATGAAGATCATGTGGCTAATAAACTTAATATCTCAGAGACATTTTTGCATGTGAAAAAACAAAATAGTGAGTACATGATCTTTGGTGAATTTTTGTTGTGTTTGCCGGAGATTTTTGAACAACATTAACAGTAATTACTAGGAAAACTTGGATATATATTATAAATTCTTCTATCAGGAGGTCGTATTTTGTGGTCCACGTTCAAAGTATTACTACTCTCAAAATATGAGATTGAAGAATTCAACAAATGAATGTTAGAGATAGATTATGGAGTGGCTACCCAAAAAATAATCTTCATTCGAACAATTATTATTGTTTTCCAAATTGTAGATGACAATGAAACTACTTTTTACTTAATGGCTTTGCAAGTATACGAAACATATTTCTTTTGAAGGTTATTTGTTTGAAACTAAGGCATAAAGAAAAATAGAGTTGTGCATTGCTACTTTCAGTATTGGAGTTTTGCTAATGGTTGGAGGTCAAACAACTCATTCTCCATTTTATATTCCAATAGATTGTGATTCATAATCGTCATGTCATATTGAATAAGAAAGCGAGTTTGCGTAGTGGATTAAGAATGTCTCTCTAATTATTTGGGATGAAGCTCATGGAGCTGATAAACATAATATTTAAGTAGCGAAAAAAAATCTCATAAAGATTTTGCATGTAAAACATCTAAATAGTGAGTACATGATTTTTGGAGGAATTTTTGTTGTGTATTCGAGAGACTTTTTACGAACATTAAATATATTTACTAGGGAAACTTGGATAAATATTGTAAATTCTTCTATCCAGATGCAAGAGGTCGAATTTTGTGATCCGCATTCAAAGTTTTGCAACTCTCCCAAAATACGAGATAGAAAAATTGAACAAACAAATTTTGGGATACATCATGGAGTGGCTACCCAAAAAATATCAATATTCATTTGAACAATGACTATTGTTGTTTATGCGATTGATGAAACACAACCGGCCAACTGGCCGGGTCCCTACCTAGTTTTTATGTATAATAATTTACCGTCGACGTGACTCAGGTCCATGTGTATAACTTAATCTCGTACTAAAAAAAAAAAAAAAAAAGAGGAGCTCTCTCCTCTCTCTTCCTTTTCCTCTCGATCGTCGGCCGATGGTTGTCGCGGGTGGTGGTTGCTTTCTTCAAGGCCAGTTTGCGTAACCAGGGGCACTGGTTTCCATCCTCGCCATCGCTGTCTGGGAATGGCCTTCGGAAGACTAACAGTATCGAGCGGATTGTCAACAGGGGGGAAGGCAGCTCTAAGAATTCGGCGAAACCTTTTCCAATTAGGGCTTCGTTTGGGGTGGAAGGGCGTCGATCAATTTGGCTCCGTCGGAGAAAACGTCTATTCCTTACGGCGTTTACCGAGATGCAATCTGAGGAAATTCGTCCATCCAAGAGATGTCGGATCGGGCCTCGGGTTCAATGGCGATTTCGACTTCCGAATTCGTCTGAATTAGAAGAAGAGGATTCTGAAACATCCTCGCTTGCGGCGGTCAATAGGAAGTCCTCTTGGCCTCCGTTGAAAGGTTCTAGTTCCAATGATCGATGCAGTGGTCGGTTCACTGCTTCTCTACCCTTAGGGGGGGGGGGGGGTCTGCTCTCGCGTCGCCAGAGGTGAAGATCGAGACTAAAAGACCCTGTACCAGTATTGAATCAGCCCAGCATCCTTGTGAAAGTGTTGGTCAGATTGATCCCCTCGGGGATGGTTCTTGTTGTATATTGAAAGATAGTATCAAATTGCGGTTCATTTCCGCTGTCCCGACCGGCGAGAAGGCGCCGGCGACAATCTCTGGCAGTTGGGGACGCGTTTGAGTGAGGCGGTTATAGGTGAATCTCAAGGAGATTTTTTAGCAGATTTGGACGAGATAAACGGGTCCAGCCGATCCTGGGAGATCGATTTGATTTTCCCCCCCCCCCCAAATCTCCTAATCCAAAACCAATTCCTTCTCTAACTATAAATCGGACTCAGGGAGTTTCTCTCCTTTTGGGGAACTGGCACCCGAAAGCCTTTAAATTGCCTTCTCCCATCTCTGTAACACTTCGGTGTAAAACACAGCGACTGGGTTTTTTTTGGAGAAGCTCGAACAGATTTTGACAAGAAGCGGGTCTGTGCTCCAAAGCGGCATCGAGGTAATGGTCTCTGCGTCCGATTCCAATCTCATGTTCTTCATTTGAGGAAATCTCCCCTCTCTGGTTTGGCGATTGAACTTCCTAAGCGGCCGAAATCCAGTGCGAGGGGTTCCAACTCCCCCGCTTCGGCGGTTCCCCTCCCCTGCTCGAGCGTTCCCAGGGAGTTGGTGGTGTCGAACACCGTTCAACCCTGTTCGCCGCCGGCCAACGTCTCGACGGTGCCGGTCGCAACTCCAAGGGTGACTCTGTTTGCTGCTCTGCCCGAGTCGACTCTGCCCAGAGCTTCGGCGATGATGGGCGATGGTGATGCGGGCCTGGCAGGCCTGGCTGATCCGCTGGTGGGCCGAGGGGCAATTAACACAGGCCTGGATGGGCCGGGTTGTAGGCCTGCCAATACCGGCCCATTATCTTTAATGGAGGGGCTAGTGGTGGCCAGCCCATGGTTCTCTTTAACAGGCCCTACGGCTGTCTTTGATGGCCCATTTGTGTCACTAACAGATGTAGTTGTGACGGGCCTGAGCTCCCCATTTCCCTTGTGTTGTTTTATTAATCCAACTACGACTTATTGCATTGAACCTAAAAAAGTATGTTCCCCCTTGTGGCAGGTGAAACTATGACGCGTGTAACAGAGGATCAAGTGGTGGAATTCTCACTCGATGAAGTTCAGTCGGTGAAATTCCGTACTTCAAGGACTCTCTTGGGAAGACTTTTTTCGGAGAGCGCTTTCACCGCAGGGGAGTTGAAGGAGGGCCTGCTTGATACATGGCGGGTACAGGGAAACCTTCGGGTATCGATGACTAAATTTGGCCTATTTGAGATTATTCTCCCAAATGATGAGATGAGGGTTTGGCTCCTAAAAAGATCTCCATGGATTGTTAAGGACAGGATTCTCCACCTGCGGTCCTGGACACCCTCGATCACAAGGCCTATTTTTGACGACTTGGCCATTGTTCCTTATCGTGTGCAACTATGGAATGTCAAAGAAGATTGTTGCACGGCGCAGTTTGGCCGGAAAGTGGCAGCTGGTATGATTGGTCAAATCTTGGAGTCTGATGTCTTTGCGGCCAAAGATTCTGATGAACGCTTTCTGAAAGTGCATGCCCTAATTGATTTTGCCAAGCCTTTGCGATCTCAATTTATTGCGGCTAGTGAAGAGATTGGTAGATTCTGGGTACATCTCAAATATGAGTTTTTGCCAACCTTCTGCTATCACTGTGGTCGAGTAGGGTATTCAAAGTCGGAGTGTGTTTTTGGCCCTCCTGCTGGCCAGGAACGGTTTGGGCCGCACATGTCTACTCGAAAGCCGGGAAGAAAGATTTACAGGGAGGATGACGAATGCCCTCAGTTCCGCAATGCCAGCAAATCAGTGTAGGTGAATAGAAATACTCATTTGGGCAAAGATGGGAAGGAGAAGGTTGCTAGCAGAGCTCTAGGTACTAATACCCGCCCACCTACCCAAGTGGCGTCTCATCCTCCCCAAGAGAGTCGGAGACTCAGAAGCAGAGAGTGGTACAGAACAGGCAGCAGGCTCCTGTTAGAACCTCATCTGGGGGTCGGACTAGTCCCCAGCGTTTGGTCGTTAAAACGTCTCCTCGGGTTAAGATAGCTGGAAATATTCGTCAACAACAGAAGAAAGCATCACCCAGAAAGATGGTACCACCTCCTCGGCAAGGCACTAAGGAGCGCCGGCAGCCTAGCCGACGGGCCAAGCAGACTGCACAACGCCAGGAGGCTGTGGGGCAGATGGAGGAGGCTTTCGAGCAATCAAGGAGGCGCAGGCTGATTTTACAAGAGGAATATGAGGAAGAGGGGGAGGAGATCATGGGGGGTGGGAGTAGTGCCCCTATGAAGCAGCATACCTCTGAGGGTCTGGCAGAGGATCTTGACACACTTCCCAGGGCTCGCCCACGTCTTCGAAAAGGAGGGATAAACTTCTCCCTTTCTTCGGCTCACAAGGATGGGCGTTCCTCTCCTTCTGGTGATCTGATTGGCTTGGAGGATAAGGAATCGGTGGATACATTGGAGAAGCCTACTACGGTAGATCAACAGCAAGATCCTGACTCTGACGATGAGTAGGAAGCTGAGGACCAGCATTCCTTTGAGATCAAGCGTCGGTCGCCAGCGAAGGCTACCAGGAATACTCGTCATATCTTGAAAGGACGTGTTCACCAGGTGGTGGAGGCTTTTGAAGCTGGGTTAGTTATTGCGAGGGAGGAGGATGGTGGGGTCAAGGAAATGGTTTCAAAGTTGGATGAATATGGGTCTAATTTGATGGACCCTATCATGGAGAATCGGAAGCGTTTGCTGGGTGAGGTAGAAGGGGATGTGGGGAACCCTCCTACACCAAAGAAGCAGTTTGTGGATGCGATAGAGGATCTGGAAAAGGTGGAGGAAACCGGCCTGGAGTGGCCCCCAGAGGATAAATGAGGCTTCTCGCCTGGAATGTGAGAGGAATTGGGCCATCCCTCACTTTCCAATCTACTTTAGGGCTTGTTCATTCTAATAAACCGGATCTCGTGTTTTTCTCGGAGACACGATCGAGCCGGCGTGTAGTGTCCCGGCGTATGCGGGGTCTAGGTTTTGCATTTTCGCATTGTTTTTTTGTAGATGCAGTCGATGAATTGGGTGGTTTAGTAGTTGCTTGGGCCCCCGGAGTTGACACTTCGGTGCTTTGTCATTCAAATTTTTATATTTGTTCGCAAATTAATGAATGAGATTTGTCTTATGTTGTAGTCTTTGTTTATATTAGTTGTAATAGTGCTGTTCGCACCTCCCAATTGAACCAATTGCGATCTGTTTGTGAGAATATCAATCACCCGTATGTGATCATAGGTGACTTCAATGCAACTCTGCATGAGGGTGAAAAAGATGGGGGACAGGAATGGAATGCCAACCAAGGTCTAAGCCTCCGTGAGTTTGTTCATGATTTGGGTCTCCACGATCCTGGGTATCAAGGGGATCCTTTTACTTGGACCAATAAGCATATGGGCAATGATTGCATCCGAGCTCGTATGGATAGAGCAGTTTGCTCTCAGTCTTGGATGGATACTTACCCGGAGACGTTAGTCAAGCACTTCACTGACCAGGGATCAGACCATCGTGCTCTTCTGCTTGCAGATAAACCATATGTTCGTACTAGTCGGCCTCTTTTCCGTTTTGATGCCCGTTGGGCGGATAATCCGGAAGTTAGGGCTATGGTCAACTATGTCTGGCAGGAAGAAATCCAAGGCACCCCTATGTTTCGACTATGGGAACGCCTAAAGAAACTCCGTCGTTTGTTATATGATTGGAGTAGGGCGGGTACAACTAATTCCCTGCGGAATATTAGGACGCTCCAAGATGAGATTGATAGGATAAAATCGATCCACCCAGTTCAGTGGGATGAGATCAGGATGCTGGAGACGGAGCTCTCCCGTCAGTGGGAAGCAGAGGAGGTGTTCTGGCAGCAAAAATCCAGAGTTAAGTGGCTAAAAAAAGGAGATCAAAATTCTGCCTATTTCCATACGGTTACTAGGGCTCGGCGGAAGAGGAATTTTGTTTCTGGCCTTCGGAATGAGGAGGGTGCTTGGATCACGGAGGAAACAGGGAAGGCTTCTATTGCCACTAATTTTTATCAGACTTTGTTTACCTCTGAAAATCAGGTTCCTAATATGACTGAGAGGGTGGCGACTCTGCCAATTGCCCGTAATGTTACTCCGCAAATGAATGCTCAGTTGACGGCAGAGGTTCTACCGAGTGAGGTCCGGACTACGGTCTTTTCCATGGGTTCGAAACAGGCCCCGAGATCGGATGGCTTCACAGGGAAGTTCTTTGAAGCTTTCTGGGATATAGTGGGCACTTCGGTGATTGAAGCAGTAATTTCCTTCTTTACCTCGAGTCGGATGCTGCGAAGCTTTAATCATACATGGCTCACTTTGATCCCTAAAGTGGAATCGGTGGAAACAATTAGACAATTACGCCCGATTAGTCTCTGTCAGTTTGTGTACAAAGTGATTACCAAAATCATGGCTGCACGACTGGCTAGCATGCTCCCTCGAATTGTTTCGGAAGGCCAAAATGGCTTTATCAGGGATCGGCAGATCATTGATAATATCCTGATAGGACATGAACTGATGCATTACTTGAAAATTAAGACGCAAGGTAAGAAAGGGTACATGGCTCTAAAGGTTGACATGGAAAAGGCCTATGATAGAGTCGAATGGTCCTTCTTGCTTGCAGTTTTGGATAAGATGGGCTTTAGTTCAGTCTGGCAAGGATGGATACATGAATGTCTTCGATCCTCCTCTTTCTCGGTTCTCATGAATGGTACGCCCTCAGGATTTTTCACGGCCTCTAGGGGCCTTCGCCAGGGGGATCTGCTCTCGCCTCTCTTGTTTGTTCTCTGCACGGAGGGGTTTGCAGCCCTTCTTCGGCAGGCGATCACGGAGAAAAAATTAGAGGGTGTAAAAGTAGCCCCTCGTGCTCCAAGAATCTCGCACCTGTTCTTTGCGGATGATTCTTATCTATTCTTGCGCGGTTCTTTGCAGGAGTGCGAGAATTTGATTGTGGTGTTGAATGAGTATGAGGAACTGAGTGGTCAACGCGTTAATTTGGATAAATCGGCACTGTGCTTTAGTAAGAATATTTCCGCTCCAGATCAAGAGTTCTTGGCCACGATTCTTGGGGTTGGTGCGGTGGGGGTCCATGATAAATATCTAGGGCTCCCAACGCTGGTTGCCCGGTCCAAAACAGCTACATTCAGATATTTGGAGGAAAAACTTCTAGAGCGACTCCAGGGGTGGAAACAGAGGACATTGTCGTGGGCTGCTAAGGAAACATTAATTAAATCCATAGCGTTGGCTCTTCCTCTGTATGCTATGTCCTGTTTCCGGCTTCCCTTGGCTCTTTGTCGCCTTTTCGATAAGCATGTGGCCCGTTTTTGGTGGGGTGCGGAGGACGGGAATCCTAAGATAAGATGGGTGTCCTGGCGTAACATGTGCAGGAGTAAGCATGAAGGGGGGATGGGATTTCGTCAGTTCGAACATTTTAATCAAGCTCTTTTGGCTAAGATAGGCTGGCGTATCCTCAATGACCCTCATTCACTTATTGCCCAGGTCTATAAAGGCAAGTATTTCCCTCAAGGGTCTTTTCTAACTGCGACTGCTAGATCGCGGCCCTCTTGGGGGTGGCAAAGTATCCTTCATGGGCGTATGTTATTGGAAAGAGGGTTGAGATGGCAGGTGGGAAATGGGCAATCGGTCTCCCTTCTCCAGTCTAACTGGATTCCTGGGTATTAGTTGGATCCCCCTGCCTATAATCCTCGGATCTTGCCTGAGGGGGGTGATCCCTTGGTGGCGGAGGTTATTAGTGAGGGGGGAGGGAGGTGGTCGGATGGAATGATTAGTCAATGGTTTGACCCTCCCACCTGTAAGGCTATTAAAGCTATTCCCCTCCCGCGCCGGGATGTTCCGGATAAGCTCATCTGGCATTTTACGGCTGATGGGGTCTTCTCGGTTAAGACGGCTTATCATTTGGCTGTCAATTTGGAGAGAAGGAGGGGGGTGGCGTTCCTCGGTGAGCTGGATGGATAAACCGAGTTGGGTTAGAGTCTGGGAGGCCAACATCCCTCCGAAGTTGAAGGTGTTTGTTTGGCAAATCCTTAATCGGGCTTTGCCGACTATGGAGGCGCTTATTGAGAAAAAGGTCCAGGTGCAACCCCGGTGTCCAGTTTGTTGGGATGCCCCGGAGACTCTGGAGCACTTGTTCCTTTATTGTCCAGTGGCGCGGGCTCTCTGGGATTATTCTGGGCTGGAATACTTGGGAGAGGGATTGCCTTGGCAGACTTTTCCGTTATTTCTCAAGCGTCTGCTGGGTTTGATTCACCAACCGTCGGTGGTTATGGCTGTTGTTGCCATCCTTTGGAGGATCTGGCGATCTCGGAATTGGGTGGTTTTTGAGGGCAAACAATTTGGGATCCCAGCTCTTATGCGCCAGTTTAACCAGCAGTATAAGGAATGGGTGGGTCTCCCAGTAGACCAGGTCCCTAGGGCACAAGTCCAGATAATGCGATCTTCACCTCAATTGGATGATTCCCATTTGGTCTGCATGTGGGACGGTGCTACTAAGGGTGGGTCTCATTCGGCTGGTGGGATGGTTCTTTTTGACCCCACAAGGACACTCTTAATGGCTAGATGGATCCAGTTTGCTCAAATAGAGGATCCTGCAGTGGTGGAATTGCTTGTGCTTCGTGAGGCTATCATTTGGTGTATGGAGCAAGGTTTGTCGGCTGTCCGTTTTGAGGGCGATGCGAAAGTGATAATTGATAAAATTAATCAGGCCGACGCAAGAGATAGCCGGTTGGGTGCGGTGCTTGAAGAGGTTGTTCATTATATTCGTACTCAGTCTGGCTTTAGTGTGCGGTTTGTAGGTCGGGAGAACAATAGGGTAGCTCATTTGGTAGCTAGGAAAGCCCTTTCTTTGTACCCGACTATGAGTCGCTTCTTTGACTTCCAGACCTGGCTAGTATTCAGGGTGTAACTATTTTATGCAATGATCAATATATGATATCTTTTGACAAAAAAAAAGTGATATTAACGCTTACCATATTATAAACATAAATTATCAACGACACTTCAACCCTTTTCATTTATCCTTTACTTCTTAACTTAATTTTGTAGTCATAGAAAAATACCCCAACCTCTAAAACCCTGAAAAATAAAAACAAAAGGATATATATCTAACACAAAAAAACTCTCTAAGTTCCAAAGTAGTCAAAACTCTAAAATGAAATTTAATTTAACTACAATCATTTTTGTGGACGAATTTTGGAATAAATTAGACTAATGAAAAACAAAAGAAGTGAGGATTTCAATAATTGGATTGGGTAGATGGAGTTATTGGTAGGGGTGGCCGTTCGGTTACCGGTTAACCGGCCAGTTAAACCGATAACCGACCGGTTATCCACTAACCGGTAACCGAAGTAACCGAACTTCGGTCGGTTATCGGAGGCTGGACAAAATGTTTTTTGGTCTTAAAAGTGGTTCGGTTAATCGATAACCGAGAAACCGAAGCCTATTTCGGTCGGTGTTCAGTAGAGAAGGTGGTTATTTCGGTTAACCGATAACCGAACGATCGGTTACCGGTTATAACCGAAATAACCGAACTGCCACCCCTAGTTATTGGACTACAAAACTACTGGCCCTCAATAAACATGGACTAACAGGCAGGTCAATCATCCTATTGCTAGGAAGCTGGACACAGCTTTGGTCAATCTAAAGTGGACCGAGTCTTTCAAAGATTGTGCTATGGAGGTATCTCCTGCAAACTTTTCTGAATATTATGGTGTGCAAATTAGTATAGTGGCTCCAATTAAGTCTATGCCCAAACCATTCAAGTACTTTGAATTTTGGGCAGAACATCCGCTTTTTATGGAAATAGTAGAGAAACCTGAAAAATTGAAATCTATAGGGCGCCCTAACAGATTGTTCAAGACAAGTTGCGAGAGATTAAAAAAGCTTTGAAAAAATTAATAAAGAGGTTTATTGGGATCTTCAAGATCATGTTAAAGCGGCTGAAGCTGAGCTGCTAAGACCTCAAACTAGGGAGTCTTCAGATCCTACAGTAGAACATTTTGAGGCAGTCGCACAAACTAAGGATCACTTTGATAAGCTTTCTTCTGCTTATGAGATCTTTTGTTGGCATAAATCCGGAGTATCTTGGTTAACAGTTGGAGATAAATGTCCAGGCTTCTTTCATCAAGATGTGAAAATTAGAAACTCAAAAAGGGCTATCTAGAAGCTGGTAAAGGAGTCTGGTGAGGAGATTTTTCAGTCTGAACAGATTATGGAGGAAGTGGTTGGCTACTATAAGAAATTAACTAGAGAAGCTAACATGCATATCAACCCTCGGAAAGAAGGGGCGGAGCAGTTGATTCGAAAGTAAATCACATCAGCTAAATGTGCGACTCTTATTTAGGATGTCACAGCAGAGGAGGTGCATAGTGTGGTAGTTGGCATGAATTCCCAAAAGGCTCCAGGGCCAGATGGATTTTCTACTGGCTTCTACAGGAGAACTGTAACACCCCGACATTTGGGTTCAGGTTCGACCATATTAAATGAGCGACTAGATTGACAGTTACGTACGAATGGTTACAACCGTGGATTAATTAATAATAATAATATAACTACTATTATATTATTATTATATAAAAATGTAAATATAAAAGGGAAAGAGTCCATAGAAAGGCAACCGCTCGACGTAGAAGAAACACGATAAAGAGACTGCGAGACCAGATGGGGCGGTGGCACCTTGGTACAGAGCAAATAACTAACTGTCTCCTGGATTATTTTGGATCTCTATTTTGTGCAGGACATGCGCCGGAATCGACTCCTGTGCTGGATTCAATACCTCAAACTATAGGAGAAGATGCAAATGCAGAACTTCTAAAACCGGTCACAAGTGAAGAAGTTTGGCAGGCACTGAAACAGATGGGAGCAAGAAAGGCTCCTGGGGATGATGGTCTCTCTGTTCTTTTCTTCCGAAAATACTGGGGGACGGTGGAGGAGGACGTTGTAAGCACAGTACGTGGGATTATTGAAGAAGGGGTAATGCCGCAGGGGCTCAATCATACAGTTATAGCACTAATTCCGAAGGTGAAGAGTCCTACCTCTCCGGCGGAATTCCGACCGATAAGTTTATGTAATGTTCTGTATAAGATGGCATCTAAAGTGCTTGCGAACAGACTGAAGGGTCTGTTGGATAAAGTGATATCGCCAGCATAGAGTGCTTTCGTGCTAGGAAGATATATTACGGACAATGTGATGGCAGCATTTGAATGTTTTCATACGATGAAGAAGAGAAAGAAAGCAAAAGTGGGATATTTCGCGGCAAAAATTGATATGGCAAAAGCTTATGATAGGGTCGAGTGGTATTTCTTGGAGGGCGTGATGCGCAAGATGGGATTTGCAGAACAATGGATTCGACGAGTGATGTTGTGCGTGGAGTCGGTTTCTTACTCCATCATAGTGAACGGTCACAAGTCGCAGAGTTTTCGACCCAGCCGCGGGCTCCGGCAAGGGGACCCGTTGTCGCCATATTTGTTCCTACTATGCGCAGAAGGTCTCTCGGCGTATACAGAGAAGGCGATTCAGGATAAAAAGCTGCATGGATTGTCACCGGCGCCGGGGGCGCCAGTTATTTCACATTTGTTTTTTGCCGATGACAGCATCTTTTTTGCTCGGGCGACGCAGCAGGAAAGTGAGACTTTGAGAAGAATTTTGTCAGACTATGAGAGGGAATCGGGACAGTTGGTAAGCCTGTCAAAGTCAGGGGTATCGTTTAGTGACAATGTGTCGTCTCATAACAAGCTCTTGGTCAGTGGCACTCTGGGTATGCCAATTGTTGCCAAGCATGAGAAATACCTGGGGTTAGCGACTGTAGCTGGACGCTCGAAGAAGGAACTGTTCACAGGAATTGTTGACCGTATAAGAAAGAAACTGAAGGGATGGAAGGAGAGGGTGATGTCGGTTGCAGCTAGGGAAGTGCTCATTAAGTCGGTAGCTCAGGCACAATTATCTTACGCAATGACGGTTTTCAAGGTGCCGGAGGGTGTGTTGGATGAAGTGCATAGCATGATTATGGCATTTTGGTGGGGACAGAAAGGGACCGAGAGACGGGTAAGCTGGTTACGAAGGGAAGAGATGGTCTGCTCGAAGATGGAGGGCGGGATGGGTTTTCGCGACTTGAAGGGGTTCAACATGGCGCTATTAGCAAAGCAGCTTTGGAATCTCTATCAACGGCCGAACTCACTAATTGCTACCATTCTCCGAGCTAAGTACCATAAGCATGTATCTATTTTGGATGCTAGAGCGGGATATAACCCAAGTTACATGTGGCGCAGCCTGATGTCAGCGTTGGATTTCCTGAATAGTGGACTGAGATGGCGGATCGGCAATGGAGACTCTGTGTGTATCTGGGGGGACAAATGGATTCCGAGCAGCCCTGAGTTGTTTGTGCCGTCAGCGCCGCGAGGCCTCCCGGTTGACTCACGAGTCAGTGCACTCATTGACCCGGTAACTGAACAATGGGATTTTTCTTTGCTGGAGAACTGCTTCCCGAATGAGCTGGTTAGGAATATCCTTAAAATCCCACTCCGGGGCATTCACGAACCAGATCGCTTGATTTGGAGCACTAGTAAGAATGGATCCTATTCAGTCCGTGAGGGTTATAGATTCTGGTTGAAGAAATTCAAGGAAGAGAATGGAGTTAACGGGTTTGGGGAAGAAGTTGTATGGAAGAAGATGTGGAATATGAACATTGCTCCAAAAATAAAGCAGTTCATCTGGAGATTTGCAAGAGAGGTACTCCCGACGGGAGATCACATCAGTGAGAAGAGCCAACGCCGCGGGGACAAGTGCCCCTTCTGCGACCTCTGAGAAATACAGATCCACCTTTTTGGTGATTGCCAATGGACGAGCCGGATTTGGAGGACTTCAGAGGTGGCAGACTGTTTCAATTACCAACCGGTGCAAGAATGCTATAGCTGGTTCAAACAGGTAATGGAGAAGGTTGATGAGGAGACGCTAGAATCTTGGAGCGTGCTGTTGTGGTATTTATGGAAAGAGAGGAACGCACAGCTATTCAATGGACAAAAGTTGGCGGAGGAGGAGATTGTTATACGAGCTAAATACTATCTCCAAGACTACAAAGCTAATCAAGCAAAGAGGAGGGAGGAGACTGAAGCCAGAGTGGAGAAGGCGTGGCAGCCTCCATTATTGGGGGAATATAAAATCAACACTGATGCTGGATTTGGAAAAGCAGGAGGTGTGACACTGGGTGTGGTGATCCGGGGCGAGCAAGGCAAGTTCACGTTGGCAGCTGCGAAGCGATTGGAAGGGGACTACGAGATTGAGATGGGAGAGGCTTTGGCGGCGGAGTTTGGACTAATGATGGCAAAGCAATTCCGGGTTACGAAACCAGCCTTGGAGACGAACTGCTTACCTCTGGTACAGAAGATTCAGGCTGCCGAGGAGATTCAGAAGGAGATTGGTACGGTTTGTCGGAGTATTCGTAGACTATTGCAGGAGCTTGGACAAGGTTCACTGAGATACGTCCGAAGGTCAGCAAATGAAGCAGCTCACCAGATGGCGCAGCTTACTTTGTGTCGAAATGATGCTAGTGTTTGGGTAGATCAACCCCCGCAATGTTTGATTAGCCAGCTGCAGCTTGACATTGCAATGGCACAATCTGGTTAATAAAAGTGAAGCAGGTTTACCGTCAAACCCCCCCCCCCCTCCCCCGCGTAAACCCTTTTCCCTGAGTTCAACCAACCCTAGAGGAAGCAGCAGCCCTGCGAGAGGAAGAAAAAGGAAAAGAAAAGAAATAAGGGGAGAGCAGGTTGCTTCCCCACCGCCGCCTCTCTGTTTCCCGATCCCGATCCCATCCCTCTCGTATTCCTAGGAAAGGATCACGAATCCTTTCACGATTTCAAAATCGATTCATCAATCGTCTAATCCGAAATTCGTATTATTGTACTATAGCATTTGCAGTGACGTTTAAGGGTTCGAACATAGATCAACGAGGATATCAACGTCCTGAGTCATCCGATCTAGTCCTAGGCTCGTCTAGTGGTAAGGGAACTCGATCCCTTCGATTTAGATCGGTGGTTTTGATGATTTTTCGTGAGGGTGCAATTATGGGTTCTAGCGACGGACTTTACAGGCTTTTATTGACAGATTTTGGGTGGTCACTAAAGTTGCAGGAAATTTCCAGAAACGTGTTTAAAGATGGTTAAATTGTTTTGAGCCACTTCAGGTAGTTTTTTCTGGGTTTAGCAATTTCATAAAATGAAGGAGGTCTAGGAGATGCCTATGATTTAATTTGGGAATTTTTGAAGATGAACTACTACTTTTAGAAATTGGTGGAATAACGATTTTAATTATATATAAATCATGCGGAGGTTTTTTTGAAGGGTTTGGTAATTTTCCAAGATATATGTTCTCATGTTTGACGTGGAAAAATTATTATATTAATTTTTAAGGAGGTTCAAGTTAGGTGTAAAATTCATCCAAGACGATATTAATTAGGAAAAATGGTCGGTTTTGAAGGAATTATTTATAGAAATTTTTTAAAGGAAATTAATGGATCTTTGGAATGAGGCTCGAGGACTGATGTAACCAGAGGGATCCTTTATTTCTTCAATTCAGATATTCTTCCTTGTGGGGTAAACTCCACAACTGTGTCCCTGATTCCGAAAAGCTCTAATGCTGATACTTTAAAGAACTTTAGGCCTATTTCTTTTGTAAATCTCTTATAAAAAATAGTGGCTAAGATTCTTGCTAGAAGAATTAGGAAAGTTTTGCCTCTAGTCATTAGTAATACACAGTCTGCTTTCATCAAGGGGAGAAGTATTATGGAAAATATTTTGCTAGCTCATGAACTGGTAAGTGGATATCATAGAATTGGATTGCCTTCTCGCCTCATAATGTTCTTCCCACTGTTCTTATAAGCTACTTTTGAAACAAAAAGAAGTAGAAAATAAATTTTATATAATACAATGAATAAAAAAATTATATTTAAAGTAAAAATAACAAATAAAATGGTTAACTTAAGTATTTAGAAACAATTGTTAGCAACGACATTCAAGTCTCTAGCCGTCCAAACAAATTGATCGAACCACTTATTGTAACTTGTTTGGTGGTTCAAGTGGTCAAGTATTTGATCCAGTTTGGTTCTTTTTTGCTAAAAGATATCACTAAAGAAAATTCATTTTCCACTTTGTCCTATATTATTAAAATTATGCGCTTAACATTTATGTTTGGAATAATATAACGTAATTGACATAATAATCACTTATATCGAGATTACTAAAAATAATTACTTGTGTATGAATTTTAACAGAATCATAACTTGCTTTCCCAATAACTAACAAAAGCTCTTTACATCAGTTTCGATCCATCTTGTAATACACAAGTGATAATTCTAGAAATACCTAGAGGCGTATTCCACAAGGTATTTTGTTAATAAATACTCAAAACTTTATTGAGTATTTAATGAGAAAAGGTGAAAATGATGGGTTGAGGTGCCAAAGATTTTTGAGTAAGCCACTAAGTGAAATAGAGATTGTGTAAAATAAAGAAAATTTAAACAAGAGACAATTGCTTAGAATGTATCATATAGATAAGCATGCACACTTTCTCATTCATAAGATGCATATATGCATCTATATGTTGGAGTATTATTATTATTATCATTATTATTATTAGTTGGACGTTTTAGAGTTGGGATTGGTTTAGGGGATGTGGGTTGGTTTCCATTACTTGGCCTGAGTGGTTTAAGATTAGCTATTAGGTTTAGCGTTTGTCTTTACTATAAATATGTGCTTTGTCTCTATGTTTTAGGAATCAAAGAAGAAGAATATTTAGTTTATCGTAACTTTTATCTTTTGTCTTTTAGGAAAATTAGAAGTACCTTAACTTTTATCTTTTATGCGCAACAAGAGGTATCATAGCCTAGTTTCGAGAACCGAGCTCGGATGGGCTCTCGCCAGGGCAATGGTTGCGCCATATCTAGAAGATTATGAAGCGTATCCAAAAGTTATTGGAGGATGGAAGGCGTGCAGCCGATGGAGGCCTAGCAAGGCCGACCTGCGAATCCTCAAGAGTAATGCCGAGGAAGAGGTCGAACCGGGAATTGATTCCTCTGCATCTGATGGAACGAGCTCTGGAAGGCTCTCAATCGGGGAGCAAACGCAACGTACCGTGGAGATCATTGAGTGTAACACCACGCACTTAGAAGCATGGCGTCTATGGATGGATACCAGTGACCCAACCGAAGCAGCGAAGGCACTTGAGGCCATGGAGATGATGGAGAAGTCGATTTCCTCGATCGCAACCCATCATGTTAGCGTCGTCGTAGATCATAGCGGATACTAAGCTCATAGATGAAGTAGACATCGATGGTCGAGTCATTCTCTCCTTAGTCGGGTAGAGCTTCAACTGATTATGAGTGTAAAGTTGGTTTCTAACTGAGTTCTAAGATCCTATTTCTAGTACAAGAGAGAGTGAGTAAACTGGGGCTTTTCCTCCTAAACTAGGCCAGAAGCTTCGTAACACCACTAAAACAAATGGTACGAGTTGTTAAACAAATATGGATACTACTTCAACATAGGTGGATACCAATTTGTGGATTTTGGATACTAGTTCATCAAAGTTTGCATACTAGTTCAAGTATAGTTGAATACTACTTATCTATGTGTAGATACTAGTTCATGCAATTTATTTAATAATTCATCAAAGTCTAGATACTAGTTCATTAAAACAAAAATTCTACCAAGTGTGCAACAAAACATGGTATCCATGCCCTGTGTTGAAGTAGTATCCATGTTTTGTTGAACACTTGGGTAGCATTTTGGTTTTAATGAACTAGTATCCAGACTTTGATGAATTATTATTTAGATTGCATGAACTATAATCCATGCTTTGATGATGTAGTATTTAAGTATATATGAACTAGTATCCAAGCTTTCATGAACTTGTATTCAAATTGTATGCACTAGTATCCAAAATGCACGAATTATTATCCACCTTATTTGAAGTAGTATTCATGTTTTGTTTGACATTCGATAAAAACTGATGGTTCACTGATTGCTGAGAAGAGCAAGGCGGCAAGTGGTGGATTGATTCGTGACCATCTGGGACGATGTCATGGAGCTTTCTCAGCCACCTTTGGGAACTGCTCTATCACCTAAACAGAGCTAAAAGCTGTTGAATATGGACTATCGATGGCGTAGGAGAAGGGGTTCATGCGTGTGAAACTTTGCCTCGATTCTACTACTACGATCAGTATCATCAAGAAGAAGGACGACGCCGCTCACATGCATGGGCTTCTTACACTTGAAATCAACAGACACTTGGAGCTGAATTGGGATGTTACATATCACTCATGTCTTTAGAGAATGCAACCACTCAGCTGATTTCTTAGCTAACAAAGGCCACGGTCTTCATTTTGGAGCTCATTTGATTGATGTTTTTAATTTGAGGCTTAACCACTAACTTTCTTTTGATGTAATGGGGACTACCCATGAACGATTAATTAATACGACTTGGGAGTTTAGGACAAGATTGGCCTCTGTTTTCTTGAGAGAAAAAAAGGTTATAAACCATCAACACATCCAATATTCATGTAACCGTACCGTACCTGCGGTTCAACCACAAAATACCAGTATCGGAGGCTAAACCAATAAGCGATATCTAACGGTACTAATGGTTGAACTACGATTAAACTACGGTGACCATAAAGTATTTTATCGCTGACTTCTCGGTACAATCTTCGCTGACTTTCTCGGTACGGTTTCATGGACCATGCTCATTTGCCAAAAGATTTAAAAAAAGTAATTCAAAATAAACGGCGCCAGAAAAGGTATTCTGCGCCAGGAAAAGTCTTCTTTACCAATTACCAGCAGTCCTGATCTAACCTTTGCCTCGCTTCCCAGCGGCAGATAGCTACCTTTGCCTCACTTCCCCAAAACCCATGGCTTCAATCGTCCTCTCCCCCATCGTAACCCAAATCGTTTTCCGACTTAGCTCTCCACCATATCTCACTCTTCTTCACACTCCAGACCGAGCTCCAAAACCTCAAAGTCACAGTCTCTGCCATCCATGCCGTCCTCCTCGACGCGGAAGAGCAGCAGTTCCACAATCGCCAGGTTAAAGACTGGCTCGAGAAGCTGTCCGAGGTGATGTACGATGTCGACGATCTGCTCGACGATTTCGCCACCGAGGCAGCGCTCAAGAAGCTGGCAGCAGCAGCAGAAGAAGAAGATTATGTCGAGAGAAGAAAGTCGACTTGCTGGAGTACTACGGTATGTTCTTCTTCAAAACAATTGATGTATGGTTATCGGATGGCTCGCGAAATCAGGGCCATTAGGGAGAAGCTGGAGCTTCTGTCTAAGGATAAGGACAATTTCCATTTGGAAGTTCGCGTTGACGACGACCTAGCCAGTCTTCCGTTCAGGGAGACGGATTCTTGTCCGCCGACGATCGTTATTGGGAGGAAAGATGACCATAGTAAAATTGTTGAATTGTTGCTTGATTTTGAGAGTGGGGACAATATCTCCGTTGTTCCAATTGTTGGGATTGGTGGGTTGGGGAAGACTACTCTTGCTCAGCTTGCTTTTGACGATGAACGAATGATTGAGAGCTTTGAAATCAAAGTCTGGGTGTATGTTTCGCAGAATTTCGATATCAAAGCAATTCTGGCAAAGATGTTGGAATCGATAAATCGCAAGAGCCAGCCTGCGGATCTTGCATTGGATGTTTTGAAAGTTCTGTTCCAGGACAAGATTTGAGGGAAGAGGTTCTTGTTCGTGTTGGACGATGTTTGGGAGGAGAATGAAGGAAGTTGGGAGGCTTTGGGGAAGTATCTGACTGTTGGTGCACCCGGTAGTAAAGTTCTGGTGACAACACGGTCTAGGCTAGTTGCAGAAGTCAGCAGCAAGATTTTGAAGCCTGCAACGAGTACTAGTTTGGTGGCGTTGCCTTATTTCTTGGAAGGCTTGGAGCTTGATGAGGCTTGGAACTTAATGGTGAAGAAGGCTGGAGTAGTCCCACAAAGCTCTAACGTAGAGAGCATCGCGAGAGAGATATTAGGGAAATGTTGCGGGGTTCCCCTTGCTGTAAACATGGTAGCTGGTTTGTTAAGTTCCACAGATCCTGAAACAGAGTGGCCCTTGTTTCTGCAGAAGGAACTTTGGACCATATCTGAAGGAGAAAATCCTATCATGTCAGCTCTCAGGCTAAGTTTCAATCATCTTCCTGCACACTTAAAACGTTGTTTTGCTTACTGTAAGTTGTTCCCGAAGGGTCATGTATTCGATGTTCAAAGGCTGGTGCAGTTTTGGAGAGCCCAAGGTTACATTGAATCGGCAGATCGAGGCTTGGAATTGAATATGGGTTTGCGGTATTTCAAGACGTTATGGTGGAGATCATTCTTTCAAGAGGTGGAGATGGATGCGCTGGGGAATCTGCAGATATGCAGAATGCATGATTTAATGCACGAATTAGCTGCCTCAGTAACAGGAACAAAGATCTTCAAGAGGCCAAAATCAGCCATCCTAGAACATACTTCTTTGGGAACTCGTCACTTGGCAGTGGTTAGGCATTACGGCGATGTAGTTGGAGAAGTTCATAATGCGTGTGACGGGACCGGAGATGCAAGCAAGGTGCGAACATTGATAAGTGACGATGTATCTTTCGTACGAGAAGAATTCGAACGTGTCCTCAACAGCTTCATACGCTTGCGAGTGTTGATATTGTATGTAAGACGATTAGATTCAGGCTCCTCTTCCAAACTGCTGGACTCCGTTAGTGGTTTGAAGCATTTGAGATTTCTTCGTCTCAATTTCGATGGAATGGCAAAGCTCCCGGACTCGATCACCAACCTTGTGAATCTGCAAGTGCTGGACCTCAGTTGGTGTCGCCTTCTAAGAGAACTACCGAGGGACATAAAAAAGATGGTTAATTTGATGCATCTGTACCTCTATCCCTTGGGGGTGAAATTGACCCACATGCCAAAAGGGATCGGGGAATTAAATTCCCTTCAAACTTTACCAGTTTTTGTGGTCAGCAAGAAGAAGAAGAGCAGAGGAAATGATAACAAGATGGAGGAAGAAGTTGGGGGATTGGACGAGCTGAAAGCGTTGAATGCATTGCGTGGAGAGTTAACCATTAAAAACTTGGTGAAGGCTGAATCAGTTGGTTATGGTGTTCATGTCTTGAAGGAGAAACCATTTCTTCAGTCCTTGGTTTTAGACTGGGAGTACAACAATAGTGACGAAGACAACGATGGTGATTATGCTTCTACTATTGATGAAGAGATACTTGAAGCTCTTTGCCCACATTCAAATCTGAAGAAACTGATGATACTCAATTATGGAGGTGCAAAGCTCGCCAACTGGCTGTCCACCATCACCAATCTTGTGGAGCTTTCACTGGAAGATTGCAGGGAATGCGAGTACCTCCCACCGTTGCATCAACTCCCATCTTTGAGGGAGCTCGTGATCGACGCTTGCCCCAATCTAAAAGGACTGTGGATTGACAATGGGAATGACGTGATGGTGGAAGAAGATTGGCCGTCTTTCCCTTGCCTTCGCCGGTTGGAGGTAGTGGATTGTCCGAACCTGACTCGGATGCCTCTGTTTCCAACTGTAGAAACTAGGTTGGAGCTGCGTAAAACCGGGTCGCAGTCACTTCTACGTACAATGAACATGAAAACAACAACAATGGCAAGCTCTCCTCCTTTGTCCAAGTTGACATCATTGCAGCTTGTGGAGATGGATGACCTCGAGACTCTCCCGGAAGAAGGGCTCAGCAACTTGACGTCTCTTCAAGTGTTGGAGATCGTCAAATGTTCGAGATTAGCATCCTTGAGTGCAGTGAGGAACCTACATTCTTTGCAAAAACTAGATATTCTGGAGTGTCCTCAATTGAATGACAGATGCAGAAAGGGGAAAGGGGAAGATTGGCCCAACATTTCCCACATACCAGAGATAATGCTGGACGGAAGAGCATTTAAATGGGGTTTGGAATGAGAGATTGCAGAAGCAGAGTATGGTGTTAATTCTCCATCTTCTTCCACATTTCTATGTTTGTACAATGCATGTCCTCTGTAAAGAAGAAAAGAATGCCATTATACGGATATATGTCTATTGTATGTCCCGGATTCTCAGTGTATACAAAATGCCACAATGTTTGTAAATTTGGTATGTTCCCTAAATGTTTTTTCATTCCCAACTATTAATGAGTGATTATAAATTGTTTGCAGCCTGCAGTGCTGCACTAGATCTTGCACTTTGCTAAGAACCTTTCCAATTTTTGTTCTGTTATTCAACTAGTTAATCTTTTCCTCCCTACCATTCATTACTTCCCCCACTTCTTGATTTCTCATTGCTTTGAAGTAGGCTGAAACCTTTATGGTCCCTCTGGCAAAACAGATTCGTGGAACGTTGGGCAGATGGACATTGGAGCAGATTGGGCGGAGTCCTATGCAGCTAAGAAACGAGCATGGTGTTCGGATCACACTCAAGGCCCGGTTTCCACTGTAGTGATGGTGCGGTGTTGGGATGCAATAAGCAAGATGAGAGTTTCACATTGCACCGAATCAATCATCGGTAAGCATTCATGCTCTCATTGCATCTGGGTTTTTGCTACAATTGGATAACATGCTCATCTGCTGATTCAGTGAAAGCAGGGTTCGTAGTCTGAAACTGGCAATGCTGATGAAGAGGGTAGACTATTCCCGCGGTGCCCTAGAATAGCCTTCTTCGTGTCTCCCCGAAGAAACAACTTTCCTATGTTCTTAATATTATCCATTACAGTATTTACACATGATCATAGACCAAATAGCTAGTTGTGGGTCATAACATGCTCATGCACGGTACTCCTTGATGTAGATCATCATTCACTGGATCAAAGATCAGCAACCGCATTGATTTATGGTACTGATGATTTGCTTGATGCTATCTCCACTGATCATGTTTATGACCAGCACCCGTAATGACCCACAACTAGCTAGTAATAATCCAGCACCAGTTTCGACGCACATCTCGACATGACCCAACACATAAATTACCGATCTGCGACTTGTGACGATTCGAGCCAAACAGGTTCCCAGAATGGTATGCTAAACAAATTGATATTAGACCCGTAGCAAGGAGCTGGCGTTCTCTTGGAACTGCATCGACAAGCCAAAGTGAGCCATCATGAGCCACACATAAGTGATGAGCTCCCCTCCTTTGCTCACTTGTTGGGCGTGTGCCGTCTTCTCGCAGTTGATGGCAGCATAACACAGCAACTCCACCCACACTTCAGCTATTACCTTCCACTTCCTCTCCCCCTCCAGCTTCTCCAGCTCCTTAGCAAGCATGCTTGCCGAGAACAGCACGGTCATACTGGTTCGCCCCTTCACCGTAGTGGGCTGGACCTCTGTCTTCACGTCCATGATCCTCTTACAGCCATTCCTCACCTCGTTTCTCCCGATGCCCCGCCTCTCGAAGAATCTTCTGGCCTCTGCACAAGTATCCTCGAACCTTATCTTGCCTATACCTGATTATTCAAAAACAAGAAGAGCTAAAATGTGAAACCTAAAACAGAACATTGGTTGAGTAACAGGAGAATCGAAACTGGTTAGCCACCCAACTTTGTACCTGAAACAGTTGCCATCATCGTAGGCTGCATTATGAGGAGGTACATCATGTAATCCGAGAGTGTTTTGCTTAAGTCTTCATTTCTCCTTCCGCTACATTCCTCGGGCAATTTCTTCGTGTTGTGCAAGAGCTCGGTAGCAATATGCCACAGCAACAGGCTCTCGTCGTAAGTAACATCCACAATGTAAGGCATCAGATCGACGCGGCCCTTGTCCAATCCATTCCTCTCCAGAACGACTTCGCCTCTTGCCAAACATCTCTTCCTCACACTCTCTGCATCGTCGATGAACTCTGATTTTGATTTCAGCTCGTGGAAAATAAACTCCCAGAGCTCCAAGGTGAGCGGCTTGGTGGACTTGAACCTCCACTCATCTAAGAAGCTTTGGAGGCCGAAACCAATTTTACATGGCTTGCTAATGCAATATCTCAACAGGTTAAATCCCAGTACAGAACGACACCACCTCCTGTAAAGAATAGGCCTTGCTAGATCTGTTTGCTCGTCGGTCTCCTGCTTCTTCTGCTTTTTGTACAGAATGTCAGACTTATGAAGAAGCCTCACATGAGCAGCCAATACCCAATCGTGAAACTGATTCAGGACATGATGTTTCCACCATGACTTGGACTTTTGCTGCTGCATCGAAGCTACCACGGTCCAGTCTGAGAGACTCGACATGATGAATGCCAACAAGTCCAGCGCTATTGCCCCGAACAACAATGCGTACGTGACGTCAACGTCAATGTCGCTGAAGCCATCTCTGCTCTTGAACTTTCTTCCCTGGAAATGAAAGACCGAGAGTGCCAGCAGGACTGCCGAGATGGCGACGAGGCGGGCGTTTCTGCCCAAACTCGAATGCACAACCGAAACCTTAGTGTAGAGAACTTCGTATGCGAAATTGAGCTCGACCTCCAACACTCGCAGTGCATTTTCTGCAGATGCCTTGTGGAAGAAGAACCCACGGCTGAACTCCCGGATTTCAAATCCCAGAATCAAATCAGCAAGAAGTCCCTTGAGGGTTTTGAAGTTGCCATAACCTTTTTTTACCAACTCCAAGTCTCCCAGTGTCTCCCCTTCCCTTGTCCCCGGCTGATCAAGCAACGTTTGCTGCTGATCTGGCAACTGTGACGACTCTGATCGCCACTGTGCATATTTGGCAGCCTTATCATAGTCCAACCCTGGGTCTGGCTCTCTGATCATATCATTTCTGAACTTACTCTTGCTGGCGAGATACAAAGAACAAGTCCTCTCCAAGTATTTGATGACCCCAGCAATAAACATGAGCAACGTGGGGATCTTTAGCTTGTTGTTGGAAAAGGAGAGATAGAAAAAGTAGACAGTGGAAAAAATCTGAAGGGAGAAACTGAGCAAGTGTCTGACCCATAGCTGGTTGTCCTCGAGAGCAAATGCCGTGATTGTGTCGGGGCCGCCAAGGTGCACCAGAAGGAAAGGTGTCCAGAATGAGAGGAAATCAGTGTCGGGGCTCTCAGCAGAAGAAGGATCCTCCTGATTGGTGATGTGGGTCTTGGAGATGAGCCCAATGGCGAATGTTGCGACCATATCAGCCACCAAGTAAGCTAACCAAATCGGCGAGACTAGCCACTTGGTTGATGTACGTCTCCTGAAAGGAGAGAGAACAATGAGGGTGACCTGCAGTAAGAGGCTGAGGAGAACAGCTCCCCTGATGTTCCATTCTGTCCAAATTGTCTTGATGGAACCCAACATCTCTTCTTTGGCCCTCTCAATTGTAGAGTTTCCTTCCTCAAGCGAAGAACTGGATTAGTCCACTTTAATCAACTCTGTTGTTGCACAAGGGCTTTGTGTTTTGGCAGCAGTTTGTCAAGTCAACTGCTGAATCGAGTCTTTCTTTATATTTTCTCCTTCCACTAGACAAAAAAGAAGAAACATCCCAAATTAAAATAGTCAAACATAGAGATTTAGGTGGGAACGAGTAATATAAAAAAGACAAGTTGAGTAGGAGGGTTCCAATGCCCAGAACATATCATATTTGGTAATTGATTATCTCCCCTGCATCACATGATAATGTAATTTAATTATTTGGCAAAATGTATATGCGCTTACAGGCTGGTGTTGACATTTGCAGAAGATGCGAACCAAGTAATTCTATTATGTGAACACTGTTCAGCAACTTCTCTGTCTGGTGCTCTTTCATGCCATTTGTTCTCTGAGATATCTGCAGTCACTTTGTTTAACATTTGGCAAGTCGACATGGGTTTTGTTCCGACTAGTACTCAGTCTTTGGCTTCTCTGGACTGCAGCATCAGCAATCAAAGCACAATTTGCTTAATAAAGAATTTAAAACCAATGTTTTAGAAAGAGTACCAGATCAGCCCGAGGGACCAGAATTATCGAAAACCAGAGCTCAAACCGAAGGCAGTTTTAGCGGTATAAAATTGTTAAACCCCGGTAAAACCATGATTTAAGCACAAAAATGACCTGCCACTTCCGGTGCAACATCCAATACGGTTTGACAATCCTTGAATAAAACACAAGATGAAACGTTTAAATAAATTTCATATTGAAAATATCTTGGGAGTAAAAAATTGAAATGGAAAATTGAAAGAGAGACAGAAACCAAACACAAAATGGTGCTCTTTCCGATGTTTGACGAGGAACATGGACCTAGGTAATTCTCACTGTTATTTCCAGTGGAGATTGTTCCTACAATTGTTTGCTTGAAGAAGCGATTCTGTCCCTTCTCTCCAATGGTCTCAGTGACACATCAAAGCAATCCATCTTCTTCTCCTACAACAGCTGCACAGTCCAACACACGGGCAAGGATTTAGACGAATCACTTCATCAAGCAGTTGGAATGCATCAGTGTACATGCATCACGCCAGCTAGTTGCGTTGTTTAATCTGCAACCTCTGCAGTGAAGTAAGGTAATGCAGCTCCTGAGGACGACACTCCAAACTCGGACAGTTAACAATTTTGAGCTTTTTCAGAGTTGCGAGTGTCTGCAGCCATTCTGAGGGTAGGTATTCAAGATCCTCAATCGTCACACTGCTTATCCTGGAGAGAGGATGGACCAAAGAGAAGTTTGCTATAAGTGCAGCAGATTCTTCATCACACAGCTGATAAATTCCACCCAACTGAATAGTTTTCTTGTCAATTTTGATATTCGAGATGTGAGATACGTTAGACCAGTCTGCAGCCTTGTTTCCAGCACATCTCTGCTTCAGTTGCGGACATCTGCGAATATCCAACTCTCTCAGATTGGTCAGGCGACTCATCCCTGGAGGCAGAAATGCTAGACTCGTCCAGCAGTCGATTCGTAATTCTTGGAGAGAAATCAATTCCTGCAGCCAATCTTCTGGAAGGATTTGCTGCTCCTCAATTGATGAAATCCAGATACTTTTTAGTTTGGAGAGCGGGTGAGGCAATGGAGTTGAAGATGAAGAAGGCCTAGCTATGGCAGCCTCCTGAATCTGCATAGTCTGACGCAGTGGAACTAAGCTAGCATTCTCCAAAAGAAGCTTCTCATCCAAACTGGGAAACAGGGGCATCTGATCCAGTTTAGGACAATCGCGAATTTCCAAGGTAGATAGACCATGGAACTGAGATGATATGATTGCACCATCTTCAATACCTTCCTTCCACCATCCCCTCAGTTTAGGACACTTGAAGATATATAGTTTCTTCAGGGATTGAAACAAGGAACTACTATGTCCCTCAACCCTGGAGCAGTTGTTGTCCATGAACTCCAACTGAGATAGACTCTCAAGCCGACAGAATTTGAGAAGTGGGAAATCCTCCAACGCTGGCAGAGATCGAAAATTTTGGCAATCTCGCACCTGAAGGCTGATGAGATTCTTGAGAGAAGAAATCCAAGCAGGAAATTCATGGCCTCCATACTCACACAACTGCAACTCTGTTAGTTGTGGGGGCGGCTCCAGACATTTTAGAGACCAGTGATGTTGGTCATCCACATCGAATATACTTGCTTTCTCATCCAAATTTGGATCCCAGCATAAGCTCAATGATTGGAGACCCTTCTTTCCTCTGAAAAAACTGGTTGATTCCAACTCCGACCGATTAGCATTTTTCATATATGCTCCCAGATTTCTAATCTCGAGTCGTCCCTTCAATTGATTCAAGCGTCCCAGCTCATTTAACCCAGCTGCCGTGTGATTCATGACCAGCTTACTCAACTCAGCTGCTCTAGGATCAACGCGACCCAGCTTAGTCAACCCAACTGTTAGGAAATGAGAGGCAGAGAGGTCTTTGGGGAGGACAAACCAGGTCAAGGTTATAAGGGAAGTTAGTTCCCCGATGCTACGAGGCATATGGGTCATATTCCAACACCCTTCACAATAGAGATGTCTAAGATTAACCAGCCTCCCAATACTGATTGGTAACTGCTTCAGCCGTTCACATCCAGAGATCTTCAAGACTTGCAAATTCCACAGGTCGGTGATTGAATCTGGGAGTAGCTTTATGTCATCATTTTCAGAAAGATCAAGATATCTTAGACTTTTCATATTTCTGATGGATGCTGGCACTTGCTCAATTCCCGAGTTGTGCACATCAAGTGCTCGTAAGCGCTCCAAGCTAGAGCAGAAATCCTTTAGTATGGATCTCCCCCGTCTGATTCTGTTGCTTGACCGCAACTCCTGGTTGGCTAGAAAGACCGTCCGCAATGATTTAGCACGGATGACACCGGCTGGGAGTTCAATCGAAGCATCCAAGTGACAGGAAAAAGTCAGATGGCGAACTTCCTTGCTGATTTGTTCATTTTGGTCTTCATTTCTTCTCACCGTGCTGTATTTTGTCCCAGCTACCGTGTTGGCAAGACTGTGCATCAAATTGTTGATCTGGAAAGTTCTGACTTTGCCAAAGTCATCTTTTTCCCCTTCTTCAACAAAAAACCTCCGTAGAAGCTCAAGGAAGTGACCATAGGCAACATCTTCAATGCTGTCTTGCTGCACCTGAGGACACTTAACTAATCCTTGAGCAATCCAGAGATGAATCAAGGTCTGCACCTCAATCTCAGAATCTTTGGGAAACAAACTGCAGTACTCAAAACATAACTTCAAATATGAGGGAAGTTGTTGATAGATCAACCTGAGTGCTGAATACATGTCATCATCAGTCTGATGACCTTCTCCCAAGATCTTGTCATCCGCAGTAGACGGCCATTCAGTTTTCGGATCCTTACCAGCCAATGACCCACCTATTGTTTTTATCAAAAGAGGATTGCCATGGCATTTCTCTACAATCCCCCAACCAAGTTCTCTAACTCTAGCATCTCCTTGTTCTTCTCCATCAAACACTACTTGACTGAACAAATTCCAGCTTGCCTCGGGAGATAAGCCTAGGAGTTTATGCATCTTAGACCTAGCAGCAGTTGCTACCTGCTCAGAACGAGCGGTTACTAGTACCTTGCTTCCAGCTCCACCAAGCTTCAACAGGTCTAAAAGAGAACCCCATAGGCCAGAATCCTGGTTATGAACATCGTCAAGAACAAGCAAATACCTCCTCGCCCCAATGCTTCGCTGCAGCATATGAACCAGCTCGTTCATCTCCAACATTTCCATTCTCTGGTCAGTTGTGGATTCCACTATCCTTCTGACTATCCATCCGACATGAAAATTATCCGAGAGGCTCACCCACACTCTCAACTCAAAGTGCTGTTTGACGATTTCGTCGTTGAATAAGAGTTGAGCTAGCGCGGTCTTCCCTATCCCTGGCATGCCAACTACGGAGATAACGGATATGCTCTTTCCCGACTCGTAATCCAACAAAACTCCCGTCAGTTTTGCTATTTCGTCTCCCCTGCCAACAACCGCGGTTGATCCGGAGTCCGTCTCCCTCACTGAAGGAAGAAGAGCATACTCATCAGCTGGGGTACGAGCTTCCAGTTCTAACTCCTCCCTGTCTTTGGATATGTCATCCAGCTTCTCCCTAATAGCCTTGATATCACGATTCACCTTACGGGCATAAAGAAATTGTTCTAAAAGGGGAGGGAGAATGGAGGCTACCCAGCTCACACAATTCACCTCCTGTCTGAGACCCTCCTCCTTCGCGGTTGCTGTCCGGCGGCGAGCAGCCTCGGTGGAGTAATCGTCGAACACATCATCGGCATCGTACAGCACCAGCGACAGCCTCTCCAGCCACTGTTTGACACTGTTGTCGTGGACCTGCCTCTGTTCGGCATCGAGGAGGACTTCCTCGATGGTAGAGACGGTTTTCTGGAGTTGCTGGAGCTCAAGTTGGGGAATAGCGGCAACCTCGTCAAAGAGCTTATCCTGCAGCGCGGAAAGCAGCGTTCCCGCAATAGAGCTCACAATGATTTGGGCCATCTCAAAGGGAAAGCAAGGGACGAGTGAGGTCAAAAGGGGAAAGCTTTTTTCTGGTAAGAGAGGGGGGGGGAGCTAATTTAGTTCTTGAGCAAGGTGATTAATAGCAGTTTTCTTCGTCCAATCTATTGAATATTTTTAACAATTTAACAAAATAAAAAATTCAGAACCAATTGATTTGACTAATCGTTGAGTGGCTCATAAAGACATAAAGTACTTGAGCTAGTTAACAAATTTCTAAAGTATCGTATAAACATTTGGTGGACAACCACTATAATATTAGCAAAAAAATTCAGGGTGCATAACATGATACTCAAATTTGAACCCTTTTTTATAAATGGGCGGCAAATGTTACGATTGTGAATTAAAGACATTTTATTTCCGTTAATTTTCTTAATAGGATCATTTTTTCCCCATTCTAACTCGGATTTCAATTTTTTTTACAGATGGAACGAGTTTGTTGTGCTCTACGAAATGAGATATATTTTCAATATTTTTTGAGAAAAAAAATTCATACATCTTGTTACCAACTCCATATCATATGGTATCTCCTTCGTTTTCAAGTCGTTTTCGGAATTTTTTGCACAAAATGAACGATTTAATCATGATTTATTGGATCCAAAAACTGTAGGGTGAAAATTTTTCATAAAATATATAAAACTGGATATCATTTTGAATAGCACAATTAATCTGATCTAAGTGTGCAAAAAAAAAATTAAATATCGACTTAAAACAAGTGTGAAATCATCCGTTAAAGACAAAGAGGGAAATTTAAAACTTTACAGGAAAGAGAATGGGTGCTAATGTGGCAAATTCTGATTAGATTATGCATGGTTATTGATCACAAAGTTATGTACAGGATCCGTTCCCGAAAAAAGAGTGCGACCAATGAAGAACATCAACAGAGTGGTCCATGCCAAAGACAGCTAGGGACACTCCGATATAAAATTTCTGGGTCCGTCACTGATTATATATACGCCCATTGTAATAACTATTTATCCTGCATGGTACGTATATTTCCATACCACCACCATATAATCTTATATACTATCAAATATTACGGATACCACCATGCTATATAACTATATACTAATAATATATATCTCAATTATTCTGGGGGAAAAATAATTGGTAAAATACACTTGTATATACAAAACTTTCGCGCTTGTGCCAATAATAGCCAAATTTGGAGAAATATCACTTATAGCCAGCTTAAAACTTATTGTAGGACAAATATAGTCATTTCCGTCATATACTTTAACGGTGTCATTAACACCGTCTACTTATTTGACGGATCGATGACTAGACGCCAACTCAGCGAACATGTCATAACCAAATAAGCAAACAATGACACGTCATATTTTTTAATAATTTAATAATTACATATCATAAATTAAATAAAAACTATATAACTTCTCCCGGTGGATGGTGGAAGGAAGGTATTGAAGATGGTGCAATCATTAAAAAACAAAGAACCAAAGAGATGCGGACTCTCTTCCACCATTAAAAAATCCTCCCTCTTCTCAGAGAATCGAAGAAAAAAGAACTCCGCAGCAGCCACCATGTTCACCTGTGTCAACCCAATAAACCGATTTTACTTCCACTCCTTGTACACCCTCCTATTTCTCGCTCTGTCTTGCTCCGCGGCGAACCAAATCACCAGAGGCTAGTTGCTGAGGGACGACGACACTCTAATCTCCGTCGACGACAAGTTTGAATTGGGTTTTTCCAGCCCGGAGATTTCCACCTTCCGGTACCCGGGAATCTGGTACCACGACGCCAAGGATGCGGATTTGTTAATCTAGGTCGCGAACCGGTACGCAGATCTAGTCCAGCAACGCGACGGCGAGGGTTGAGTCGAACGGATCTGGCCCAACATGCGGACGCTGACGAATTTCCAGTACGGGTTCAAGTTGACACGAGAAGACGACGAGCGATTGTACTTCACGACTCACGTACAACCCGGCCAACGCCTCCGCTCTCTTGCGGTTCCGAATCGGGTGGGACGGGATCGAGGAGCTACTTTGATGGAACGAGAGTCGGAGAATCTGGGACGTGCTGCAGAGGCAGCTGGAGAACGAGTGCGAGAATTACAATCGGCCAATGGTGATATTGCAGCAGGTAGCGGGTGGGAGCTTTAGATCTGCAATTGGGGGATTGGGTTTTGCATTGGGGGATTAGGTCTAGATGGAATTGGGATGAGGGAAAGGAAGGTCGAAGGTGGTCAAGCTTCACCGGCGGTAGAGGAAGATCGGAGCAGATGTGATGGAGGGAGAACCAAATCTGAGAGGACGAAGTAGCTATAGAGACGGACGGAGGCGGTGGGAAAGTTGTGGAGCGGGGTGGTTCGTATCCATTTTAATTTGTTTTAAATTTTTTCCCTTGTTTTTCAGTTAATTATAAAATAAGGACATTTCCAACTTAGCAATGTCAAGCATAAAAGGTGTCACGACACGTTAGTCTAGTCAGCAAAGCCATTAGTCCAGTCAGCATGTAAGCTCACATCGTTAAAGAATTGGACGGAAGTGGCTATAAGTGGTATTTCTCCAAATTTGGCTATTATTGGCACAAGCGTGAAAGTTTTGGCTATAAAAGTATATTTTGCCAAAATAATTCAAAGCGGGTATAATTTTAAGGAAGACAACTATTATGATTTAGGGATCGTTTGGAGAATTAGAGTCTAAATTCATAGATTCTAAACAATCCGAAGATTCTAACTCTATGGATTGTTGAAAAAAGATTTTAAAATTTTCATTGTTTGGTAATTGAGATTTGGAACATTTAGTGGAAAATAAGAATTCTAATTTTGCACAAAATTACATATTGATCCTTAACCAACAAACGGGAAAAAAAATATTCACAATTGTTTTTTTTCTCAATACGTTTATCCTAGCCAACTATTGTCTTTTCAAATGAAACATGTGCCTAATTACCCTAACATCCAATAACAAAAAATGACATAATAAAAAAAATTGCAGCAAGGGGGAGACCAATGTTGCAAGCTTCATAAAATGGGAAATACTATTTCTCAACAAGCTGTAGTCATTTTGTCTGCAGATTACAAAAATAAAAAAAGGAAACTAGTGGTTCATCCCACTCATAGCAACATAGTCAACTGAAACATCACACCCGAGTCATAGTATAGACCACAATTCAATCAGTGAGTTCAAGGAGAAAGGTCAATTGATCATCTTCTGTTGGGAGCTGATAATAAAGATGAGTAAGTGCAACATCCTTCACCAGTGTCGGCCATGGCAATTTTTATAGCTTGCTTTCTTGTAGTTTCGCGGCAGAATAGGCAGCAACGAGTGTATGGGTTTTGCAGGAAGGAAGTTGAACGGTGCTGCTTCTGTTTACCGCTGTTTTGAGGAGTGGAGGGAAGTCCAAAAGAAGAAGATATATATAGAAGATGTAACCGATGGAAAAAAAAAAGAGATATATTTAGGAAAGAATTATCTCTCAAATCAAGATACAAAATCTCTCTAATTATGAGAGATTTGATATCTCTGAATTTCAGAGATTTTAAATCATTAAAGTTAGAATTCACGAGAAAAAAATTACCAAAAAAACATGAGTTTTTAATAAATCTATGGATACTATAAATCCATGGCTCAAATCCTTTTCTCCAAACGACACCTTAATGTTTAGTTAATGGTCATTACATTAACAACCCCGTACGTGATTGGTCGACAAGGTATCATGCATCAATGGATCCATCGTCATCAACCAATAATAATTAATTAACTCACCTACAAATGAAAGAAATCACTAACCACATGTCCGTAGAAATCAAGATTCTTAAAAAGGATCGATTCCACTTCTCTGGCAGAGATATAAAATCTTATTCAGTCAAGCAATTGTGATGAGGCCAGAGTTAAGCTCTCGTTGATCAGAGTTAGTGGATTAAGAACTTGCTCTATCAAGAAGACTCGAACGATAAGAATTTTGGTGTGAATTGGGGTGGAAATCTCGTGCAACCCTCACGCGGGAAGGAGGCTCGAAGATTATAGTCGAGGCTTGGTCACGATTAGAATGGAAACTGATCGATACAAGCAATCTAAACAACCTAGATATCGCTCTAGGATGTTCTCAAACTCAAGCTCGAAAACCGGCTAGGGTTTGTACTTTTAATTGCAACTCAAAAACTGCATTTTACAACGAAAGAGCAAGCTTAAATAGACCTAGTTTAGAGAACACGATTCCTAACTACATTCGAACAAGGAAAGAATCCAAAACAAATAAACCAAACGTAAACAAACCAAACAATGGCCTAATCCTAATTCGAGCCGGATTCGGATTCAAAGTTCTTCCCAAGGCAGCAAACTAGTCTTCGAACGATCTTTGGGAGGGTTCTTCGAAGACGTCCACACTTCCTTCTCTTCATCCAATTCCACAACGTTGTAGAAGGAAATGCGAGCTTTCATGTGATGCATTCCTCTTGCTTCGACTCTTCACCAAGCCCTTCGAGTTGAAGCTCAAAGAACCCTCCTCGAACACGACTCCATACTAAGCCAAATCTGGCAATTTTCCCAGTGTTGGACTAGCATCTTGAGTGACCTGAAACACCAGCTTCTGAACTTTCCCTCGAGCTCCAAAGTACGCCAATCGAAAGAGTAACTCTTCTTCTTCAAGGCAAGCCCAAGAACTCGAATTTCCATCAAACCAACAACGAGCTAGTCTCGTCCAAAGTGAGTACCTGAAATTGTCCAAAACACTTGGGCAGATTTTACGTTTTAACTTTGAATCTTTAACGATCAATCCTGAATGACTTAGGAATGAATTCGGGATTGTATCAAATTGTAAAGAATATAGGGCATTTTTTGCGCTTATGATACAATTAATTGTTTATAATTTGAATTCTTATATCTTATGGAGATTACATAATATAGTAACCGACAGTAGTAATCAAGAAATATTCTTACTTTCCAACTTTAACATACCGTTTGGTATAAATGAATTCCATAAGTTTTGAAGAATTTATTTTGAAATGAAATATTTTTGTATTTGGTATTTAAAATAATTCATTTTCAGTTCTAAATTTTGAATTCTATGGAATTGGAACTAGTTATAGCAATTCCGAGGATTTGAGATGGAATTTCCAAATGAATTCCACAAGTATTTACTAATTATAATAGAATGACATAATTATCTTCTCTATCAACTTAATTAATTATATATATGACATACCAAACACAAGAATTCATTTGACAATTAATTCTACATGACATTTCATTTTATTTCTAAAAATTTGAATATGACTTACCAAACACCAGATTTCATTTAACAATGAATGGGTTAATTGTAAGGGTGGTCACTGAGATTATTAAAAATGTTCATGTTTGGTCACTACAAATATTTAATTCCATTCGCGGTCACTAAAATTAGTTAAACACTTCAAGTTTGGTCACTCTCCGTCCAACTCCGTTAACTTTGTCTGATGTGGCAGTCAACCTCTCATAGTTGACCGTCAAATGTGTGACGTGGCAATTTAAAAATAATAAAAAATAAAATTTATTATATTAAAATTTCCACCTCAGTTTTATAACTTTTTAAAAATAATATTTAATTTCTTATAACTCCCTAAACACCCAAACCCTAGCCACCTCAATCGCTCTCCAAATCCCTTCCTCAGGCCATGAGACTGTCCCATCCACCACTGGCGGCGCATCATCAATTCCACCACCAGCAATTGAATTACAAACATCAACAGCCTTAGTACTACTTGCGGTCACCGTGGGCGACGGCGACGACGACGACGCAATATCTAATTGCTGCTTCGTCCGCCATGGGAGCTCGATACGCTGCAGATCTAGCCGCACTTGAACAGTGACTTGCTGAGCCCGACTGTGGCCATCCCGTACCCATCCCAACCCAGGTTGCCGTAGCCACAAGCCCCGCTGACCGTGTCCAACGCAACGGATGCGCTAACTTGTTGCTTGCTAATCATGGCATCGAATCGATGACCACAGCTGCTGGTTGTTGCAGCCAGCAGGCGGAATCGGATTTGCGCCGTTTCAAATTCTATAACCTCGAGGTCGACGAAAGTTGAGATAAGTGCTCCTCGTCCACTCGAGGGCGTCGGCGGACAACGATTGTCCTTTCCGCGTACGACACAGAAGAAGTCAAAGAAGCGGCTGTAAGATACAGGGCAAGATTTTTCAAATGGCGATTCGCAGAAGATGAGATGGTGAAGAATATGGGGATGGGCAAGTCGCGATGCATCCATTGTGGACGATTGATTGCTTAGGGGACCGGTTTCTTTTTTATCGTGCTCCCACACTTTGTTTAGGGATTAATTGTAAGAAATTAAGTTTTATTTTTTTTCTAATTGTTGCAGAAATGAGGTGTAAATTTTAAAAGGTTCAATATAATTTTTTATTATTTTTTGATTGCCACATCACAATTTAACGGTCAACTATGAAAGTTGACTGCCACGTCAAATAAAGTTAACGGAGTTGGACGGAGAGTGACCAAACTTGAAGTGTTTAACTAATTTTAGTGACCGCGAACGAAATTAAGTATTTGTAGTGACCAAACATGAACCTTTTTAATAATCTCAGTGACCAACCTTGTAATTAACCCAACAATGAATTCTACTCGGTAATTCATATTATAATGAAATGAATTCTCGATTCATTTAGTACCAAACTGTCTCTAAAAGTCTACGCAAGAGTGTGTTCTACTATTAGAAATTATGACAGAAGGTGATCTCTCTATAAACGATTTTCGAAATGCAACAAAGAGATTTTCAAGCTTATAGCGACAGAGGATACAGGGAAAGAGCATCATATTCTATTTGACAATATGCAAGCTGAATGGCTTCTAAGTGTTCGAGAGACCGCTGAAAGGAGAAACTGGACTTTCCCTCCCAGTTATGTCATGAGAAGCAAGTACAGAGTTATTCATGTGGGCAAGGCTTGGAACAGAAGAGGGTTTTTCTTAAAGGTGGCAGAATCGATCTATGCGGACCGATCTTTTTATGTGATTATTCCCTCTGATTCTGATGTTGGAGACTGGAGATCGCTGATTAAGCTCCTTCGACAATTGTTGCACTCTCGTCCTGATTGTAACGCCAGCCCTCATCTTGTTGTTGATGAGCCTAGGAGAGTCTCTAGCAGGCTCTCGTTTGCATATGCTGTTAGGGGCGATGCGTTTCGAACTGATGGTGAGGCCAAGATCTGTCTTGAAGGACAATCTAAATATATCAATGTCGGTTCGAGTGGTGTTAACGAGAGATCCAGCTTCCTCAAAAAGTGTCTATCCATTTCCTTCTCCAACCCGTCTAAAGAAGCTTTTCATCACGACCAAGTGAAGGCGTTTAGATCTTGGGCATCAAGGAAATGGGCTGTTGCAGAGAATTTTGATATGGTCTGTTGTGAGACTAATAAGTGGTCCATGGTTTGTGCGAGCAGAGAGGAAGCTATTCGGATTAAGAATTTGGGATCTACTCATTTCCAGAATTTTAGGGTCCTTCCTCAACTGTTGCAGACCATGTACGTTCATGTGAGGAACGTAGGTTGCATGGTCGAAATGGTGCTTGGAGTGAAGAGTTTACCGTTTGAGTTTTGGGTAGCTAATTGTAATCAGCCCATAAATAAATCCGAACCCTAGATGATTGTGTGAAGGGCTCGGCTAGGCATAAGAGGCAAGCGTTGCAGCCGCTACCTCTATGTGCACAAATAATAAAATTGACTCGAGAGTCCTAGCTCTCCGTGGAGTAGTCTCGTTCACATCGAACGGGGAAACCACGTAAATAGTGTTGTTTGCGCTTTGGTTTGTTAGATTTTTACATGGTATCATAGCTATAAGATCTCAGCTGTGGTTTTTCTTCGTTTTGGCATTCTTGCCGTCGCATTATGACCGGCGACACGAAGGATGGCTCGAGTGGCGGCAGCGGTGGCATTCCCAACAAGCCTCTTACGTCTGACGTCAACTCCGTCTACTTCCTTCCGCAAGCGGATCCTCAGCATCCGGGTGATCTTCTGACTGCCAACAATTATGGCGAATGGGTCATTGACATGACCGACTCCCTCCTGGCCAAGAACAAGTTGAGCTTCGTCGACGGCACTCTTCCAAAGCCTACGAGCTCGCGTGAATAGGCGGCCTGGCAGCGCTGTGACGCCACCGTCAAGGGGTGGCTCAAGGCTTCGATGTCCGCCGAAGTCCGGTGCAGTATTCGCTTCGCCAAAACTGCCCAACAGATTTGAGATGATCTCAAAATTCGGTTTGGCCAAGGCAATGCGACTCGTCACTATGAATTGCGTCGTCAGATAAGTCTTCTTCCTCAAGAAAAGCTTAGTGTGTCTGCTTACTATACTGAACTGTGTACCTTGTGGGAGGAGGCGCAACAGATTTCGCCCATGCCAAGTTGCACGTGTGGGCATTGTGTTTGTGGTCTCGAAAAACGTACTCGCGACCGTGACGATAGTATTCGTCTCTTTGATTTTTTTGATGGGGTTGGATGATGCCTTCTCCACAGTGAAGTCTCAAGTTTTATCTATGAAACCTACGCCTAGCATTACAGAAGCATATAACATGGTGGCTACTGATGAGCAACAGCGCCGCATTACTTCTGATCGCAAGCCTAAAGTTGAAACAGCGGCTTTCGCGGCCTCGCAAGAGCGTCTTGTGGTGCGAGATGCGGCCGATCGTGGGGAAACTGATGATAAACCACGTTGCCAGCATTGTCGCAAGCCTGGCCACACCAAAGATCGATGTTTCGAGATTTTGGGTACCCGCCTGGATACTTGGACAGGGGCGTGCGTGGGGCTGGTGCCTGTGGTCGTCGTAATGGCGGTCGTGGTCGTGGTGGCCCGCGGGCAGCAGCTAGCGCCGCGGAGGAGACTCCTATTCCAGGATTCACTAAGGCGCAATGGATCAGTTGCGCAGGTTTCTTGGACATGAATCTACCTTTGAAGATGACAATAAGTTCTCAGGTATCTTTTCTAGCTCACACTCCTGGATCCTTGACTCAGGGTGCAACGAGCATATTGCTACAGATGCACGTATGTTTACAGGTGCTATGACAGCACCGCAGCTTCGGGTTAGTATTCCAAATGGGGCGGCAGTACCTATTGAAAGTACTGGTTCAGTTGAACTTAGCAATGGCATGGTGTTTCCAAGGGTTTTGCTCTCTATTAGCAAGCTTACTAAGGAATTTCCCATCGCACTGATCTTCCTGAACGACTTTTGTGTTCTTTAGGACTCACGCTCCAGAAAGACGATTGGGATGGGGATACAGCGTGATGGGTTATATCATATGTGCCTACTGGTTGTGACTAGCGTACCGGCAGCTCACGTCGCGCGGCTGTCGCATGAAGAAGGCGAGCATTTATGGCATACTCGCCTGGGCCATCCTTCCTCGGAGAAGTTGTCTTTACTGCATTTGATATCTGGTTCTAGTCGGTTGGACAAACATCATTGCTCCGCATGTTTGCGAGCTAAACAGACTCGAGTTCCTTTTCCCTTGAGTTCCATTAAGACAACTTCTGTTTTTGAGATGATTCACGTGGATATTTGGGGTGGTTATCCTACTGCTAGTTTGTGCGGAGCACATTATTTCTTGACCATTGTCGATGACTATATTCGAGGTGTTTGGGTTTACCTATTACGTTTTAAGTCGGAAGCTAGTCGGTACTTGCGCTTGTTTTGCCAGCAGGTTGCTCGCCAGTTTGGGCAAACTGTACGTCGTATACAGGCCGATAATGGGATGGAATTTCAGACTCGTGAACTGATGGATTATTACGAGCAAGAAGGAATCATTCTTCGAACTTCTTGTGTTAATACGCCTCAACAAAACGGGGTGGTAGAATGCAAGCATAGACATCTGCTAGAAACAACCCGTGCTCTACGGTTTCATGCTAATCTTCCCATTCGTTTTTGGGGCGAGTGCTTATTAAATGCAGTCTATTTACTCAATCGGCTTCCCACTGCGGCAACCCAGAATGCCACGCATTATGAGCGCGTTTTTGGGCGTGCTCCTCAATATAGCCATCTTCGTACTTTTGGTTGCTTAGCTTATGCTAAGAACACCTATCCCCGCTTGGACAAATTCGGCGAAAGGGGGAGAGCTTGTGTTTTCCTTGGTTATCCGTCATCTCAGAAAGGATATCGGGTAATGGACCTTGCTACACGTAAGGTTTTTACATCTCGAGACGTTGTGTTTTGCGAAGATCAATTCCCTTTTCATTCATGTAGTTCTTCGCCGAATTTGATACCTCAGCGGGTTATGGGAGACGAAGACGAGGAACCATTTTTTGGAGCACCAACTGACATCTCCACGGGCAGTGGTGAGATCGAGCAGACTACCAGCTCGGATTCGGCACAAACCTCGTCCGATCCATCACCCACGACGCCTGAAGGCGAGACGGACGAAGCACCTGCTCTTGGTCGAGGACTTCGTGAGAGGCGTCCTCCCCGCTTTCTTGTCGACAACTATGATGTTCAACTTCCCTCTTCCCATTCAGGTCATGTTTCAGATGTTAAATATCCTTTGCAAGCTGTTGTTAACTATGCACAACTTTCTCCTTATCACCGTGCTTATATTGCAGCTATTTCAAAGGAGACCGAGCCAAAAACATTTTGGGAAGCAGTGTGTCATCAATGCTGGCGTGATGCTATGCAACGCGAGATTGATGCCTTGGTAGCTAACGAAACATGGGAGCTCATGCACCTTCCAGCAGGCATGCGTGTCATAGATGCAAAATGGGTATACAAAATAATGTATAACCCCGACGGAACCATAGAGCGATATAAGGCGCGCCTAGTGGCAAAAGGATATACCCAGGTTGAGGGCATTGATCTTCATGACACCTTTGCACCCATAGCAAAGCTTGTGACCGTCCGTTGCATTTTGGCTCTTGCTGCACGACGAGGCTGGCTACTCCACCAGTTAGACGTGAATAACGCATTCCTCAATGGTGATCTAGAAGAGCTGGTTTATATGTGTGTACCCCAGGGGTTCGGTCAACCAGGAGACAACAGGGTTTGCCGTTTGCCCAAGTCGCTTTATGGACTCAAGCAAGCTTCGAGAAACTGGTACACGAAGTTCACGAAAGCTCTTGTTAGTTTTGGTTTCTCCTGCTCAAAAGCCGATCACTCTCTCTTTACTTGTAAGCGTGGTGGCCGCTTAACGTTTGCCCTCATTTACGTGGATGATATTATTCTTGGCGGAGACTCCTTGGAGGACATTCAGGAGGTGAAGGATTTCTTGCATCACCGCTTCAGCATTAAAGATTTGGACCTCTGAAATACTTTCTTGGAATTGAGGTCTCTCGTTCGCAGAAATGGATTATTCTCACTCAGCGAAAATATGCATTAGACATCTTGGCAGATACGGGAGCTCAAGGAGCTCGACCGTGCTCATTCCCAGTCGAGCAGAATCATCATCTCAGTCTCTTAGAAGGTCCAGCAGCTACTGATCCTTCTGCATATCGCAGGCTTGTGGGTCGACTACTTTACCTTACTGTTACACGACCTGACATCGTGTATGCAGTAAACATTCTCAGCCAAGCAGTTCACAGTCCTCGTCAGGCGCATGTGGATGCGGCGCATAGAGTCCTACGATATCTTAAGGGTGCACCAGGCAAGGGATTGTTTTTCCCGGCACATGGTTCGATGGATTTGATCGGCTATTGTGATGCCGACTGGGGAGGTTGTCAACAAACTCGACGATCTACTACCGGATATTTTATTCAGCTAGGAACAAGTCTGGTCTCTTGGCGAATGAAGAAACAGACAGTGGTTGCACGCTCATCAGCAGAGGCAGAATATCGAGCCATGGCTAGTACGGTCAGTGAAATTATCTGGTTGCGCTGGCTCTTCCAAGAGCTTGGAGTGCATATAAGAACAGCTACACCACTATACTGTGACAATCAGGCAGCATTACATATAGCAGCCACCCCTGTGTTTCACGAGCGAACGAAACTTGTGGAGATGGATTGCCATTCTGTTCGTGAACGAGTGGTTTCGCAGGAGATAGCACCTCGGAAAATAGCTACACAAGATCAAGTGGCGGACATGTTTACAAAAGGATTGGGAGCAGATCGTTTTGGTTTTCTCTCGTCCAAGCTCGGCCTTCATAATATTCATGCCTCCGCTTGAGGGGGAGTGTTGCAGACCATGTACGTTCATGTAAGGAACATAGGTTGCATGGTCGAAATGGTACTTGGAGTGAAGAGTTTACAGTTTGAGTTTTGGGTAGCTAATTGTAATTAGCCCATAAATAAATCCGAACCCTAGATGATTGTGTGAAGGGCTCGGCTAGGTATAAGAGGCAAGCGTTGCAGCCGCTACCTCTGTGTGCACAAATAATAAAATTGACTCGAGATCCCTAGCTCTCCGTGAAGTAGTCTCGTTCACATCAAACGGGGAAACCACGTAAATCGTGTTGTTTGCGCTTTGGTTTGTTAGATTTTTACATAAACTTTGGGGTAATAGCGACGATCCTCGAAGAGAAGAGTTTCCTAAATATCAGTGGATTCTTGTTTATGGTATCCCCTCGGAGCTTTTGAGCTTTGACCTGTGCAGGACAATCGTGAATTTTTGTGGGAGTTTCATTGAAGCTGAAAACTTTGAGTGGCACTCAACATGCGTCAGAATCAAAATCAACGCCCCTTTCCCTTCTCCTCAATCCCCTCCCATGAACCAATCCTCAACCTCTTCTCCTATCTTTCCTGATTCGCCTTTCCCACCTGATTTCCCTTCCTTTGTCGAGCACAATGATCATCTTCCGAATCAATCTTTGACCAGTTGGGAGTGTGAAGATAACCTTAGTTTGCCACCCTTCGACGTTGAGAGTCTGATTTCAAAAAGCCATGAAATTCGTGACCTTTTGGATTTGCAAATCGCGGACAAAGAGAATTCATCCGTTTCAGCGGCTGCCGAAATAAATGTGTTTGCTGCCTCGACTCACTCATCAAAGAAGCGTGTCACGAGATCGAAAAGTGACACGCTTCTTTGATGAGTGAGTCGAGGCAGCAAGCAGAAGATGCAGAAGAACCGAGAAGATGCAGAAGACAAGGTATGGAAGCTAATAACCTCGTCTAATGTCATCATCATCGTTGATTGCTTGGAATGTGCGTGGTCTGGGAAGTAATGAGAAATGTGCAAGTGTGAAGAGGCAGAGGCCTTCTATTGTTGGACTCACTGAAACTAAATGGAATGAGTGCTCTCAGACGTTGATTTCTTCTGTTAGCGGGCAACGTGACTCTGGATGGGTCGCCAAAAATGCTGCTGAAAGTAGGGGTGGTATTGCCATCTACTGGGATAACTATCTTTTCAATTTTGTGACCAGCAGGGAGGGTGAATTCTTCCTAATGGTTGAATTAGAGGATGTGTCGTCTCGGTGTATTTTCTCGGTGGTGATCATCTATGGACCTCAACTCAGGAGGGACAAGGAACGTTTTCTGACCGAACTTGCTAATTTTTGTCAAGAAAGATCGTCTCCGATATTTATTGCTGGTGACTTTAATCTTGTAAGATCCCACGACGACTACAGAGGTGCACCAAGGAGAAGTTCAATAACTTCATATCTGAAGCTGCCCTCATCGATTCGCCTTTAATGAGTGCTCTTTACACGTGGAGCAGTCAAAGGTAGGGGTGTACATGGGTCGGGAGGTTCGGTTTTAGTCATTTTAATTACCCGACCCATGCACTACGGTTTGGAAAATATCAACCCCAAACCCACCCAAAAAAATTTAAACCCTACGGTTTGTTTCTAATTGGGTTGGGTCGGGTTGGCGATATTTTTAAGTAAAAACCCAACCCAACATAAAATATATAATTATTCTACATCATAAAAATATTTTATAACTAATTAAAATTTCAAACGAATGAACCAAGGTGAAAGGTACCAAAATTCACAAATGTTGTTTAAATTTTAATAAAATGTGATTTACTTCAACATATGTCTTGTTTTTTTCACGATATTTGTTGAAATAGGCTAAAAATGTTATAAACAAACGCATCCATCATATGTTATTTTGGTAAAATTGTACACAAGAAAAAGGATTACGTGAATCATAACTATATTCAATTTATGTCTAAACTTTAAGTCGAAGAATGCATTAGATTAGGGAGACCATGAGAGAAAAACATGGCGAAATATCTTAATTTTCTTATAAGTATATGACTATATACGACATAATTATTTTTTAGATCCGAACTCATACTAATAGTTGGAACACGGGTTGGGTCATGTTCTACGGGTTGTGTAATCCAAAATCCAAACCCAACCCAAAAAAGGCGGGTTGTACAAAAGAAATTCATCACCCAACCCAAAACCTTCGTTTTAGCTATAAATACGGGTGGGTTGGGTTGGACGGGTGGGTCGGTTTGTGGGTGTATTTGTTCACCCCCTAGTCAAAGGGATATTCCTTCTTTATCAAGAATTGATAGGTGCCTTATTTGTGATCAATTTGATGCAACTTTTGTAAATTGTAGGTTGAAAGCTTTGGAAAGATTCGAGTCTGATCACAATCCAATCCAGCTTGTTTGGGGCAATGCGGAGAAGATTCAGTGCCCATGGAAGTTTGAAAACATGTGGCTTGAGGTTGATACCTTCTATGACAAAGTTGAAAGCTGGTGGAATGAGCAGTTGAGCGGGGTAGGGGATATCTTTCGGTTTGGGAAGAAATTGGGAAGAGTTAAAAAGCATGTCAAAGTTTGGAACAAGGAAGAATTTGGGAAGATTAACATCAAAAGCGACGAGATGCTTCAAGGGATTGGTGATATTGACAGGAAAGAGGAAGCAAATGATATCTGAAGAGGAAAGACTGACGAGAGAGAGGCTGAAATCTGAATTGGAGAAACTATTGTGGCTCGAAGAAATCTTCTGGAGACAGAAGTCCAGGGAAGTTTGGTTAAAAGGAGGAGATAGCAACACCCGCTACTTTCACAAAATGGCTAACTTCAGAAGAAGGAAAAACCTTATTGCAAAAATAAAATTTAATGGCTTGGGGGTCGAAGGTAAGGATGAGTTGAAGAGGGGTTTTATCAACCATTTCTCCTCCATTTTCAAAGAGGTCCAGAAGAGACGACCGTTTCCCACTTCGTATGGACAGTCTGCTTTCTCCTATAATGAGAAGGAGTGGCTCGAGAGGCCTTTCTCTAAAGAAGAGATATGGAAGGCGGTTAGAAGTTGCAGAGGAGACAAATCCCCCGGTCCTGATGGTTTCTCCTTGGCTTTCTACAAGCGGTGCTGGAATACTATTAAAAGTGATCTTCTGTTAGCTTTTGAAGATTTTCACGCTAATGGGCACTTTCCTAACTGCGTCTCTCACTCGTTTATTTGCCTCATCCCAAAGAAGGATGATGTCGAAGATGTTAAAGACCTAAGGCCGATTAGCTTGATCGGAAGTGTCAATAAGTTTATCTCTAAGGTTGTCACTGACAGATTAAGAGATTTTTTGCCTCGCATTGTGTCGGGTAACCAATTCGCAAGGGTGAGAGGAAGGAAAATTCACGAGGCAACTCTTATTGCCAATGAACTCATCGATAGCAGAAAGAAGAGCGGGAAGCTTGGCCTTGTCTTCAAGCTTGACATTGAGAAGGCGTTCGATAATGTTAATTGGAGAAAATTCTCCAATGTTGGGACTTCTCGCCTAAATTTCGGAGATGGATAAGTGGGCTGGTCACCTCGCCTCTTCTCTCAGTTCTTGTCAACAGAGAATCCGCAGGTTTTTTCAAAATGGAGAAAGGACTCTGGCAAGGGGATCCTATTTCCCCTTCCTTTTCATGCGTGTGATGGATATATTGTCTTTCATTCTCGAGTCTTTGAAGATCGATGGACGTTTAACTGGCTTCAGAATGGATGAAGCTGGGCGAAGTTACTCACCTCTTATATGCTGATGATACGATCGTCTTTTGTGATGCGTGTGAAGAGCAGGTGCTGATCCTGCTAACTGCTAAGCGCCTTAGTCTGTTTTAAGGCGGTGACCGGGCTAAGAATTAATGTGGAAAAATGCCAGATGTTTCCTGTCGGCAAGGTTCATTAGCCTGGCCGTTTTGCCAATATTTTTGGATGCTCCTGGAATTTTCTTCCTTCGGTCTACTTAGGGCTTCCCTTCAGTGCGAGGCCAAATTCTTGTGTGATGTGAGACAAGATAATTGCTAAATTGCTGATGAGGTTGGACGGGTGGCAAGGAAAATTCCTCTCCCTGGGAGGACGAATCACCCTTATTAGAAGTACCCTCTCGAGCCAGCCTGTTTATGCTTGCTCTGTCCTAAAAGCTTCAGCCGCTGTTGTTCGAAGATTGGAGAGTTGTATGAGGAACTTCTTGTGGTCTGGGTATATTAACGAAAGAAAGATTCATCTTCTCAACTGGAATAACTGCAAGACCGCTAAGAAAGTCGGTGGTCTGGGAATCCTCAACATTAGAAGCCTAAATTCTGCTCTTCTCAGGAAATGATTGTGGAAGTATGCTACTCATCCAACAGCGTGGTGGCGCTGTCTTATTAATAACAAGTACCCCAAGCACTATTCTCATTGGAGATCTGGGAAGGGGGACAATAGATTGGGATGTTCTTTGTGGAAAAATATCCTGAAAGAAGAATCGGAGTTTTGGAGACATGCTTTTATTAACGGTGGTGCATGGGTTTCGTTCTGCAAGGATTGCTGGCTGCCTGGGGTGATTCTTGAAGATGCCTATCTGAAGGTCGCTGTTGCTTCTTCTTCCCTGGAGGCCTGGGTCTCTGATTTGGTATCCTTTTCTTCTGAGGGTTTGTCTTGGGATATCCCCTTGCGTTTTTCGTTAAGGGGTGGGGCTGAGAGGGATAGAGTGAGATTATTACAAATGCTTTCTTCTGTTTCTACTAATTTGATCTCTGCATGATCCAGTAAGATCATGTGGCGTCCCTCCGCAAATGCTCGCTTCTCGGTTAAGTCTTCTTATGATTGTTCTATGTCCATCAAATTCCCAGGCGAGCCTGATTTCCCTGCCAAAGAAATTTGGAGGCCGCATGTTCCGTCAAAGGTTTCTGCCTTCATGTGGATGGTCACTCATAAAAGGATTCTTACCCACGACAATCTGAAGAAAAGAGGTTGGACGCTTGCTAGCAAATGTGTTCTCTGTAAGAGCGAGAAGGAGACCGCAGATCACCTTTTCTGTAGCTGCAAGTGGAGTAAATAATTGTTTTAGTTGGTTTTGCTGTTTTTTTGGCTTCTTCTTGTCCATGTCTGGATCGCTTCTTGCGATCTGAATGGTGCTTCTGTACTCTTGTATTTTAGTTCGATTCTAATATAATCACCCTTATAAAAAAAATTATTTATTATGTGAAAGCCAGATCATTCGAGTGGCCTATATGACTGTTGACAAGAGATTTATCGGTTTACTCACTTTAATCGTTCACCTACAAAAATTCAAATTATTTATGGAAGAATCGATATCCAATCACGATTCAACCACCTACTTACTCATCCCTACCTGTCTTGAAAGAATTCGCGCATGCGCCATCCTGCTCTCACACCCATCTCGTCATTGGCTTGCGTCATGCGTGCAGCTAGCTAATCTCGACATATTTTGCAGGTTAATTTCTTATGACTGAGACCAGCTGGCGATCGAGATGGATTTGCTTTCTCTGTTTCCCACCATTATCTTCTTCGTCAATTTAATTAATCTAAACGGAAAGTTAACGGTTACTTACTCCAGAAAGGACTCAAATGATTAAAATGCAAGGTTGTCAACCCGCGGGTCGACCCGCGGGTTGACCCACTTTAACCCTGACCCGGTGAGAAAAACGGGCCGCAAGCACCCGCCGGGTTGACCGCTACAAGGTACCGGGTTGGAGGTCAAATTGTGTCATTTTTTTCTTTGTTTTGCGAAATGCGCCTATTTTCCGATTTTTCTTTTCGCCTAACTCAATTTTTGGAATCCTAAGTTGAACATTTGAATATTAAAATTATATATAGTTGTGTGTGAATTTTCACTATATGTTGAATCTAAGTACGAAATATTATTTTGGTGTAATATTATATGTTATAACTCATATGTTAGATGAGATTTGATATAATTTATCAGGATAAGTACAATATAGTGACGCTTTCCATATTTCCGGGCTAAACCGGGCTAAAACGGGTGACCCATTAACCCTTGACCCACTACCTCAACCGGGTCCGGGTCAACCCGCGGGTTGACAACCTTGTTAAAATGCCTTGTAAAAGGGCTTACTCGCGCTAGCTGAGTCAACCCTTAATGGTTGCTTACAGTTACATGAACCACCCGAATGATTAGAATAATAGAATGCCTAGTAGTTGGGACTTGTTAATAGCCATCAAACCTTTTTAATGGTAAAGTGCATAATTCTTGGTTATTCACTTACGCATAATTAGATATATGACACTTGAATAAGATTAGATCTAAAAGGATAAATTAAATGTATTTTTTTAATTGACTTGTATCTTTTTTTTTAATATAAATTTCAAACTTTTTGTATAAATGGAACATGTTCATTTTGATCTACAACATCAAATTCATTTACAATATATTTCAAGAAGATTTTTTGACGTACCACTTGTTATCACCTGATAGCACTTTGTACAACCTTGATTTGTTAATTCGAATTTTCAAAAAATTTGCACATGAGTGACATGAGAAACTAGTTCATCGTGATGTATCATGATCTACAAATTTATAAGGGAAAAATATCAGGACAAAATATGTCACTTTGTACCACTATGATTTGAGGTGGTAAGTGGTGAACGGTAATTAAAAGTAGTAAATGAGAATAAGTACATTTATACTATCATGTATAGGGGTGGACTCAGGTGGCCTAAATTTGGAGGGGGGGGGGGATTAATCAACGTCCGGTAGTACTTTTGAGTATAGAAAAAAGAAGAAAAATTGTTAGTGTAAGTGATTCGAATTTATAACACAGTAATTATTAGGGAACATCTTTTTAATTGACTACATTTCATTTGTTGTTGTGATTTTTTCATATATCCTCAAATTATTCAAAGCCCAAACCCACAAACTATCTCTTATCCCCACCTTATTTTAAAACACGATTTTATTGATTTCAGATACAAAATTGAATCTATCATATCCATTGACCTATTTGCTCATCAGATTTGTATTGACTTTATTGATTGCAACTCCAAGTGCTGATAGAGCTTGGGTTACATCAAGAACAAATTTCGGAATCTCATAGACGATTAGTTGGTGAATGATTGTCTAGTAAGATCTAATGAAAGAGTTTTTTGCGCACTGTAGGCAGTGCGTAACAGTGTAACATGTCATTGACTTTTGTTGTAATTTGTATTAGTCATATAGTTTCTTATTTAATAATCTTTTTAATTTTGATTTAATTTTTAAAAGGGACACCCCTATATAAAATTTCTAGGTCCGCTACCAGGGGCGGAACCAGGGGGTTTTAGGGGTGTCCCCAGACACCCCTAAAAATTTGAAAACATGATTATCCTACTGTCATTTGTGTATAGGAATATAAGTGGTAGATTGGGTAATTCAAATCTAGAACACTATTCTTATTAATAAACTTAATTTTCATTGACCTACAACTCATTCGTTGTTCGATTTTGAAAATGTAATAGTAAAATGTCATTTCCTATCTCTAATTATTTTAAAAACCTAACAATTAAACTAATTTCAAATTACCCTTAATACAACAAGTGTTGAAAGAGTCTTTCAGCTTTGGGTTACATCGAGAACAAGTTTACAAATCGAATATGTGATAAGTTCGTGAATGATTGTCTAGTAGGGTACATAGAGACAATTTTTTTAACACTATAGACACCAAGTGTATTCTACAATTATTTCCGAATATGAAAACAAATCATGGACTTTTTTAACCTGTACGAGTAAGGTATTTTTCAAATTTACGATTTTATTTTTATTAATTATTAATTATTTTTATTTAATTTATTTTTAAAAGAGGACACCCTTATAAAAAATTTCTGGGTCCGCCACTGTCCGCCACTGATATGTATACACCCATTATTGTAATATATATATATATATATATATTTATTTATGCCTGCATGGTACATATACTTCCATACAACAACCATATAATCTTATATAGGGATGAGATACGGTGACAACCCACTCACTAACCGTTGGATACACTCTCTCTCCTGTCTCTTTGTTCTTTTTTTAAGTTGATGGTTAGGATTAAAAGAAGGGTATTTTTGGAAAGGAAAAATGTTAACACACCCAATCATTCTCCCTCCCATATAAATAAAATAAAAACCCTAACTCCTCCCTCTCCCCCTCACCTCTCTCTTTCCCTCCTCCCTCTCTCCAGACAGCACTGCCGCCGGCCTCCACCACCGCTGCAGCAGCTTCCCATAAGCACCACCACGAAGACAATCAAGGAGAAGCAGCTGTCCCCCCCCCCCCCCCCCCCCCCCCGCGCCGCGCCGCTCTCCTCCCCTACCGCCACCATTTTTATGTCGCCGCCACCGCGAGGTCAAGACTCATCCCTTTTTTTTCCAAATCTGATAGTCTCTACCGGTACCAATACCACTGGTAGCGCTATTGGTACGCTACCACTACTCACTGGTACCAATACCAGTGGCTCCCCTATCATCTGGTACCACTATCATCTGTTTTTTTTTTTTTTGTTATTTGCTACTGGTACCGCTACCAATGCTAGTGGTAGCGCTACCAGTGCTAGTAGCGTTGTGTTATTCTCTACTGGTAGCGTTGTACTGGTAGCGTACCACTAGTACTGGTACATTTTTTACTGGTACCGCTAGTACTGGTACATTTTTTAACTTACTGGTACCGTACCACTAGCACTGGTATATTAATTACCAGTAGACTAATAGATTGGTGCACTTTTTAACGCATTGGTACATTTTTTCAGGTTGCCGGAGGGAGTCTGCCGGAGAGAATTAGCCGGAGAAAAAGTTTGTCGGTCGATGCGGAGTGGCTGCTGGAGAAAGGAAGAGAGAGAGAGATAGATAGAGATATTAATGTATAGGATTTAAATTTCAGGAAAAAAAATTGTATTTAATATGGGTTTTTAATTCCCAATATAATTAGTACAAAAAAGGTAATTAATATATGCCTTTTTTTCATACCCAAAATACCCTTGGTTGTGAATCTTACAACCCCAAGAGTCCCTCTTATATATTATCTAACATTACGGATACCACCATGCTATATAACTATATACTAATAATATATATCTCAATTATTCTGGGGAAAAATAATTGAAAGCGGGTATAATTTTAAGGAAGACAACTAATTAATATGATTTCATGTTTAGTTAATGGTCATTAGATTAACAACCCCGTGCCCGTACGTGATTGGTCGACAAGGTATCATGTATCAATGGATCCATCTGTCATCAACCAATAATAATTTATTAACTCACCTCCAAACTCCGTTGACTTTTCCATCTCCCGCTTCTTCTTCCCTCCGCCGGGTCAGTAGTAGTAGTTACTATAAGATTTGAATGGAATCCATCACCAGAGATCGAAGCACCACCAAATAATAACAACAATGGCAACCATCAGCATCCGCGCTTCTCCTTCTCCTTCCCAACCCCAACCACCACCTCCTCCGCCGTCAACTCCCTCCGTCATCACCCCCACCTTCACGGAGCAAAAATGGCGGCTCCACACAAGAGAAAACGTGAAGCTCGACCTCGACAGCATCATCCAAACTTTGCTCTGCGCCGTCCAGGTCCCCGACCACCTCCGACAAACAAAACCCGAAGCCTACACCCCCCAGCTCATCGCCCTCGGCCCATTCCACCACTTCCGGCCCGAGCTCTACCAGATCGAGCCCCTTAAGCTCGCCACCGCCAAGCGGGCCCTCCACAGGTTCAACGGAGTCAACGGCGGGCTCGAGGGCTTCGTCTCCGAGGTGTGCCGTCCCTCCGGCCTCCTCCCTCGCATCCAGGCCTACTACGGCCGCCACCTCGACGTGGAGGACGAGACCCTGGCCTGGATCGTCGCCATCGACGTCCTCTTCCTCGTCGAGGTGCTCCACAACGAGGAGATCCTCATCTCGTCGTTCGCCCCCTGCTTCTTCGATTCCTTGAAGAGGAAGCTCTCTCCACATGCGATCTTCGGCGACCTGATCCTGCTGGAGAATCAGGTCCCCTTGTTCTTGCTTGCTGACCTGCTTCAACAGCTGGCAGTCGGTGGTGGTGACGACAAGAATATTGGGGATGAGCTGTCGAGGAGGTTGGACGTGATCTGCCACCTGCTGTCTCCTCTCCAGCTGCCGGAGGGGAGGTTTCCGACTTACTTCCGGCGGAGGCATTTGTTGGATCGGCTCTACCTCCTCATCACCAGGGGGGAGCACGAGGCTGCGGCGGCAGCGGCTGGTGGTGGCGGAAATACTAGTAATAATAATGTTCGAGCTCCGACCTCCGTGGGGATTTTGCAGCGGATTGCGTCCGGTCTTCTGAAGAAGGTATATTTTTTTTTTTGGTATTATAATACGAGGATTAAATTATGAGGGAGTAGTTTTTTATATTATTTTCTGTCGTTATTATCGTACTATAAAAAAAGTAGGGCTCTCGGTTTGAGTGTGGATCAGGTGACTTAGGGGGCTTAGTCACTTGACTAAGCCCATCCCAGCCTTTAGATCTGTACACATCAATCTGAGGTTAAAAAGTGGGAAGGGCTATTTAATTAATAATTGGGGTAGTTTGGGTATTATGAAAAATTAAGAAGTATACAAACCGGACTTACAATCAGTACAAACCATACAAACATACGAATAGTACAAACTAAAGCGACAAAACATACAAACAGATTTACAAACATTACAAACATATGAACTGTACAAAAAATACAAACTAGACCGACAAACAATACAAACCGTACAAAAAGAAAAAACAACCAGGTTGACTTTGGAGGCTCCATCCCTATATAGAGGGGCTCCTTCCCAAAGTCAACCCGTGTGTTTTTTAGACATACAAACAGTACGAACATGGTGGACAAAAATGACAAACTAGACCGACAATCCATACGAATGGAAAAAACACCCGGGTTGACTTTGGAGACTCCATCCCTATATAGAGAAGTCCCATCCAAAAGTCAACCAGGTTGTTTTTTAGACATTAAAAACATTACAAACATGGTGTACAAAAATAACAAAGTTTACAAACATTACAAAATAACAAAGCGTACAAACATTACAAAATATGTCAACAAACATCACAAAGCACTGTCGCCGGAAAATTCTTCTCCGTCGACGATGGTCGCCGGGTAAAAAATTTCCGAGCAGAAATCTCTCTCTCTCAAAAAGACTACAAAATGGTTGCCAAAAAAGCCGCCAGCAGGTCTCTCCCCAAAAAGACTACAAAATGGTGGCCATGGCAAAATAAAAAGCCGCTGGCAGGTCTCTCTCTGGGAATTAATAATGGCGCACAGAATTAGAAATAATGGCGCCCATGAAACGGAGGCGGCCAATTAGGAGACAGGAGGCGACGGAAATGGCGCTGGTTTTTTATTCCTTTTATAATTAAAAATTAAAAATAAACATGCAATTACTACATTGCCTTTCATTAAATTGGATTAATAGGAGCCCTTGGATTTTAATGAGGTGCAAGGGTGGAGATTCACTTAGCCATGTGATTAAGGGGACCCCCTTAGTCACCTGATCTCAGCCCCTCTCGGTTTTGTTTTGTTTGGTTAATTAAACCATTAATTCTGAAAAAATCAAAAATTAAATAAATCAAAGTTTCCAAAAACATAATCAAAATCGTTAAAGATCTAATCGGTTATTGGTTAACCGAGAACCAATAAGTCCCTTAGTGCTATTGGTTTGGTTGTATAAATGCACGACTTTGTAAAATTAGATTCAGAGTTGAAATGAATCAAGACTAGAAAGAAGTCTATTACACATAAGTTGACGATAACATATGTTAATTGATATATGTATTGACATAGTTATCGTCAAGGATTGTGAAACCATACTGAAGGTTGTATCGGAAAATTTAGCAGTAGGGTATTTTGTTATGAATCATGATTAAGTTGATTCATACAAATAATTAAAAAATCGCCTACAGATTGTTGCCTCCGATACTATCAGGTTTTTCAGATCGGGCCGAAAGTACAGATTCACAACCACTGATTATCTGTTTCTTATTGATTATTTGGTAACCAAAACAAAAACCATTAAGATGGTAAATGCTCTTAAAACCGAAAATCACACCCATTATAGATTTTAGGGGTGGGCAACGGGACGGGACGGGATACCCGTCCCGTTTTAAACGGGTACACAATCCAATTTGGAGGCCAAAGTCCATCCCATATCCCAAACCCATATGGGAAACGGGTACCCATTACCCGTACGGGACGGATAACGGGTACCCATACTACCCATAAATACCCAAAGTTTAAACCACTCAAATTTTAACAAAAGTTTAAACTTAACTTGTACTTGCTTAACAATCACAAGACACAAATCATGAACAATCACAACGCATAAAAATAAATCATTCTAAGCACCAAATTATCAAATAAGAAGTTTCATTCAACACAAATCATGAACAATCACAACGCATAGAAATAAATCATTCTAAGCACCAAATTATCAAATAAGACGTTTCATTTAACAAAAGGGAGTAACTGTTATCTGATTTGATATCTGATCTTCCAACTCCTTTGCATTTCACATAGCGTTCTTTGTTTCTTTACTAAGATAAGTTTCATCTTTGTGGCGAAGTGGACATTCCCTTTCTATGGATTAGAGTTCGCAAATGGGTAAAACGGGTACTCACATTACCCAAACGGGTATTTGCGGGTAACCCGCGGGTACCCATATTAGGAATGTACAATCCCAAGTCCCATCCGTTTATAATATTACGGGTAATATGGGTACCCGTAACCCTTAAAAAAGGGACGGGTACGGGTATACCCAAATACCCATTTCCCGTTGCCCACCCCAAATAGATTTCTTATTGATTGGTTTCAACCGAAAACCAAAACCCAAAACAGACCGACAGCCCTGCTAAAATAACAGAGCATTGTTTCATTTGTTTGTCGTTATTAACAGGTAGAAGATGCGCGGAACAGTTATTACGGCGGGGCCGTGGTGACCGACGGCGAGAAGGACGCGGTTGCGGGGAGCATATTGGCCGGGGTGCTGAAAAAGGAAGGAGGAGGGGATCAGGACGACGACGATGGAAGTGGTTTGGTTTTTGCCAAAGCCGCCAGGGTGAGGATGGAGTTGGGTAGTCAACTGAGTTTTATTGGGGTAGATGAAGAAAGAGAACGTGAGAACTTTCTGGTGAGGGTGCTGCAGAATGTGACGTCGCTGGAAATTGGGCCGGATGAAAACGTTGCTAATGATTTCCAGGCTTTTGCCCAAGAGCAAGGTAATAATTAAGTAAACTCGTCTTATTAATTAGATTTAAGAAACTCATTACACCCATTGACGTGAAAAAATAATGATATGCGTGAACAAACATTAGATTGCGTGAATGGTGATTACTGTTTGCATGAATAATTACCTCAACGTGAGTAAATACAGAATTTTGCGAATAAACACAACAATGCATAATTAGGTGTTTTTTTTTATAAGATGCATAATTAGGTGTTGGTGACACCATGTTCTATACAACCTATATTCAATGTAGTCAAAATCACTCTTTAAAACTTAAAAATTTGTTGTTTTACACTCCTAGGTCACCAAAATGTTTTCGATTTCATATAAAATCTCCAGTGTATAAAATCATACTAAATTGCGCTTAAAAGGTTAAAAGCTTACACTTTTACGCTTCTAGTTCACCAAAACGCTTTACGCTTCTAGTTCACAAAATGGGTACTCTATTCATGCAATGAATTATAAAAACCATATTTTAAAGGTAAAATCACCAACAATATGTTACATTTGGGATTAAAAGATACATTACCGGGTACTTGGATGCATTCTTAACTTCAATAGAGTAATCTAATTCACCAGTTAGGCCCTTCCCAAATTCATTACCATAAAGGGGAAGGTGGCTTCACCAGTTAGACCCTGGGTGAAATCCGGGGTACCGCATACCTTGAGTATGAAAACACTATCTAGACCTTGAATTGACCGATCTTTCGGACATGATACTATACTCTAACACTTAAAGATAATCTAGGTGTTAACTCTCCCAATCTTATACTCCAAGATCAATTTAATTAGAAACAATAATCGACGGTTATGATTCATCCAAATATAGGCACAAAAAGGAATGCACCATCTTAGGGTTTATAGATTATGATTTAGAATATTATGACCTACGGTTCACTCATTAAGGGTTAGGGTATAATATCAAACACAAAAATCCTGGTAATTCAAGGTCTAGATAGAGTTTCCATACTCGAGGTATGCGGTACCCGGATTTCACCCGGGGTACCATAGAAGCCACCATATATATATATATTTATGAACTTATTGTTAAAATGTTATGGGTTGCTATACTTCAGACAATGAATTGCTGGTATTTATTAACATATCTAAATTCTGTGCACTCATATTTTACATAGTATATGTCGTATTTAACATATTTTTAGCTATTTTATAGTATACGTTAAACACTTACGCTTTACAATTTTATCTCTTTTTCGCTTGTAGTTAGAATCGTGCTTTTGATTGCATTGCTTATATGGATGAATCACAATTGCATTACACATTTATGAATAGGGAAAATGCCAATGACGGGAATCTTCCAAGTGTTCACAATGATAAACAAAGCCCTTGAAGACGATAGGTGCATTATCCCTTCCGCTTGTCAGCTTAAGAAGGTCAACATCAAGGTCACCCAGCTCCTCAGCTCGACCACCGCCGGTCGAATAAGCGGGAGCCTCTGCTCCACACGGTTCGACCCCAAGACCAAAACCCTCCACCTCCCGACCTTCACGTGGAACCCAAACGCCGAGGTGGTGATGCGCAACCTCGTGGCCTACGAGGCCACCGCGAAATCCAGCTCACTCATCCTCACCCGCTACACCGAGCTCATGCACGGCCTCGTCCGCAGCGCCGAGGACGTGCAGGAGCTCCGGAAGGAAGGCGTCGTCATCGCGGCCGCCGTCGACGATGCCACGCTGGTGGAGATGTTCGGCGGGATGGGGCTGTCGAGCAGCTACCCGAAGGGGAGCACGATTCTAGACGGAAGTGTGGCAGCCATCAATCAGTATTATAACAAGCAGATGAAGATCCTGCTTATGAGGCTGTTCAAGAAGTATGCCAAGGTCACGATTAAGTATTTGGTGGTGGTAGCGGGTTTATTGTTGGTGATGGTGCTGTTCATCCAGGCATGGTGTAGTGTTTACAGGTGTCCTGGTGCGGTTCATTCGAGGGTTGTGCATAATGTCGTTGGTGGTTTGCAGTATGTGTTGTAGCTTCTTGGCGATGGTGCCGGTGCCGGGGATTCGTCGTGATCTTACTGCTTTTTGATTCTATCAGACGAAAATATAAATTTTCGCCCCAAACTGTAATGGCTAGTAAGCCCATCCGGTGGAGCGACGTCATCTCAGGCAAAGTTTTAGATTCCACAAGTGCAACGGCGCCGTCTTGTGCAGTGGAGACCTTCATTGACGATACGTCGACATTGTGAGCCAACGTCTCTTTCATTTCCAAGTTGTTGTTCCCTCCAAACTCTGCATTCTCTGTTTTTTGTTTGTAAACAACAGCTAAGAGCTGTTTGTCCTCTACTGATCCAATCTTGAATATAAAGAACAATAGTCATCAATGAGAAAGTAAGTTACCGTTTCAATTTCATACCTAGTTTTATGGTATCAGAGAAACCCTAGCCGCCGCCTCCCTAAGAGGTTCAAATGTGACACCCAACCCCTCTGCCAAACCTCCAGAATGCACTTTCTGCAGAAGGATTTGACACACTGAAGAAAAATGCTTTAAGAAGCATGGTTATCCTCCCAGTTCTCAATCCATGACTACACCTCTTACTCGTGGCAGATTTCATCAATGCAACTGACAGTGGCTCTTCTTCAGACACTCAGCAAGAGTTCAAACTCACAAAGTTCGAGTATGACAAACTGATTTCTCTGATGCATGATAACTCCAACGGCAAGTCTCCCACCAATGCTCATTCAGCAACACTCACTATTCATCATGCATCTGCCTCTTCCGATACTTTTCTTCATGATCCTCACAAAGTGACATATTCATTAATTTTCCTACTGGTGATCGAGTTTAAGCTACATAGAAAGGCACGATTCTTTGCCTTAATGGCATCACTCTCGAGGATGTCCTATTTGTCCCTAAGTTCACATTCAACCTTCTCTCAGTGAGTAAACTCACCACCAGCAACCCTCTTTGTTTAACCTTCTCTTCTGGTTCTTGCATCATACAAGACATGAAGCTGATGAGAGTGACAGGTTCTGCTGAAATCCTCCATGGCCTTTACCCCATCAACCTACCCTTAGCTAGTAAACCTAACCACATCATAGCAGCTGTTAGTTCACCACATTTTGACATTTGGCATTTTAGAATTGGCCATGTTTCCCACAGTAGAATTCCTCAACTGAAACAACTCTGTAAATACATTGAAACCAACAGCAGCTTACCCTGTGATGTTTGCAATTTTGCCAAACAAAAACGACTTCCTTTCCCTTCCAGCATAATTGTAACAACACTATTTTTGTAGTTAATTCATGCTGATATTTGGGGCCCAAACTCCTCCCCCACTAATGATGATTTTAAGTATTTCCTTACCATTGTTGATGACTATTCCAGGATGACTTGGATCATCCTCCTTTCTTCCAAAGCTGATGCTCGTCCCAAACTCATTCAATTATACAACATGATAACCAAACAATTCAACACAAATGTCAAAACAATTAGGAGTGATCAAGGGAGAGAATTCCAAATGAGTGATTACTTTGTAGAACATGGGGTTCTGCATGAAATGTCCTCCATTGAGACACCTCAACAAAACAGTAAGGTTGAGCTTAAACATCAACACATCTTAGCCATTGCCAGAGCCTTAAAATTCCAAGCCAATCTCCTAATTGGTTTCTGGTGAGATTGTATCAAACATGCTGTATATCTCATTAACCGAGTTCCCACCCCTGTCTTAAACAACCTCACACCATATAAAAAACTCCATGATAAACCTCTTGACTTACAAAACTTAAAGGTTTTCGTTTGTCTGTGCTATGCATCCACCATCACTAGTCACAAAACCAAATTCTAGGAGAGAGTCCAAAAAGGAGTTTTAATGGGATATACTGCAGGAGTAAAGGGGTATAGGATCTATAACTTGCCTTCTCATGACATCTTCCTTTTCCGAGATGTCCACTTTCATGAACATGAATTTCCTTTCCACCACTCCTCTCCTGACTCACCCTATACAGATCCTCTTCCCTCTACTCACACCTATCCAATCCCATATGATCTCCCATCCCCACCTACCTTGCCTAGTTCAGAACCACCATCTGATTCCCCACCACCTACCCCTCCCAATCCTTCCTCCATTGATCTGCCCATCGCCATTAGGAAACCATCCAGAACCATAAAACCATCCACCAAACTCCAAACTTACCATGGTAACCTACTTCAGCAGGCTTCTTCCTCCAGTCATTCTCTCCAGCAACATGTTCCAGGTATCACCTATCCCTTATCTGATGTACTTGATTACACTGGTTTATCTTCTTCCCATCTCAAGTTCATCTTGAACATATCTTGCCACAAAGAACCTGAATCATATGAAGAAGCTGCTCTCAGACCAGAGTGGAATCAGGCCATCAACCATGAAATTGATGCCTTTGAGAGGAATCAGATCTAGGATGTTGTTTCTTTGCCTCAAGAAAGAAACCCCCTTGGCAACAAGTGGATCTTCAAATATAAGTTCTTCTCTGACGGAAGCCTGGAAAGAGAGAAGGCAAGATTAGTTTCAAAAGGTTACAATCAACAAGAAGACATAGAATATGAGGACACATTTGCACCTGTGGTCAAAATGACGACAGTCAAATAATTCCTTGCTATAGCTGCCTCCAGATCCTGCCATGTCCATCAATTAGATGTAAACAATGCTTTTTTACATGGGGATATCACAGAAGAATTATATATGAAGCTACCAAAAGGATACAAACCACCTCCACACATCAAGAACCCTGTTTGCAGACTAAAGAAGTCCCTCTATGGCCCGAAGCAGGCCTCTAGGCAATGTTTCTCCAAGTTAGCAGACTGCCTTATCAATCAGGGATACACTTCCAGCCAAGTTGATAATTCCTTATTCTACAAATCTCAAGACTCTCATTATACCTGTGTTTTTGTCTATGTTGATGACCTAGTTGTGGGAGGAAATGATTTAGTAGAAATCACACAACTAAAACAATACCTTCATCAGACATTCAACATCAAAGATATGGGTCCTCTAAAGTTTTTCCTTGGCATTGAAGTTGCCAAAAACTCTTCTGGTATTCATCTCTCCCAAAGAAAATACACTCTGGAGATACTTGAAGAAGGGGAGTGCTTCTATCCAGGCATGTCTCTACCCCTATGGACCACAAGATTCATCTAACAGCACACCATTCTTATGCTTACCCTGATCCTTCTTTCTACAGAAGACTAGTGGGCAAGCTCATCTACATAACCAAAACAAGACAAGATATAAGCTTTGCCACTCAGCAGCTCAGCCAATATATGTATAATCCTAGCAATCAACACTACTAGGCTGTCACTAGGGTTCTTCGATACCTCAAATCAGCTTCCTCTACTGGTTTGTTCTTTCCTACTTCATCTTCACTACATCTTAAATCCTTCAGTGATTCAGATTGGGCATCTTGCATGGACACTGTAAGGTCAGTGACTGGTTACTGTGTTTACCTCGACAATGCTTTGGTCTCGTGGAAGAGCAAGAAACAACGAACCATCTCCAGATCATCTTGTGAGGCAGAATATAGGGCCATGGCGGATATAACCTGTGAACTCTAATAGCTACTATTTCTCCTTCAAGACTTCCAGGTCCCTCATCCACTTCCTTCCATCATCTATTGTGACAACCAATCAGCAATTCACATCGCAGAAAACCCAACATTCCAAAAGCGAACCAAGCATATCGAATTAGATTGTCACCTGGTTAGAGAAAAATTGCAAAATGGCATTGTCAAAATTCTCCATGTCTCGACTCTTCACCAATTGGCTGACCTGTTCACGAAAACACTCCCACCAGCAACCTTTTCCATTCTCCTCTCCAAACTTGGTGTGCACAATCTGTGCCCACCAGCTTGTGCGGGGAGGGGGGGGGGTGTCAAAAGAAAATACAAAATTTTCAAGCAACGTCGTCTCAAGCAAAGCTTCAGATTCCACAAGTGCAACAGCACCGTCTTGTGGAGTGGAGACCTTCATTGACGATACGTCGACGTTGTGATCCAACTTCTCTTTCATTTCCCAGTTGTTGTTCCCTCCAAACTCTGCATTCTGTGTTTTCTGTCTGTAAACAACAGCTAAGAGTTGTTTGTCCTCTACTGATCCAATCTTGTGTGTAAATAACAATAGTAATGAGAAAGTAAGTTAGGATTTCAATTGCATACCTGGTGTTAAATTCGGTTATATGTTTGTGTTCTAGTTATGGTTTTTCTCTTGTAATGTGTTCTTATCATATCCCAACTATGATGAGGGGACCCAGAAAAATGATGCTCTAGGAATATAAATTGTGGTAGTTAGGGGAGGAGAGACCACACTCAGTATCACAATTTTTGTATCCAATCCATCTCAAGTTCCCAACTGATATGATTATAAAATTAGATTGGCGTGGATTCATGTATCGCTGGCAAATTATAATTTACTACCTAAATTTTTTTCATTTTACAATTCGATATCTAATATTTATTTTTTACCGAAATATTGCATTTGAAAATTACTTTTTGGTGCCTAATTTTTTTATTATGATGTTGTAGTACCTAAAATTTTCAAAATTTACGTGTTGGTCCAATATTTAGATGCCATTTGAAACCATAATCCAATGATTCCAATCCACCAATCCATTAATCAACCAATACATTTGATCCAACTAATTTGATTCAAGGATACACCAATCCATTTGATTCAATCCATTAATCAACCAATACATTTGAACCAACTAATCTGATTCAAGAATACACCAATCCATGAATTCAATCCTGAATTGCCATAGAGATGAGATCCAGTATTTGATCACATGCATCCTCATGATTAAAAACCATGACTAATAGTCGTCACTACTGCAACAACCACAAGATTCATCAACAAAAAGAGTTTAGCTAGGGAGAGAGAGGTGATAGATTTAAGGTCGAAATATGGTTTCATTAACCATGCCCTTGCCTAATTTGTTGTTAGGGCAAGCTTTCTTGCAAGCCGCGATGAGTTGGTGGAGAGTAACTCCCGCATTGCACATGTTGGCTAGGGCTCTGCTGTACTTCTTCCCATAGTACTCCGACGGCATCTCCTCGCATTCTTCCTCGTATGTTTCCACCTATAGCCACGCACATAGACACACGCTCATCAATAATCGGAGTCGCACATAGATTAAAACCCCCCCTGCAAAACCCCACTCATATCATCGATCGTGATACAAAGTCGTGATACGATGATACGGATGATACATTCGTATCATTGTATCGTGATATTGTGATAGGACAGGATTTTGTACCCTACCGGCGCTCCCTAATTAAAAAAAAAAAGTATCTTACAAAGGACTTGAAGCAATCCCAATCGTCGACGAGAGGGTGGCCGGAAGGCCTGACCGAGTTCATCAGATTCACGGCGTTATCGTGGCCGCCAAGCAGCATGGCTCCGATCCTTGTTATCCTCTCATCCGCTTGCTTCCTCCTGAAAATCTCCCTCTCCAACTTCATTTCAGCCTCTGCCTTTTCCTGTGACCCTCGTGTAGCCAGGCTGAACTGCAAAGTTCATGCACCGTACATTTGCGTACGTAAGTCTATCGTCAGCTCGCACGAGTTATTGAGATCAGTTGGGCTATACACGTAGCTAATTTAAGTAACAACCTGTTGCTGGAGATGGACAAGGACAGCGTCACGTTGGCTGACGGGGGCGGCTCGAGGAATGGCAGCGGTGGCCGTGGCGAGGCGGCGATCGTGATAACTAGTAGTGCTAATAATACGACTGGTGGTTGCATCGGCGCCGGCGCCGTCGTCGAAACCGATGTAGAAGGAGAGTAGTTGGTGGGCGATGGTCTTGTCTCCGTACTGCATCACGTGGGAGCTTGAGTTTTCTGAATCCATCGCCGTTCTCCTTCTCACCTGCAAACACATTAACACTTTAATTAATTACCTTGATTAACTTTTTAATTGCCCAACACACCAATCTAAGTATACACAGACCGCATGGTATTGTTGTTCAAGGGTTTCCTTGCGCGGATCGTGCAAATCGCTGCATCACCAAAGGATAATTAGTTACATAAACATAATACTGATCGATAATTTATTCTTATAAACTTGGAGGGAAAGACCTGTCCTCGAGCCAGGAAATGCTGAATAAGTCGCCCAAGCAGGTCTGGAAATCAGGGGGAGCGCCGGCGGGGTAGTCTCCGGGGCAATAGAAGGCGTAACTGCTCTCCGATGTGTTCGACGCCGTGACGGCGTAGATGTTCATGTCGCCGGGTAACACCCCATCGAACATGCTCCCCGCCTCGCACGCCTCCATATATATCACCTGTGCGTTACACGCGTACCAAAAAAAGTCCATATCAATTTGTTATCGGACAATCCAAGTACCACATCGATAATAAGTAATATAAAGGGGAAGATATCCTTGTATACAATTGTCCACCAAACTCATTATAACGATGCATTTTTTAAGCAATATATAAGAATTTTTGCTTACCATGCTCTTATAAGCATTAGCAGTGTGCTTTTTCTTCAGAACTTCCATCAGGTCGTGGGCGTACACGCTTTTCCCCACAGGCATTCCTGCGCGAGCAATTAAGCATTAATTAAATTCAATGTATACATATTTCAAGCTACATAAAACCATACCGTACCGGCAGTTGAACCACGAAAACTTGTCATTATACGGTATTAACGGTTGAACTACCGTTAAACCATGATTTTGCCATAAAATATCCTACCGCTAACTTTTTTTATACGGTTTCATGGACCATGACATATTTACCGTCGAGATGCCACATTAATCAAGACATGATGATCAGCAGACATCCACTAGACCGACGGATTTCGAATTAATTACTAGAAGAAACGACCGCGGGCAAGTAACTGAAATTGATTACCAATGAGACATCCACTAGATCGACGGATTTCGAATTAATTACTAGAAGAAACGACTACTGTACGGGCAAGTAACTGAAATTGATTACCAACGAGCCCAACGGAGCCATGGTCGGCGTATATAGTAGATGAAAACAGTGTCGTCGGGCCCACTATCAAAGTTATATTTCTTATTACAGTTGTATAATTAAGTTAGGTAATGTCCGTATTAGTGTTAAAGTTATTATAAAAGTCAGTCTTTGTATTCTATACAAACCCTATGTGATTTCAATAATAATACACAACCGTTTCCACCGTATTACTGATTTATTTCGAATTTAATTACTAGAAGAAACGGCAGCGGCGTAAGTAATTGAAATTTCATTACCAACGAGCCCAGCGGAGCCATGGTCGGCGTAGTAGATGAAAACGGTGTCGTCGGGGCCACTGTCGACGACTTTCCCGCTGCCGCCCGTCAAAGCGGACCGGTTCCCAAGAATCACCGCATAAAAATTGTCGGCGGTGCAATTGCTGCCGGTGTAGTCCTTGGGGACGCCGGAGTAGACGTCGCTTCCCGTGGGCTTGTTGATGAGGATCCCCGGGCGAGGGTTGCCGACGCTGAAAGCGACGTCGTCGGACATGAAAACGACGATATTGTCGTCCCTGAGGCCTCCCTTCTTGAGAATGTGGTAGGCGTGGCAGACGTCGGCTTGGTGTCTGTAGTTGTAGTAGTAGCCGGAGCCGGCCACCAGGATGGCCCACCTCGTCCCCTCCGGCCCCGTCTTCTGCGCAGGGAGAGGAGAAGAAGAAGCGGCCGTAGAGCTGAGGAGGAGGAGGAAGAAGGTGGTGAGTTGAAGCTTGTTCATGGCGGCGGATGGATTGGGATTGGGATTGGGAGGGAGAAAGAGACGTTGTTTTGACCGTTTTTATAGAGTGAGGCATAGAGATATGATATTGGACGGTTATATTTTGTTATGCTGCGAGTCATGCAAATGGTGTTTTGTCCTCGTGACCGGTGACAGTTAAGCAATAATGATCAATTTTGAACTTTTTTTGACTTTTCTGTTTCAGGCGAAGTTCTCGTGCGGCATGCAAGTTAAAAAAGAAAGGCTGAATGTAGGTCCCAAAATCCCGATATTCATTTTTGGCAGTCTTTTTTTTTTTTTTTTTTTGGATTGGAGCATGAAACAGAGTTAAATATGACTTATTAGGTTTATAACGTTTTGGATTGGAGTTAGTCTACGATGTTACGCAGCAGCGCGTAATAATTATCTCCACAATAGGTAATTTATTCTTAAGTTCGGCGAATTTTATGGTTTGTTTTAGGGTTAATATATTTATATGGCCCAAACTTTTCAAAAACTAAACATCCTGGTTAATTTTTTCGGTATATAATTTTTCGGTCTCAACTATGCATCAAAGATACGGAATTGGCCACGAACAAGGGCTTGGCCTAGTGGAACCTGGATGCCCCAGGTTCGAATCTCCTTAAGTTAGTACCTTAATCACAAAAAAAGATGAAACTTATATCACCCTTATAAAAAAAAATACGAAGTTGGCCAAACCCAATTGACCGTTATCTTGAACGGTTAATGAGTTGACTAACATCCAACGCGCCACATCACTACCAAGTCAACATAGATCACTTGATAAAAAAAATTCCACCTATTTGTTTTACTGTATTTTATTCTCAACGTGTGGTGTGGCGTGCCACACGTTGAGGGGGAGCCAATATATGAGCGCTTGTTCCCCACCTTATAGCGTATGTTGTGTCTGATTAATTTGCATTTTGTAAAACAAAACTTTCATCTCTTTACAAAATACAAATAATCTTGTAAAACACAAAAAATATGATTTGTTTGCACAACAATTTTTTAAGTATGATATAACGTAAATGAGATCTCGTGTATATTCGTCCTAGATTTAAAAAGTGTATTAACTATCGTATGAACTGCCAGTTATCCCCAAAAGCTCTACTTTCTTTCCTTACCCTTTTGCAATACTCACTGTCAAATGTTGCCTCTTCTAACAACAGATAAATGTAATAAATGTGACAAATTTGTATGAATTCCACCAATCCAATTCAAACCAATCTATACCTAAAATATTTAATTAATTTAATCTAATTAAATTGGTGGATTCATGGATATTTGAAAAACTACACTTTAGTACCTATAATTTGTATATTTTATATTTTGATAATTAAAATTAACTTTTTGCATAAAATCTCATCATTTTGGTGCCTTAATTTTTTATAATTTTTCAAAACTTATATATTGGTCCAATATTTAAATGACACTTGGATCCATGAATCCAATGCACCAATCCATTTGATCCAATTCATGAATACACCAATCCATTTGATCCAAATCCATGGATCCGTCAATCCATTAATACATGAATCCAATCCATTTGATACTTCTAATAACAACAGTCCAAATCAAGTTTTGTAGTTCTACAAATATGGAGGTTTTATATTGGATCCTATTCCATATAACTATAAAATCACTATTAGAAAAAAGCCAAGACAACTTTTTTTTTTGACAAAAGATAATCGAATTGATTGATAAGATCACAAGTTACATCCTGGACCCAACCAAGGCACATAAATCATACAATCGACACGAGGCCGAAGACAAAGACAGGCCTTCCTAGCCACAGAATGGGCTACCCTATTGCTATTCCGACCTACGAACCGAACCCGGAAACCACCATTTAGATCTAACAGACTCAGAATCTCAGAAATGATGGCCCCCACACGACCATCCCGCGCGTCCTTGACATTAACCTTCTCAATAAGCACCTTAGAATTACCCTCAAACCTCACTTGATGGATGCTAAGAGCCTGACACCAACTGAATGACTGCCCGGAGACCAACCGTCTCAACCACGAGAGGATCCACAATGTTAGGAAAAATCACCCCCTTTGCCAACAACATATGCCCTCCCTCGTCCTTCAAGATAAGGCCCCCCCGCTGAATGTGAGTTAGCACTTACCACGCTATCCCACATACATACGACACTCCGCAAGTTCCCGTCCTCCACAGTTAGCTGCTGGGGTACCCGATGCAGATTCATTCTATCCTTTAGTAAGCTAACCCATTCATGGACCTACTGATGATATTGCCGCAGTAATTGAGGAAACAAGAACTTCTTCCCCTCAAATGCAGCCCAATTCCTCGACTTCCAAATACGCCATAACAGAGACACCAGAGCCATAACCTGAGCTGGCTGAGTCATTCTAAGCAAGCATTTTTTAAGGAAGAAGGGACAGGTTTGTCTAGGCAAACCATGACCCATATGCTCCAATCCAGAATGCGTCCAGAGGGCTGTAGCGACTGGACACTCCCAAAAAAGGTGCTCCATCGTTTCAGACTCCGCCCACCACACAGGACACCGAGGTAACACCTGAACCCGATTCTCAATTAGTGCCTCAGTCGTTGGAAAAATACGATGGAAGATCTGCAAAAGGAACAACTTGAGCTTCGATGGAATCTTGAGTTCCCACACTTTCATCCAGCTCGCCCTATCCATCCAACTAACCACAGGGCGCCACTCCCCAGCCTGTCTATCCAACAGCACCGCAAGATGATACACCGACTTGATAGTAAACACACCATCACTCGTATCATGCCAAACCAACCTATCCTCCACACCCCCACTCGGTAAAGGAATTGCCAAGATGTCCCGGACAACATTAGTTGGAAACAACTGTCAAAGGGATTGGCAACACCATCCTCCACTCACCAGATCAATAAGCTCTACTACCTTCGCTTCATTACCCTCCATATTTAAATGAGGATTACACGGAGGTGGATGAGAGTGCCTGGACGGGACCCCAACTAGATTGATGGATAGAGACCATGGCCCCATCCCCAACCTGCCACTGAATACCTCTTTGCAGCAGAGCGCGGCCGTGAAGAATACTTTGCCATCCCCACGAGGGGCGAGATCTGGAGGTACCAGTTAGGAAAGTACCATTCGGGAAATATTTTCCCTTATAGATCTAGGCCAGGAGGGAATTTGGTTCGTGCAGAATACGCCATCCAATTTTAGCCAATAGAGCTTGGTTAAAATGTTCAAAGCACCGAAATCCCATCCCCCCCCCCCCCCATCATGCTTACTCGAACATAAACGCCGCCAAGAAATCCATCGAACTCTGGGCCTACCCGTTTAAACCCCCCACCAAAACCGAGACACATGCTTATCCAAAATCCGGCATAGAGAGAGGGAGTTTAAAGCAAGACATAACATGTAGCGGCAATGACAACACGATTGACTTAATCAATGTCTCCTTTGCCACCCATGAAAGCACCTTCTGTTTCCACCCCTACAGCCGACTCAACAGCTTATCTTCCAAATAGCGGAAAGTAGCCATCTTGGATTGAACAATTAAGGTCGGTAGCCCCAAATATTTTTCATGCACGCCAACTGCTCCTGCCCCTAGCCCTAGGGCAAGGGATTCTTGATCGGCCACCAAAATATTCTTACTAAAGCAAATGGCAGACTTATCCAGATTGACACGCTGCCCACTAAGCTCCTCATATTCATTTAAGACCACCAGCAGATTCTCACATTCTTGCATCGATCCTCTTAGGAACAGATAAGAATCATTATCAAAGAACAAATGTGACACCCGCGGGGCTCTGGGACTAACTCGGACTCCAGCTAGTTCCCGTTCTACAATGGCTTTACGCAATAGTGCAGTTGATGAGGTCTCATCTCGGCGCTCAGCGGATCAAATGGAAACTCAATTCAAGTGTGTTGATGATTTTGAATTTCGTGTTCAGGACCCTATTTCCAGCCCTTATAACTTGAATTCTAGGTTTCCATATGGTTGGAATTTTACCCGTCAGGATAGTACGAGTTGCAAGCTTTCCAGAAAGCCATCAAGTACTTCTTGACTCCAACTAGAACTCCATAACGAGCTGAAAGAAGAAGGCTACTTGAACACAGGCAGGAAGAGTCGAATTTGTCTAAGTATAGGAGCAGATTGTAGTGTTCAGGTACCAACTTTGGAAGGCTGGTTCTCAATGATGGGAGATGATTTGGACCAGCTGGGCGTTGTAAACGAAAGAAGGAAACTTCTACTTCCATGTCAAGGGGTTGGATGAGTTTGACAAGGAGATTTACCCCATTTTCTAAGAGCCCCAAGTTGGTACTCAGGACACTACAAACGTGCAGCTCAAGGCACTTACTTGGCCGAGAAGAAACCTTTGGTATCATTGTTCTTTTTGGATTCTGTTTAAGCTTACATTTCATTGTTTGGTTAGGATAGTATCTCTTGTGATTCGTAGTGTTCCATTGTCTATTTATAGGTTTTCAATTAACGTGTAAGAAGGAGGATAATCATAAGTTGTTTTAGTTTAAATTCATGATCTTCGTTTGATCGTGTGTTTTGGGTTCAATCCAAACTCGAGATCAAGCTCAAGCATCAGCTGGTGAATCACGACCAGTTGTGGGAGTTCTACCCTAAATCGTTGAGCCTCTTTCCCGTGAGAAAGTTGTTCGATTGATTCGTCGTTACGTTCGGATTGTGATTCAACTCACAAACTTCTCAATTCTTGTTGGCTGCGTTGGATACTCTGTTCGTGATCCTAACCAGGGTCATATCAGCAGCAAAGCCCTCCGTACAAATTACAAAGAGAAGAGGGGACAATGGATCACCCTGTCGAAGTCCCTGAGTCGATCCAAAATAGACCGCTAGTGTCCCATTCATCAGAACCGAAAAGGAGGAAGAGCTCAGGCATTCTTTAATCCAATTTATCCAAGTCAGATCAAACCCCATTTTAGCTAAAACTGCAAGTAATAATGGCCATTCGACTCTATCATAGGCGTTTTCCATGTCAACCTTCAGAGCCATATAACCTTTCTTACCCTTAGTCTTAATTTTGAG